TCTCTTAGATAACCCTAAAAATGTTGAGGAGCCCCTAAGGCCTCTGGTGCACCTTAGTAACTTTGCACCTATTGACCTTCCTGAGTTAAAGTCAGTGGTGCAGGCAGCCAAACCATCTACATGTCTCTTGGACCCAATTCCATCCAAATTGCTGAAGGAAACTCTTCCTTTGATCAGTACGTTCCTGCTTAAGTTGATTAACACGTCTTTATTAACAGGATATGTTCCCCAGTCTTTCAAGACTGCATTGATTAAGCCTCTCCTTAAAAAACCTACTCTGGACTCAAGCACCCTAGCTAACTATAGACCAATATCCAACCTTCCTTTTATTTCTGAAGTCCTGGAGAAAGTTGTTGCGAATCAACTCTGTGATTTTCTTCATAACAACAGTTTATTGGAGGATTTCCAGTCTGGATTTAGAACCCATCACAGCACAGAGACTGCTCTGCTGAAGGTGACAAATGACCTACTCATGGCCTCGGACAGTGGTCTTCTCTCTGTTCTAGTCCTGTTAGATCTTAGTGCTGCATTTGACACGATCGACCACTGCATCCTGCTTTAGAGACTGGAACAATCTATAGGCATAGCAGGATCAGCTCTCTCCTGGTTTAAATCGTACCTAACGGATCGATCCCAGTTTGTCCATGTTAATAATGAGTCCTCTGCACACACGGAGTGCCGCAAGGGTCAGTGCTCGGACCGATCCTCTTTACCCTGTACATGCTTCCGCTGGGTAAAATTATGAGGAAGTACTTGATTAATTTCCACTGTTATGCAGATGACACCCAGCTATACCTATCCATGAAGCCGGAGGAAGCAGGCCAGATTGCCAGGTTGGAAGCCTGCCTCAAGGATATAAAATCCTGGATGACCAACAACTTTCTGATGCTCAACTCAGACAAAACTGAAGTTCTGGTCCTCGGTCCTAAACACCTTAGAGAGGCATTCTCTAGTAATTTAGCTACATTTGATGGCATCAGCCTGGCATCCAGCCCCACTGTGCGAAATCTGGGAGTTTTATTTGATCAGGATTTGTCTTTTAGCTCCCACATCCAACAAACTTCTAGGATAGCTTTTTTCCACCTGCGGAATATCTCAAAAATTAGACGCATCCTGTCTCAGAGTGATGCAGAAAAACTGGTCCATGCCTTTGTTACCTCTCGACTGGACTACTGTAATTCTCTCCTATCAGGCTGCTCCAGTAGGTCTTTAAGGACTCTTCAGCTGGTCCAAAATGCAGCAGCGCGGGTACTGACTAGAACCAGAAGAAGGGAGCACATCTCTCCTGTCTTAGCCTCTCTTCATTGGCTCCCTAGTAAATCTAGAATTGAGTTTAAAATCCTCCTCATGACATATAAAGCACTTTACGGCCAGGCTCCATCATATCTCGACGAGCTTGTTAAACCGTACTTTCCATCTAGACCGTTACGTTCACAATCTGCAGGCCTGCTCGTTGTACCAAATGTCTCTAAAAGTAGTATAGGAGGAAGACCTTTCAGCTACCAGGCGCCTCTCCTCTGGAATCATTTACCGCTCGAGGTTCGGGGGGCAGACACCCTCTCAACTTTCAAGAGTAGACTTAAAACGTTCCTCTTTGATAAAGCTTATAGTCGGGGCTGATTTGAACCAGCTCTTAGTTTTGCTGCTATAGGTCTAGACTGCCGGGGCTATCCGGCACACTGAGCTAGAGTCTGTTTCTATCTCTTCTTTAGATCTTTATGTCCCATATAAGTTTTCTGTCTCTCTGAGTGTCTCTGAGTCTCTTAGCTGCCACTGGACTAATGCTGCAGACGGTCTGCTGCGGAACTGCCTGACCCCAGCTGCATTATCCCTGACTGTCCACCCTGGGCCCTGAGCTCCTCCATCTCTTTGGCTCCTCTGGACCGTTGCTGCAGACCCCACCCCCCCCCCCCCCGGTTGCCCCGGACTGATGGCTGCTGCAGACCTGCCTGACTCTAGCTGCATCGTCTACGATTGTCCGCCTCAGGCCCTGAGCTCCTTCTTCTCTTGGATTCCTCTGAACTGTTACTGCAGACATGAACATCAGCCTCACTGACATTACTGACATTAATAACATAAACTAGAACTGACCACGATTAGGCCTGCTAACTGTAATCACACTCAATTAATTTAACACTGTCCATAATCACTCATATCCTAACCCTGTAAACTGAACTCTTTTTTCTTCACCATTACATGAGCTGTTGTTGTTGTTGCTGTTGTTTCTGCTGCCCCCTGTCTCTCTCTCGCCCTCGTTCTCTACTCTCTTTCCCTCCCCCTCCCTCTCCTTACTCATTCTCTCTCGCCTTCCCTTATCTTGTTCTCTCTCTCTCTCCCCCTGTCGTCTCCCCTCTCCCCTCTCCCCTCTCCCCTCTTCACTCTACATTCCTCCCCAACCCAGCAGCGGCATGGTGGCTGTCTAACATGAGGCTGGTCCTGCCCAAGGTTTCTGCCTGTTAAAAGGAGGTTTTTCCTTGCCACATGTTAGTTGAGATGGGCCAAAACCCATCTTAGGTTGGTTCTTGATCATCAAACAATGAGTGTGGTCTGGACCTGCTCTTGTTCCTTGAAAAGCGTCTTGAGATGACGACTGTTGTGAATTGGCGCTATATAAATAAAATTTGATTGATTGATTTTTGATTGATTGAACTTCGGAGGGACAAAGATCGATGGTTGGAGGAGTCTTTCGATCATGTCCTCACACTGGAGCAGATCGCTCTCAATACCAGTTCATTGTCCACTCATGTCCACCTGGACTTCCCGATGGAGAAGATGAAGGAGAAAGGAGACTGGAAGAAAGTCCAGAAACTGGAGGAGATGAAGAGACGAGAGGATTAATTAGAGAAAGAATTAGAGCAGAACTGTGGTATGGATTTGGTCGAATGATCAACGCTGGACTTTTTGGGTGGAAAAAATAAGTGAGCTAGATCTTTGTGAAAAAAATAAGGTCCACCTGGGAAGACTGAAGATCCTGAGAGAAGACTCAGTTCAGGACTGTTCAGTCTGGTTTGAGTTTTTCTTCTGTGGAAAGATTTAAAAGTCTGGAGATGTTTGATCTTCAACTTTTTTAACTCCAGACCGGATTTTTAATCTGACCATCTCTAAAAAAATCTGTCTGTATGAAGATCTGAACTTTATCAGTCAATAATATTATAATATTCATGTGTTCATAAGTGAGTCATAATATTCATGTGTTCATCAGTAAGTCACGACAATCATGTGTTCATCAGTTAGTCATAATAATTGTATTCATCAGTTAGTCAAAGTAATCATGTGTTCATCAGTTAGTCACTTTAATCATGTGTTCATGTAGTGGGCTTTTTTTAAACTGTAAACTTCTTACAATCATTTTAATCCAAACATGTTATTCCAGTTTATTTTTGGTGACTGTAGTATATAATCTAACCCTGATTGATTAAAGTGATAAATAAACTGATTAATAAAGTGATTGATGAAGTGACAAATAAACTGATTTATAAAGTGATTGATAAAGTGATTAATAAAGTCATTTATAAAGTGGTTAATAAACTGATTAATAAAGTGATTGATAAACTGATAAATGAATGAACTGTCTTTGCTCAGTTTGTTTTCATTTGATCATCAGCTGGTTTTTAAAGTTGTTCATGATCACCCTTCTTTGTAAATAGCTGTTTATGTCTCAGAAAGCTCCAGTTAATTCTCTGATCAGAAAGGTGAAGATGGGTTCAATAGAGAATACTGATCTATTAGAAACAGCAGGATGGAGACACTGGTGACAGTTCCTGCAGTCACCAGCAGAGGGCGCTGATGAATGAGTTTAAAACAGACCAAATAAACTCCTTAAATCTCTGTTGAAGAAAGTGAAGCAGTGACTGTAAGTTGACTCAGTTTGAGAGTAAATGACTTTTTTTTACCTGTTAATAATAAACAGCTTTGTTGTGTCTTCAGCTGAAACACACAGGAGTCTTTTTCTAATTAGAGGTATCTCTAAAGGTCTTTCTGTTTCAGCCTCAGTTACCTCCACAAAGGTGGGAGCGCCTGTTTCTGAGCTGAGATAATCACTGGAGGAGGAAAAACATCCTGATTTACCTTCTGCTGCTGAAAACCTTTAAATCTGTCAGTGAGAAGAAAAAGTTAAAGGAAACTCTGAAACTGATGCTGATTGAATGTTTTCATGGTTGTTTTTCAGTTCTTTAGATATTTTTTCTTCTTTCTTTATATTTCACAGATTATTAAGTGTCATCTGTTTAACTCCTTCAGCAGATGTGTGCTCGTTTTTTTCTCAGTTTCTCATACTTTGTGTTATATTTATCTTTATCTCCTCTTATTTTACAGTCAGACCTCACACTCTTGAATTTTGCTTTAAACACATCACAGACATTTCTGCTTGTTTTCACTTTTTCTTTGACAGTTTGCTTTTATTCAGCTCTCTGCTCTTTTCCAGCTTTTGCATTTTGATCGTCAGAGTTCAGTTTTCTCTCCACAAAGATAAAAGTCCTTTTAAAGGTAGAGAAACATCTCCTTGGCGAGTTTCAAACTGAACAAATCAGCAGTTTGGACTCAGAGACCTTCAAACCCAGAAGACCATATTGAAGTGTGACGGTTCTCCTCTGACCTCTGCCTCCTAAAGTTATGTAGAACAGGACCTGATACCAACAGCTGCAGATGTTTAACAGTGTAGGTGCTGACTCTGACCACTAGAGGGCAGTGAATACTTATGATATAAAAACCATTGGGCGATAATAATAATAAAAAAATACTTCAGCATCAGGAAGAAAGTACTTTGTGTGTGGTGTGTGTCAGAAAGAAAGTTTATTTGTTTCAGTGTTTTTGCTTTTATAGTAGACCAAATAAAGTTATAAATTGCTGAGTTTTTAGAGTTAATATCATTGACTTCTGTCTACAAACTCACACTTCCGCTGTTTTAATCTGAAACTCACAAAAGCTTTTAATTTGAAAGCTGTTTCAGGCTTTTATTGTGAAGGACTTACAGGAAACAGTTCCGACGCTGGCGTTAAAATACTTGACTTGTGTTACGTTGAATGAAGTTTGCTCGGTGATTACGGGGATTTAACGACGTGAGAACTAGCTAAAACCGGTTAAAAGGACTCACTGTGGAGACGCGGTTAGTTTGAAATGTTTCCGCTCAGGTGTAAAGGTGAGTTATTTCCTCTTAGGTTGAAGTTTTCTAACGCCAGTGATAAAAACGAGGAATCTGAATGGCCAATCAGAGCAGAGAATGTTACATCTCCATGGTAACGCGGTAAGTTTGGGGAGGGGCAGCCTCGGTGTCAGGGTTCCTGGTTGTTTCAGCTGAAGATTAAAGTGTCGGTGAGTTCCTGCTCATTATTACCTGTGTTTATTGACATCAACTATTCACACCTGTCTATCACCTGTCTCACGTGCCCGTCGGGTCTGGACTGCAGACAGAGTGCAGACCTGGACCGGGACCGTTAGGACAGTTCAGCAGTTCAGACAATCACTGTAGGCTATGGAAGCAAATCTTTGTCATAATTCAGATTAAAATAAATGAACAGACATTTTCAGAATGACTTATTAATAAAATTCAAAATAAATAATATGAACTGCTTTTTCTTTTCCAAAACTGATTATTCTGTAACTTCATTCAAATGTTAAAGAAAATTCCGTTTTAAGGTCCTTTCACACCAGGAACGACGCAATATACGACGCGAAATTAAGAAATATTCAGAGGCAAATTTTGACATGTCTGACTATACACATAAAGCGCAATGCAATTTTGCGACTTTCTGGGGGAAAAAAGACACATCCCGGGTGGAAGTGAGAAGACTGACCCTACAGCAGACTGAGTGTTTTTCAGTTCTGATTAGACACTAGTGTTGAGATGGCTGTCTGTCATGATAGCACGAACTGAGTCGGGGCCAGTAGCCTACCAGAAAAGCATATTAAACTATAATGCATAAATGTAAGCTAACAACCGAGACCTAATGGTGCTGTGACAGCAACGCTGTGATTGAGTTTGAGTTTACAGTGAAAATACATATGGTATGTTGTATCTGAACAGGTTAGCTTACGAGCTAAGGTTACTTAGCACAGATGAAAGTTCAAACAAAGACGTTTAGCAAACTGTTAAAGCACACAAACCATCGTCGTATGAAAAAACTGACCCTATGACTCTCTACAAGTTGTCCTTAAGGTCGCTATCTTTGTAATATTTGTGTTTTTTATCGAAAAGCACTCTGTTCTCCGACATGTAAACAATCACCTGGTTGGCCATGTTGGATATACCGGTGAATCTGACGTTGCAACAACACGAAATCTGATTGGTCAGAAGCATAGACTGTGTATACTATGGACAACTTGGTTTCGCCTCTCACCTGTATACAGATTTGAAGCCAAAAAGTTCACGGTATTTCCAGGATTTTTCTTCATTTCCTCAAAACCAGCGCTGCACAGTAGCGTTGTACGCATTCAGCGGGAGAGTCGCAGAGAGTCACTGTGATGACGCTCAACTCAAACAGTGTATCCCCCGGGTGAGCTGCGTAATCCCTGAATGCCAAAAGGGTGTATCAAGTGTCAATCATATAAAAAAACCCTAATAACTGTTAAAAATGGAGCTGTACAGAAAAAAAGAGGACTTGAGCACAAACTAGTCTGACAGTAACTACATGTCAACATCACAACCAGGGGGGAGAAACTTTTATATTCTGTGTCATTAATTTATAAGGTTTGTCCACAGTTCCATAAGCAGGCAGGATTTATGACCTATACTGCAGCCCGTCACAAGAGGGCGCTGTTCTCAAAGTGGCTTCACCCAGATAGGAGGCAGACGGCGTCCATTCTATATACAGGCTATAGTCAGAAGTGGACACACAGGATGTAAAACTTTAGAAAATTCGACCATAATCCGAAAAAATAAATGCCGCAATATCACAGGACGGGTAAACGTCGCTGATGTGATTGCTTGTATTGACAGGACACGGGTTCAAAAAAAATATTGATGTCCGAAATAATCGCACGGTAAAAAACGCTCCTGATGTGTAAGGAACTTGAGATTTAATTTTCTAAATATGTCAGAGCAAATATGAACCAAAACTCAATTCAAAATGTCAAATCTGAAAATTCAAATGCATTTGTAGTTTGGATTTTCCTTCCAGAGTCCAAGCTGAATAATCTGACTCAGAAATAAAATTAAGAATAAAACAAACTGTATTTTCATTTTCTTATTTGAGCTGCACATTTCCTAACACAATTCAAAAGAGAAATCAAATGGATCATTGCTTTTTCATTTTCATGTTCGCCTGTTGCTATCCGAACTGTGCAAGTGCAAATTTACTTCACCTTAAAAACTTAATTTAAACTACCAATCGATTCAGAAACAAGCTGGCGATGTAACAGGCTAGCTAGCAGGAGGCTCCAGAGCTAATGCCGAGGTATTCGCCAGAGCTCCTGCCCAGAACGGTGAGACCTTTTGGGCCACAGAGAGCGTCGCCACCCGGTCAAATTCATGGTTCTCTGACATTTTAAAGTTTCAAAGGGGGGATTTATTACATTTATTTTATACATTAAATTTATTAACAAGAATCTAAGAATAAGTTTATCTATTTTCATTTGAATTATGATACAAATTTGCTTCCATACTGTAACATGTTAAAACACAGTTCAGAGAAATCATGTTCAGAAAGTTGAGAAACTTTATCAGATAGTCTTTGGTAAACCTCTGTTCATCAGTATCACAGTTCTTATCCTCTTCAATAATCATGACCCCAGAGGAACCACCAAGAAGTTTCTCTCTGTTCATTAAATTATCAAATCAAATCAAACTTTATTTATAAAGTGCTTTTTAGCTGTACATATGGACACTAAGATAGTGAACCTGAGGGGGACTGATCTGATTTCTCCAAACCTGACCCGTACTTGCTGTAGGTCATGGCGGGGACATCGAGGCATGATCGAGAGATGGAGATGAACGCCAAGCGTCGACTGTCAGAGTGCACTGACCCGGTGGAGAGGCTCAGGCTGCAGTGTCTGGCCCGAGGATCGTCTGGGATTAAAGGTCTGAGCAGGTGAGCTCCACCACACTGATAGAACAAACTAGTGCCTACATTACCCACAATGCAACATGACCTACTGATGTGTGTGATAAATATGCAACAACCTCAGAGGCAAAGAATTTTAACCAATGCAGGAGTCCAAATACCTGTAGTTCTTTTTTATCCACTAGAGGTTGTCTCCTGCAGAAAACAGGTCCTACTCAACCCCACATGGAATAAACTCACCTATTTACATCAGAATTTTTTTTTAATTAACCTGTAAACATCAGATTAAGGATTAAACTCACCTATTTACATCAGATTAAGAGTAAAATGTACCTGTTAGCAATAGATTAAGGATTAAACTCACCTATTTACATCAGATTAAGAGTTAATTTACATGTTAACATTTGATTAAGGATTACTCTCACCTATTTACATCAGATTAAGAATTAAATTGACCTGTTAACATCAGATTAAGAATTAAACTCACCTATTTACATCAGATGAAGAGTTAATTTACCTGTTAACATCAGATTAAGGATTAAACTCACCTATTTACATCAGATGAAGAATTAAATTTACCTGCTAACATCATATTAAGGATTAAACTCACCTTTTTACACCAGATTTAGGATTAAACTCACCTATTTACACCAGATGAAGAATTAAATATACCTGTTAACATCCAATGAAGGATTAACCTCACCTATTTACATCAGATTAAGAGTTGTTAATCTGGAGAGAGTGCTTAACAGTATTTTCAGAGGCTAATGAGACTGATAGGGCTGAAGAAATTTATAAAGCTGATAAAGTTTGTTTAGATAATGACAGTGACATTATGAAGTTGATGAAGTTAATGAAACTGATGAAGCTAATGAAGTTAATGAAGTCGATGAAGGTGATGAACTAACGAAGTTGATGAAGCTGATGAAGTCAATGAAGCTGATGAAGCTGAGGTCTCTGAGGTCTTCCTGCCTCCTATAAACAGTGGCAGTAAACAGGCTGCAGGATGTTGTGATGCTGTTTGTGTCTCAAACTCAATGTTGACTTGTGGTTCGTTGGTGTGACTCATAACCTTCATGTTCAAAAACCGTCGCTGCGTTAACACAACCACATATTTACTGTTTCCACTCAGACTGTTGACTTTGGTTTTAAATGTTCTAATCTGAACCATACTGTTCTCTGCAGAGTAACTCTGCCATAAAACTCTCTAAATGAACCCAGCCTGGGGTTGAAATTAACTTTGGGGTATCACGTGGTTTAAAATAATGAGACTTCATCCTCTTAAGAGTTTTACTTTGAAAGGTCGATGAGATTTACAGACACATGTCTTCATATGGCAGAAAAACTCTTGGTGTGAGAGTTTGACATAAATATGAAGTTCTATATTTGTCCTCATCTCGTGCTGTTACATGTGTATTCAGGGTTTATTCTAATGACTCCCAGTTTAAAGGTGTTATTCGTAATATCACTGTTATGGTGTTCATGTAGAAGTAAAGAATTTGATGCTTCTGTTGTAACTAAACTTCAATTGATCAATACCAACTTTTCTATGTGTTTGGACCGAAATGCTTATTTTCACCTGAGAGCTTTTATAATGTAGTAAACAGATGAGGAAACAGATAAAAAACATGGATATTTAATGCAAACTGACCTTGATAGGAGGTCAAACTGTGTGATAAATGTACGTCGCTCTGTAACTGTGTAAGAGAAGGTTTTGCTGACAGAGGTGCCCTCAGACCAGAGCTGCACTATAACAGCATTATTTTTATCATACTATACTATTATATATTTTTGTATCATCCTATACTGATATTTTTATCATAATATAATTTGACATTTTATGATACTATACTTTGATATTTTTATCATACTATACTATGATATTTTTATTAATCTATACTGAGACATTTTTCATACTACAATATATTTTTTTCATACTTTATTTTCATCATTCCATAATATGAAAATTTATTGTAATTTTATAATTTTATGATACTTAACTGTGATTTTGTAACATACTATACTTTGACATTTTACCATACTATACTATGACATTTTTATTATACTATACTCTGACAGTTAATAATACTATACTATTATGCTTTTCATACTATGTAATGTAATGTACTGATGTAATGTAAACTATAACATTTTTGTCATATAACATACTACAACATTTTTTAACAAATTATACTTTGACATTTTTATCATACAACACTGATGTTTTTATCATACTATACTGCATTTTTTTAACATACAGTAATATAACTTTTTTTTAATTATACCATACTATGACATTTTTTATCATACTTTACTATAACTAGTTTACTATGACATTTTTGTCATCATACTATACTATAACATTTTAATCAGACTATACTTTGACATTTTTTGACATACTATACTATGACATTTTTATCATACTATACTATGAGATTTTTATCATACAATACTTTGATATTTTTATTATACCAAACTATGACATATTTTAAAATACCCTCCTATGACATTTTCATCACATGATACTCTGGCATTTCCTTATAAAACCATACTATAGCTTTTTTGTATTAAATTTACTGTGACATTTTTTTATCATATTATACTATGACAATTTTTTTGTGCTACACTTTGTCTTCTATGACATTTTGTTAACATACTAGACTTGACATTTTTATCACACTATACTATGATAATTTGTAATAATTTCATACAATTATAATTTCATCATACAATACAATGACTTCTATACTATGATATTTTTAAATCATATTACACTATGGCAATTTTATGATACAATACTATGGCATTTTTATCAATCAACACTTTTGATATTTGTACCATCATGTCACCACTATGACATTTCTTAACATACTATATGCGTATTTATTATACTGTATTATGATGTTTTTATCATACTATACTTTGATACTTTTATCATCCTATACTATCACTTTCTTTAACATACTATACTAAAACATTTTTTCATCATACCATACTATGACATTTTTTTATCATACTATACTATGAAATTTTTAAGAAACAATACTATGACATTTTTTTCATGCTGTATTATGACTTTTTTGTCATACTATACAAAAACATGCATATTATATTGTATTACAACATTTTTTAACAAAATATACTAAGACACATTTAATAATACTACACCAGGAATTTTTAACAGACTTTATTATGACATTTTTATTATACTCAATAATGACATTTCAATCATACTATACGATTAAATTTTTATTATTCTGTAACATGACTTTTTTTTACATGCTATACTGACATTTTTAATATACTATACTATGATATGTTTCATTTTCTGACATTTTTGATCATATAATACAGAGACATTTATAACCATACTATATATGTTAGTATTTTTTATCATACTGAACTATGCCATTTTTTAACACACTATACTATGACTTTTTTATTATACTATACTATGAAATTCTATATACTATGATATTTTTAAGAAACTATACTAGGACATTTTTTTCATACTGTAATATTACATTTTTTAATATACTATTCTATGACATTTTTAACAAATTGTACCCGGGTTGCTGCCTGGAAAGACTTGTATTCTCCTGGTGACTTTGGCAATCTCAGTGTGGATGCCTGTATGAAAAAGTTTGATTCTCTTTGCACTGAGATCTTAGACTCCATTGCGCCGATGACTTTGAAGCATGTTAAGCCACAGATTGAGCCGTGGCCAAATGAGTCCACTCATGCGCTCAGACGCGCATGTCGACAGGCGGAGAGAAAGTGGAAGAAAGTCAGTCTCCAGATTTCTAGGGATCTCCTTCGGGATTGTCTCGTTAAATATCAGCAGGCCGATAAAGCTGCAAAAGCGGAATATTTCTCCACTCTTGTCTCCAAAAGTGCGCATAAACCTCAGGTTCTTTTCAATGTCTTTGATTCACTTGTGAATCCCTGTGATGCTGTCTCTGTGGAACCATCTGCTTCTCTGTGCGAGGAGTTTTTGCGATTTTTTTGTCAATAAGATGTCTGCTCTGAGATCTCCACTCCCTCAGCCTGCTCTAGACCCCTCAGCTTCTGCAGTAAGCTAAGCTGTTTTCCACCAGTTTGAGCCTGTTTCTTTTCCTGCACTGGCTGAGATAGCAGAGCACTTGTGCCCTGCCACCTGCCCATCTGACAGCATCCCTTCCCGCCTGCTTAAAGAGGTTTTTAGCTCAGTTGGGTCTTTTATCTTGTTTCTTATAAATCTGTCTCTTAGTTCTGGATGCGTCCCATCCTCTTTTAAACATGCCACAGTGCAGCCTCTACTAAAAAAGAAAACCCTGGATCCCCTGTCGCTTTCTAACTTTAGGCCAATTTCTAAGCTCCTGTTTATTTCCAAGGTTTTAGAAAAAGTTGTTCTTGGCCAAATACAACATTTTTTAGATCAAGCCAATAATGGTGAGCTGTTCCAGTCAGGTTTCAAGCCTCTTCATAGCACTGAAACTGCTCTTTTAAAAGTTTTTAACAATCTTCTTTTAAATCTTGACTCGGGTGATTGTGCCTTCTTAATGCTTCTGGACCTTACAGCAGCATTTCATACGGTGAACCACTCCATCCTCTTATCACGCCTTGAGCACACTGTAGGCATTAAAGGCCCCGCTCTAGAATGGTTTAAATCCTACCTTGCCGACAGATCCTTCAGTGTACAATTGGGGCAGTACTCCTCCTCAGTGGTCCCTCTAACCTGTGGAGTCCCTCAGGGGTCAGTTCTAGGCCCTTTGCTGTTCTCCCTTTACATGCTACCCCTGGGGTCAATATTTAGGAAGCACGACATCCACTTCCATTGCTTTGCTGATGATGTGCAGGTGTACCTGCCGCTAAGAGCCCCCTCCAAGGAATCCCTTCAGGCTGTGTTCAACTGTATGAGGGATATTGAAACATGGATGGACCTGAACTTTTTAAAATTGAACGAAAACAAAACTGAGATTGTCCTCTTTGGCAACCCTGACACCGTCCAGGTCCTTGCCGGCTCCCTCGGCCCCTTAGTACCCTATATAGGTTCCCAGGCCAGAAACCTAGGTGTTATTGTTGATGGGGCTCTTAAGCTGGACAAGCAGATCAGCTCCGTCGTGAAGGCTAGTTTTCTTTAGCTTCGGCTACTGGCAAAAATCAAGCCTTATCTTAGGAGGCCAGATCTGGAAAAGGTTATCCATGCTTTTATCTCGTCTCGCCTTGACTATTGTAACTCGTTGTATTTTGGCATCAGCCAAACTGAAATTAACCGCCTACAGCTTGTACAAAATGCTGCTGCTCGTCTCCTGACTGGAGCCAAGAAACGGGAGCACATCTCACCGGTGCTCTCCTCACTTCACTGGCTCCCAGTCAAGTTCAGGATTGATTTTAAGATTCTTTTATTTGCTTTTAAGTCTTTGCACAGGCTGGCCCCAGAATATTTATCTGACCTTGTCAAGGCGCACCGACCCGCCAGATCCCTGAGGTCTGCTGACCGGATGGTCTTAGATGTGCCGAGAACCCAGCTTAAAAGCAGAGAGGATCGGGCATTTGCTGCTCCCACACTGTGGAATGCCCTGCCTCAGTCTGTGCGTTCTGCAACCAGCCTCACCTCCTTCAAAACGCACCTTAAAACCTACCTGTTTACCCTAGCTTTTGGTTGTCAATTGCTTTTACTCGCGTACGCTTTTCTGTTATTGTTGTTATTGTATGTTTCCCTTTTAATGTTGCCATACTTGTAGGTTTTATTATTTTATGTTTTTCTCCTATAAAGCACTTTGTCTGGCCTGTCCTATAAATGTGCTATATAAATAAACATGACATTGACAAACGTGACATATACTATGACATTTTATTTTTTTTATTTTTTTTTTTTTTGGGGGGGGGTTCCTCAATAAACATGGGGAGATAAGAGAGATTATGAAGAACATAGTTGGGGTTGGATTTGAACCCATGACTGCTGCACACACCATGTTTCCTTGGCATGTGCACTAACCCACTCAGCCACTTGCAATCCCACTGTACCTATCATACTATACTATGACATTTTGAAAGTATTTTTTTTTCCCCTAAATGGATGGGAAACATGGGGAGAGAGAGAAAGAATGGGAAGGTTATGCAGAGCATGATTAGGGTTGGAGTCAGACCCATGACCACTGCAAAGACTGTGATCCCCATGCCTGCGCAATCAACCGCTCAACCATCTGCAAGCCTATTGCACTGTAACATTTTTTAACATACTGTACTATGAAATTTTTTAAAGATACTGTACTATGACATTTTTGTCATGCTATACTATGTTTTTTTTTATACTTGCTATATCATGACATTTTTTTCATACTGTAATATGAAATTTTTTAACATACTATTCTATGTCATTTTATCAAACTGTACTAACATTTTTTTACAAACTAAACTGACATTTTTTTTATCATAATCTACATTGACATTTTTTTATCATGCTATACACTGACATTTTTATCATACTAAACATTTTTTGGAAAAACATTTTTTTCAAAACTATACTATGACATAATTATCATAGTATACTATGACATTTTTTCACACTTACAAATAATTTTATTTTCATAGTGAAATATGAACATTTTTAATATACTTTACAATGACAGTTTTATCATATTATCCTTCAACTTTTTTATAGTGAAATAAAATTGTTTTTCACTAAAATATTAATTTTATCATTCTATACTATGATTTTTTTTAATATACTGGAATATGAATTTTCTTTCCATACTGAAATATAAAATTTTAAACATACTTTACTATGACATTTTTATCATTCCATACTAAGAAATTTTTTTTCACACTTAAATATAATTTTTTTGAATGGGTCGTTGGACGCGGACTTAAAAACTCCGAAAAGTAAAAGAAAACAAAGTGCAAGAGTCATGAAATGCACATCCATGGTTGGAATATGCAAGACACAACACTGCTAAAAGAAAGAAAAACAAATAAGGTGCCAAAAAACAACAATAAGAAGGCAAAAACGTAAAGTCTGTGAGGAGCTGCTGTGACTTGCTGCCACTCTCAGGGCGCTCGAGTCACATAATCTGGGTTTTGAGATTTTCACCCATTTTGAAAGCTCTTTTCAAAAGGTGTCTCCTCTGCAGCCAGAGGTACCCACGATAAACTACTTTAAGACCACTGTACAACTTTCCATGATGAGGCTTAGTCTGGCAATTATTGTCTGTCTTGTATGGCAACAGCACCCCCTCAAAAGACAAGTAGGGCTTTTTTTTTTTTTTAAACCTTTAGAAAGACCATATCAACAAATCATCTGTTTAGGTTTCAAAGGGTGTGGCCATGGCGTCCTTTCAAACTCTGACATCTGGAAATGACCTACAACATTCAAAGGTGGTCACAGGTACCAACCTTCATAAAGGTTCGGGCTGCTGTGAAGAGCATTGCACCGGGGTTGGCAGGTGGTGCGAAATGGTGGCAGTGCGCAGGGGAAGTGATTTACAGAGGTAGCGGCGCGACACTGCTCAGGCCCATTGGTGCCCCCGTGGGACGCTAGTTTTCATTGGTTCTTTTGTTGCGCTGCTCGGGTTTTTCGAGTTCTGATGTTGTTGGGTCAGAGTGTTGCTCCAGTTTTCGTTGTTGTTTTGTGCAATGGTAGTTTTCCTCAGGTTCTCGTCTCTCATGTCTTCTTGTTTAGTTCTCTGAGTTCTTACTTCGTTCTTTCTCTCGTTTGTATTTTAAAGACTTTTAACGATGTTATTTTAATAATTATTATTAAAGTGCTATCATACTGACCTAAGCTGTGTGTTTGTGTGTGTTAGGACCTTCAAAATAATGGATGACGATAAAAACCGCTCCCTGGACCTGAGGGAGTTTCTGAAGGGTTTGAATGATTACGGGATCCTGATTGAGAAACAGGAAGCCACAGATCTGTTTCAGCTCTTTGACCGTGATGGAAATGGGACCATAGACTTCGACGAGTTCCTGATCACTCTAAGGGTAAGGACCAGTCAGGGAGCAGAGAGTCGGGTTGATCTGGACTGATGTGAATTTCAAGATTCAGTTGTGAGGTTGATTCGAATACATGCAGAACATGAAACTGCTGATGATCAAATATCAATCTGCTAACTGCAGCCGCAGATGTCCAAGGCCAGGAAGGAGGTGGTCATGCAGGCATTTCGGAAACTGGACAAAACGGGTGATGGGGTGATCACCATCGAAGACTTGCAGGGGGTTTACAACGCCAAGTACCACCCCAAGTACCAGAACGGGGAGTGGACAGAGGACCAGGTGTTCAGGAAGTTCCTGGACAGCTTTGACTCTCCATACGACAAAGATGGAAAGGTAAGACACACCAGCAGGGTCAGCACCTCATCTGAGTTTTAAAACCTTCATATTTCTGTCTTTATTTTGAATTAAATCTCACCTCAGGCTGAAGGATCGGAGGTTTTCTAAGCTGTAAACACAGACGACTGAAACAGGACATGAGTGTTAGGAGGACAAACTGATCAAACTCGTTTTCAAAGCTGGGACAGTTTACAGAACAAGGAGGAGAAGAGGGTTTACTGACTGTTTATGAGTCGGTAACTATCGTCTGCACTCGGACTCAACAGCGTTGAGCGTTTAGTTTCTTTGTTATTTTTTTATGTGACTTTGTTTTTACATTTGAACCTAACCTCCAGTCTTTCCTCATTTTGAATTTGCTGCTCTTTTAAGGTCTCTGTCTGGGTTAAAGTTCGTTAAATGCTAACGTTAAAGTCTACCTGAGTGTCCCCAGGGACATGTCCTAATCTGATGTACAGGTGTGTTGATGCTGGTGTTACTCTCTGAAGGTGACCCTGGAGGAGTTCATGAATTATTATGCTGGTGTGAGTGCGTCCATCGACACAGACGTCTACTTTATTGTGATGATGAGAAACGCCTGGAAACTCTGAGCTAGCTCTGGTAAACCGGCCTGTGGGGGGCGCTGCAGGTCTCTGTTTCACTCTGTTCTTCCTGTTTCCTCACAGGGGCGGAGCTTCAGATGGGAAAAAGACTCTCAGAGCGGGGAACTGTCGCTTTAAGATCAGGACTCATGGGGACAGACAGGAGGACAGACAGAAGGACAGACAGAGGGACAGACAGAGAGACAGACAGGGGGACAGACAAAAGGACTGACAGAGGGACAGACAGGAGGACAGACAGAAGGACAGACAGAGGGACAGACAGGAGGAAATACAGAGGGATGGACAGAACTACAGAAAGGAGGGACAGACAGGAGGACTAGTACAGACAGTATTACAGACAGTGGTACAGACATTATTACAGACAGTATTACAGACAGTGGTACAGACAGTATTACAGACAGCAGTACAGACAGTAGTACAGACAGTGGTACAGACATTATTTCAGACAGTAGTACAGACATTAGTATAGACAGTGGTCTGGTGTTCTGGGGCCTCATGTATCAACACTTGCGTGGGACTCATACCAGAAACGAGCGCGCAAGGTCCATCACGCTGAAAAAAATCCGTATGTATCAAGGTGTGCGGGCGCCAAAAGCCACATGTGTTTCCTTGATAAATCCCAATCAGCTTGGAATTAAGCGCAGATGTCGGAGTGACCGGGCCCGCCCCCGTTACGCCATCCTATAAATATGCAGATTTATTTAAATAGGGTCTCCCTGTCCTCGCACGCAGACAAAATGACAAGAAAAACTAAATTGGCGTGCGAGGTGGAGGTGCTGGTGGTGGAGGTGGAGGAGCGACAGCGTGTTTTGTTTGGCAGCCTGTCCAGTGGAGTCAGTGCAAAACGAAAACGCTTGGAGTGGGAGAAAGTTTGCGAGAGGGTGAACGCGGTGGGTTCCGAGACACGCACCGCCGCGGAGATTAAAAAAAAGTGGTCGGACCTCAAGGTGGAGGTCAAGCGGCGTACAGCTGCCCTCCGGAGGAGTACCGGCCAGACAGGTGGGGGTCCGGGGGAGGAGACCCTCACGCCGTTTGAGCAGCGGGTGGTAGTGATTATTATTATAGGGTAAGTGGCGTGTCACATAAATGTCCACATGCTTTGCCATCCCACTGAGCAAAAGACGTATATAAGACGTCTAGTCTAAGTTTATACTTCATTTTAACGTCGGGATTCAACTGCAGCTACTGGCCTCAGCCTGTGGTTTGAATAGGAGCGCAGTATTCTGTTGGAGCGTTTTAGCTCTCCCTGGTGATTTAGTAGCTGATAACAGTCCAGAGTTAGTGTGTTGCACTTTGCACCAGTATCTATTCTGAACCGCACCTCCTGTGAAAGAAAATAGATGCTCACCACCCACTTGTCATCTGCTACTATGGCTACTGGAGTGTCTTCCTGTGTCAGGCTTATATCCAACATTGCTTCATGTTGTTGTGGGTCCTCTTCGGTGGACTCCACACTCACTGAGCTCAAGGCACGGCTGCGACACACTGCTGCCCAGTGGTTTAGTTTGTGACAGTATGAACACGTGGAACCTTGTGCAGGACATTTTCCTTGATTCCATGGATGCTGGGGGTTTTTCCCACATTTCAGGCACTTATTTTGATTTCCTGCAGTCTGTTTTTGTTGAACAGGCTTAGGCTGCACATAGCTCTGTGGCTTTTTATTGTAGACTGTGAGCTTTGGTCTGGTGGACACAGTTGACACTTGTAAATCTTCCTCTCTGACAATCATCATTTGTTTTTGCGACATTTTGAACTGCTGGGGGATTTCTATGGCCTTAGCCAGTGTTAGTTCCTCCCCTTTATCCAACAGTCTTTCCTGGACACGTGTTTCCTTTACTCCCGCTATTATTGCATCAATCAGCATGTCATCTGAGTCTGCATACTCACAGTCCATCAGTAGAAGCTTCAAATCCTTCACAAAGTGGTCGAAGCCCTCAGTGGCACCCTGTTTCCTTTGCTTGAAACGAGTCTATTTTGAGACATGATTTTTACCTCGCCCTTAACTTCATTTTTCGATAACTTTTTATGCAATAAACAAATGTGCATAACTGACCTCTAAATACTGGATTACCTTACCTATGATACCGTGGAGAGAGATGTAAACGCAACAGATACACAGAAGCAGGAATTGAAATGAACCAATATTTTTATTGTGTCACAGAAATCAATGTGTCGGCTTGCGGAACCCCGGCCCGCGGCAGCCCGTCCGCCGGCTTGGAGTCGTCGGCCAGGACCAGCGGCATTCGGGCCACCCCTGTAATATACTTATAAAGTGTGTAAAATGACAGAGGTCTACGGGCATGATACATTCGAGTGCTGTTTATTCAGACGCTGCCGCGATAACAACTACGCAGGCGCAGAGGGACAAACTAGACAGTCACAGGCTCGCGGCTACGGAAGCCCACAAGGCGAATCATGCACAATACATTACATCTCCCCTCTTCTGTAAGAAGACTAGTAGTGCAACGGAGAAATATAACAGTACACTTGCGTTCTGGCAGGCACAAACAACTTTCTTTTTTTTTTTTTATAACTCGTAGCTTATGTTTACAGAACAACAAAATAAAAATAATGCTTCTGCTTATTCAAACACAAAATAAACATACTGTCAGTCCCATAAATGTCCGCACTCAACAACAACACACAATTTAAGTCACAATACTGACTTGGAAGGAGAGGTTACTAGCACATCACTTCCATAAGGCATCTTTACCATGCCTGTCCCTGACTGTTAAATTGACTTTAATACAAATTATAAATCAAGTCTATCAGGGGGTTTCACAACTCTGCCGCGCCTGGTAGTGTACAGTTCACCTGGCTGGCCTGGCAGTGCTTGCACAGACCTCGGTCGTCCCCTGCATGGCGAAGGGCGCGGTTCTGGAAGGTCTGGAGGATGTGCTGGTACTGAAGATCGCGCCGGTGTAGCTGGTACTGGATCAGGCAGCTCAGTCCACGGCTCGGTGAACAGCTCATGTCGTGACTGGTTGGCAGCTGAAGTGCTTTTCCGAAGGTGTTGGCTGTTTCCGCGGAACTGCTTGCCTCCACTCTCCACGATGTAAGAGCGTGGAGCACTGTGAGGCTGAAGCACAACTCCAGGGGTCCACCTGCTGTGTCCCGGATACGGTGCCATCCGGACCTCCTCTCCAGGCTGCAGGGCAGGGCGGGGGTTAGATGCCCTCTTACGGTCATAGTAGAACTTCTGTGCAACTTTGGTCCTGTGGAGCAGGCGCTTTACTGACAGGGAGTTATAGGCCATGGGTGTAAGCAGCGCACGAGCAGCAGGCAGTTTGTTGCGAGGCCTTCTGCCCATGAGCAGCTGGGCTGGTGACAGGCACACGGACTCCAGTGGAGTGGTTCTGTAATCCAGTAGTGCCTGGTGCTTGTCTGACGCTATACTCCAAAGTCTCTTAACTGTTTGCACCCCCCTTTCCGACTCGCCATTAGAATGTGGCGTCTGTGGAGATGAGGTCTTGTGCAGTATGCCATAACTCTCGCAGAACTCTTTGAATTCTTCTGATGAATACTGCGGGCCTCCATCTGTTCGCAGGATGGAGGGAATCCCATGTCTAGAAAATTGAGCCTTCAGAGCCCCAATCGTAGATAAGCTGCGCAGATCCTTCAGTTCATCTACTTCGATGTACTTCGAGTAGTAGTCCACTAATATAATGTAGTGTTTGCCTTCAACTCGAACAGGTCCGAGGCCACTTCTTCAAATGGTAGCTCTGGAGTTTCAGTTGGTTTAAGTGGCTCTCTGGGAAGTCTGTTTTGGATCTCAGCACACTTGCAGCAATTCCTGATCATGTTTTCAATTTCAGCGCTCATGCCCGGCCAGTATAGCACCTCACAAGCTCGCTGTTTGCTTTTCACCATTCCTAGGTGAGACTGGTGTATGAGCTTCAGCATGTGTGCTCGCATGGTGGGAGGCACCACAATACGCAAGCCCTTGAACACTATGCCATCACACACATTCAATTGGCTTCTTGAGTCCCAGTATGCCTGAACAGGAATGGGCACTTCTCTTCGACGACTCGGCCAGCCTTGCCGAATTATCTGCTGGAGAAGGCCCAACTCCTCGTCTGAGTGTTTTTGAAGTTCTAAGTATTTCTGCTCACTCACCGACACAAAGTCGAGCATGGAGACACACTCCAGGTTTCCTGCCTCTGGTGTGCTGTCCCTCAGCTGCGCTCTGGACAAGGTGTCCGGCAGCTCCATGTCCTTTCCTCTTCTGTATTTCACTGTGAAATCGTACCACTGTAGCCGCAGGCGCATTCTCTGAACGCGCATAGGAGTAGACAACAGCGGCTTCTTGTGAATATCCTCAAGTGGCTTGTGGTCGTTCTATATTGTGACGTGTCTACCAAACATGTAATGGTGAAACTTAATGCAGGCATGGACAATGGAGAGCATTTCCTTCTCAATTTGCGCATAGCGCGTCTCTGCTTCCGTCAGTGATCTGGACGAGAAGGCGACAGGATGGTCGTCCTGCAGTAACACCACTCCCAGTCCAGTGCTGCTGGCGTCACTGTAAATCTCCACAGGCTTGGCTGGGTCATAATATTTTAGCACCGGAGCTTGTATACATAGCTGTTTGAGCTCTTCGAATGCTTTTTGTTGTGCTGGCTGCCATCTGAACTCAACGTCGTTCTTAAGGAGCTGTCTCAGCGGAGCGTCAACCTCGCTTAGATTTGGAATGAACTTAGACAGGTAGGTCACAAAACCCAGGAAGCGACGGACACCGTCCTTGTCCGTAGGTGGTGGCATGCACCTCACTGCTTCCGTTTTTGCAGGGTCCGGCTTCAGACCATCAGACGTGATTAGGTGACCCACATATGGCACTGTCAACTGGCGAATGTGACACTTTTCAAAGTTAAGCTTAAGATTGTAGCTTGTGGCTCTCTCGACTACTTTGCGAAGTATTGAGTCATGTAATGCCATTGTGGGAGCTGCAATCAGGATGTCATCCATGACGGCTGTGGCTCCATCAATTCCTTCAAGCATCTGATCCATGATGCGCTGAAATATCTCTGGTGCACTTTTGATCCCGAAGGGCAGTCTCAGCCATCTGAACCTCCCAATTGGAGTGTTGAATGTTGTGAGAAAGGATGATGCTTCATCCAGCTCTATCTGGAGGAACCCAGATTTAGCATCCAAGACTGAGAATACTTTTGCACCTGGTATGGTGGAAATCACTTCTTCTATGGTGTGCATTGGGTGGTGTTCCCTTTTAATTACTTTGTTCAGGTCACTTGGATCTATGCAGATCCTTATCTTGTCCTTGCGTGTGACAACCACCATAGAACTGACCCACTCTGTGGGTTGGTCCACTTTTGTGATGTAACCATCTCTCACCATCTCAGTCAACTTGTCTCGTATCTTTTCTCTGAGCGCCGCTGGTTGCCGACGTACTGGATGCACAACACCCTTTGCATCTGGATCAATTTTAATTGTGTATTTTCCTGGCAAAGTCCCTGTAGTGCGTGCCAGCTCTGGAAAATCACGCAGGCCCACAGGTACATTTGGTTTCTGTGAGGCATTCGCAGTGTTCACCTTGCACCTATTGATGCCATCCTGCAGGGAGTCGAGTCGAACAATTAGGCCTAAAGCCTCAGCAGTAGCACCACTGAGCACATTCTCTTGTGCAATGTGCATTATCTCCAGCTTCGCTTTGGTCTCCCTGTCCTTGTATGTGAGTGAAAGGTCAACTGCAGCTACTGGCCTCAGCCTGTGGTTTGAATAGGAGCGCAGTATTCTGTTGGAGCGTTTTAGCTCTCCCTGGTGATTTAGTAGCTGATAACAGTCCAGAGTTAGTGTGTTGCACTTTGCACCAGTATCTATTCTGAACCGCACCTCCTGTGAAAGAAAATAGATGCTCACCACCCACTTGTCATCTGCTACTATGGCTACTGGAGTGTCTTCCTGTGTCAGGCTTATATCCAATATTGCTTCATGTTGTTGTGGGTCCTCTTCGGTGGACTCCACACTCACTGAGCTCAAGGCACGGCTGCGACACACTGCTGCCCAGTGGTTTAGTTTGTGACAGTATGAACACGTGGAACCTTGTGCAGGACATTTTCCTTGATTCCATGGATGCTGGGGGTTTTTCCCACATTTCAGGCACTTATTTTGATTTCCTGCAGTCTGTTTTTGTTGAACAGGCTTAGGCTGCACATAGCTCTGTGGCTTTTTATTGTAGACTGTGAGCTTGGGTCTGGTGGACACAGTTGACACTTGTAAATCTTCCTCTCTGACAATCATCATTTGTTTTTGCGACATTTTGAACTGCTGGGGGATTTCTATGGCCTTAGCCAGTGTTAGTTCCTCCCCTTTATCCAACAGTCTTTCCTGGACACGTGTTTCCCTTACTCCCGCTATTATTGCATCAATCAGCATGTCATCTGAGTCTGCATACTCACAGTCCATCAGTAGAAGCTTCAAATCCTTCACAAAGTGGTCGAAGCCCTCAGTGGCACCCTGTTTCCTTTGCTTGAAATGATGGCGTGCTATTCTTTTGTTCTTCCTCGGCCGTATATAGCCGGCAAACTTGTCCAAAACTTTGACCGGATCTTGTTTTTCACAGTCGTCGGCCCAGTTTAACGTCCTGTAGATCTCCCTGCCTTGTTCGCCTATCCACGTTCCCAGCCAGCCCGCTCGTTGTTTTGGTACGAGCTCCGAGAGGGGACCGGCGAAAACACAATCAACGTGGCTGCGGAACCTCTCAAACTCTTGATATAAATCCGCAGCTTCCCAGTCAATCTTGGGGTCGCCATCATGGTCGCCATCCCACTTCTGACACCATGTAATATACTTATAAAGTGTGTAAAATGACAGAGGTCTACGGGCATGATACATTCGAGTGCTGTTTATTCAGACGCTGCCGCGATAACAACTACGCAGAGGGACAAACTAGACAGTCACAGGCTCGCGGCTACGGAAGCCCACAAGGCGAATCATGCACAATACATTACACCCCGGCCCCCGGCCCCAGCACCAGCACCAGCATCAGCACCAGCGCGCCGACAAGCGGTGGAGCGTCCACCAGCCGCGGCGCTTCCACTGGACCACCAGGACGCAGTGGAGGGGTCCTCGCGGAGGGGGTCCTGCAATCGCAGGAAGAAATCATCAGGGGGATCGCGGGGATCAACGAGCGGCTGGACCGGCTCGTAAATGTCCTCGAGCGTCTGGTGGAGAAAATAAATTAATTTGGCTCATTGAACTGTGTATTCACTTCTTACCCATTCACACTGTGGCGATGAGATTCTCCCGCGCGAGGACGGCGGCCCGGCAGGGATCAGCTCGCATCCCTCCGTCTGCTGCTGGTTCGTCATGTGGGGCGACGTGCTGCTCGGCCACGGGGATGTGGTGCACGCTCGTCACATAGTGAGTCACCAAACACCGCCACACAGCGTCGCCAAAGTGCGAATCACAGTCAACGCAAGTATCAGCTCAATGCCAACTTCTACACCACCTCCTAACTTTGCGTTGATTAGCGCTGGAACCGACGCTCGTTTCGCGATGATAAATCTGGACGTGTGCACCGATTTTGGCGTACACAAGGTTTTCTTGCGCCGCAAGCGTTGATACATAAGGCCCCAGATCAGCTGTTTCCATCCAAATCCGTTTGCACTGTGAGATTTCCTCGATTATTTCTTTGCTGTTTTTTGTCAAGACTCAGCTTTACATCTTTATATCTTTATTCAGTGAGATGTTTTCTGACAGACTCCATGTCCTCCTACGTCTTTGTCCTCAAATTAAAGGTTCTCTGATTATTGTCAGGGATCTCACTTTTAACCTTCTTAATTTCATCAATTATTAGATTACTATTCAAATTAAGGACTGAACCCTTTTAATTTCCACATGACCCTGAGCCGAAAACAGCTCACACTAATACTGTTTTTTTAATAGAATATTACGATATTAATACCTGTTACTGCGCTGGCAGAATACCCACATAGTTAAAACTCTGACTGCATTAATATCATTCCAGGTTTTTAAAACCCTGATGACACTCACCAGGACTCTCCAGTTTATATTTTATTAAATGAAAATGTAAATTTAAAAAGTTTGCATTGACAGCTTGTTACTGATTTTGAACCTCTGTCGTCTCTGTGTTAGTGAGCTTGTTTTATGATTCTCACTTTCTGAGTTTTAATTTTAATTAACAGACAGAAGTGAAGAATAGGAGGTTTTATTTTTGATTAACAGACAGTTATTATTTGGAGTATTTTTTCCTTAGTTTAGTGAAAATGAAAAGGTCTAAACTTTGGCTCTTTGTATGGAAACCAGCAGCTCTCTGATTTATAAACCGACCTCCTTTATTCTGTTTCGCTCAGTAGTTAACTCTCCATAGTCTCTCCTTCCTCTGGTGTGTTTGATTGATATTATTTTCTGTCCTCATCAACAGGTGACTAAAGAGGAGTTTGTGAACTATTACTGTGGAGTCAGCGCCTCCATCGACAGCGATGTCTACTTTATACTGATGATGAAAAAGGCGTGGAAGCTCTGAACCCGATCTCACCGTCACATTTCTTTATCTTTGTTTAGTTAAGCTAATTTTTCCATCCTGTGACTCTCTTGTGCTGATTAAGAAAGGAGGATCGTTTTTTCGGAATAAATGTGTTTTTGAACAACATTATCTTTTCTTCATGTTCGTAAATTATGCTGTAAAAACAAAACTACAGCATGTATTTATCAAAGTTCTTTTATTGTCAAATAAATCATTGTAAACAGTATCAGGTACAATCAGACCTTAGAGATTACATACAGAATGTCGAATGGACAGGTGTATATAAAATAAAGTGGACATTCTGGTTATTAACTCAGTGCAGTTATGGAAGTGTAGGTTATGTGTGTATTGAGTATTTTAAGAAGCAGCATTGTCGTCTCCACTCCTGAGTTTAGGGAACAACTCACTTTAAGGAATGATTCAGTTTAAAGAATGATTCAGTTTATGGAACGATTCAGTTTAAAGAACGATTCACTTTAGTGAACAATTCAGTTTAAAGAACGATTCAGTTTAAAGAACGATTCACTTTAGGGAACAATTCAGTTTAAGGACCGATTCACTTTAAAGAACTATTCAGTTTAAGGAACGATTCAGTTTAAAGAATGATTCACTTTAAGGAATGAATCAGGTGAAGAAATGATTCAGAGTTCTCGGTAGGGGTTCTGTTCTTGGAGGGTCTGTGTGAGACTCCCAGTCCAGGGAGGAGCAGCGTTCTCACAGACCTCATTGATGTCCTTCAAAGTTTGAAATCAGATTTCAAAACAGCTCAAAAGACTGAAGAACCAAAGTAAAAGACAGTGGGGGGGGGGGGTTACTCTTTAGGTGGTCCTTGTTGGGCAGACTTTCATGGTTTCAAACCTTCAGGTCTTCAAGAAGGTTTAGGTTTTCCAGAGGTCCTTCACAGGGTCAGTTTTATCAGTCAGCTGGGGGGTCACCTAGAGGAGGCCACAAAGGGAACTTCTTCAGGCCCCTGTGTAGTTATTGTGGTTTTTGAGGGACCACATTTCTTTAGGGGGGTCTGGTGGTCAGTTCAGAGGCTGCAGGGGTCACTGATGTGGTTCCTGTGGTTGGCTGAATGAAGAACTCTGAAGTCCATCTGAAAAACCACACCTTAGACCAAGATCTTCTCCAGCCTGTCAGGGGATGGATAACCTCTGAGCAGCAAACAAGATCCTAGTCTCCTGAAGTCCAGACTGGACCTGAAATAAACCACCTCAAAAACAGACACTTGTTTCTGGACCAAGTCTGCTGCAGACCCTGTAACAAACGTTATCCATCGAATTAAAACACAACTGGTAACAACACCTGGGAAAGAGGAAATCCTGACCCCATTCCAGCCTCTGTGACAGACCCGGTGACGCCCCGTAACCCTCTGTAAGAGGTAACAGACCCTGTTACACAGCTGCTTAGAAACCCTGGTCCAGACCCCCTGATACCCCCTGTTACAGATCCTTTGTAACACCTTAAACAGAACCTGTATCACACTCTGTAACACAAACCGACACCAACATCAGCACCTTTTGACCCTCAGGAAAGCTCCCTAACAGACCTTATTATGACCACCATTACACACGCCGTTACACATGCCATTACACATGCCGTTACACACACCATTACAGGACATCTGGGCTTGGCAAAAAGAGTTTCACTGTGAGCAGGATTCTGGACCTGGGTCCTCTTTCAACCACACCTGGACTTCACCAGAGGCCGGTGTGTGGACTTGTGTCGACATAAAGATGTGATATCATGAAAATATATGTGAGATAATAATATTGTTATAAAAGCAAGCACCTATTTAAAGCTACGTTTGACTATCTGAGTTAATACTTCTGCTATATGACAGCCTGACCTGCGATGTCCACCACATCCAGGACGGCTCCGATCCAGAACAGCTGCAATTTTTGCCGTACGCCAATTCCTACCAGATCCATTTTTGAGGCGAATTTCGTGGCTGATTATGGACAGTGGTAATCGCAAGAACTTACAAGAACCTGCGGATTCATGTTCAGTCGTGCGATAACGAGTTGTCTCTATAAAGACAGACACATAGACAAATAAGCAGTAGATTGTGTCCTTCCAGAGGAGGAAATCTTCTTCTACACTTCTAGAATCAGCATCTCCTCATCCATGGTGTCATCGTGGTGAAATGACGTCTAAAAACTTTTCACTTGTTAGTCTCCCCCTGTTTGCGTGGTGTGAAATACGATCCTCCTGAAACACAGAGTGTTTTATTATGAAAAGAAGCCGGATGTTTTATTTTGTGTCTGTGGCCAACATCCTTTCCAGCACGGGTTAATCTGTGATGAATTTATCCGGCAAGCTCCAGCATCCGGAAAAAATAGAACTCTTGGGATCAGCTGTGGAGTCCGGCGATCCGCAGAAGAACGGCAAGAAGGCGGTGGAAATTGACACGTTAACTTGAATGGTTACAATCAGCTACGATCGGAGGATATTACCTTTTCGTAGCCAGGGAAATTGCCAGTAAGACTGTGGTTGGACGGGTCAGAACAAATCTGAGACTCAGTGCCGAGAAAACCCCAGAATCAGAGACACAGACTTAAGAAAAAAACGGTTTTTCAATTAAATTAAATCCTTGTACCTGGGTTAAAGGGTTAAAATTATCGGAAATTAAACTGATTTTTATGGTTTTCAGATGATTTCAAACCAGCTATGACCATTAGGTTAGTCACATGACTCTGGAGTGGAAATCTTCACATGGAAAGGACAACTGGACTTAGTTGAGATGTTTCCCCTTAGGCGAAAAGTCTCAACTAAGTCCAGTTGTCATTTCAACGTAGAATTAGAAATCATTCAGTATGTTTCCATGACACTTGAGAAAACCGAATTATCGCCTTATTACGATCAAGACCGGACAGATGAAGTTCATGTTAACACCTTAGTCCGACTATAATCAAAGTTTGAGAAAGAAGCCGGTGGAAATTGACACGTTAACTTGAATGGTTATGATCAGCTACGATTGGAGGATACGACCTTTTAGTAGATGTTCAGGATGAGGTGGAAATTGGGGGCCAAGGTCAGAAATCCTCTTTGTTTACCCTCAGCAGGAGAAAATATGGTCCAAACTTAAACAGGTCTCTCGGGTCGGTTCTTGTAAATACGCGCTATCATGAAGAGAATCCTAGCTCTGCACTTTTGAAGAATAAAGTCCAAAGTCGTGCTCTGATTGGTGCTCTGGTCATTCATGTGAAGGTCATGTGATCACAGATCTTCAGTCTTGTTATCATGAGTGTCTGTTTGGACCTGAACTCTGTGGCCCAGGTCCTGTGGTTCCCTCTAAATCATCTTGTAGATTTGAAGATGTTCAGTCCAGACTCTGGATCCACGATCTCAGGGACAGACCCTAACTCCAGTCCGGCAGTTCTCTGAACCCTTCAGGTTGACCCCCTGAGGGGCCCTGAGACTCTGATGGGGAGCCTCTCGGAGGGTTTTCTGTCCGTATCCTGGTCTGGCCCGTTCCTCCTCCTCTCCCTCCTGAACTACTGGATCTTAAAGAAGCTGGACATGGTGACGTAGGCCTCCTCCTGCTGGCTCACCCCAAACACCTCCCCCAGGTTTCCTCCCCCGCTGCCCTCCTGCTGAGGAGTATCAGCTCTCTGTTCCACGTCGATGGGGGAGGGGCTGAAGCTCTGGAGGCTGTCCTCCTCATCTGAGGAGCTCCTGCCCAGCAGAGCGGACAGCTCCAGCTCCTCGGTGCTGACGCTAGTGGTGGTGGTGGAGCATTCAGAGGTCTGGGTGGTGGAGCAGGGAGGAGTGGACTCGGAGTTCTCAGCAGGAGCAGCAGAGACCAATGGTTCTGGTTCTTCATACGGCTGATCCTCTAGTCCGTCTTTGGGGAAGACCTTCAGGACGCTGAACTCCTCTGGTCTGAAGCTCAACAGGAGACCCTGAAAAAAGAAGTTAAAGAAGTTTTTTGTTCCAGGTTCATGTTTGTGCATCCTCAGCTCTCTGTAGACCTCTGTGGACCGGGCAGACCTGGTTCTGGAGTCTGACTGTCAAATGTCCAGAATGTGGTTCATCATTGTCTTCCTAAAATCTGAAGGTCTTCATTAAAAAAGGCTTTGTCTGGATGGCAGCACCATATGTAAACAAACAAAGAGACAAACAAAAAAATAAACAAACAAACAAATGACACAACAAAACCAAAAAATTAACAAACAAACAAATAAATAAACAAACAAACAAATAAATAAACACATAATAAACAAATAATCAAATAAACAAACAAAAGACACAACAAAACTAAAAAATAAACAGACAACAAACAAACAAGTAAATAAACAAACAAACACATAAATAAACTAATAAACAAATAAACAAACACAAAATAAACAAACAACACAACAAAACTAAAAAATAAACAGACAACAAATTAACAAATAAATAAACAGACAAATAAACAAACAAATGACAACAAAACTAAGAATTAAACCGACAAACAGTCACAATTTTTGTTGACGAAAGCAACACAAGTCCAGAGTTTTCTAATTCTTCGTTGAAAGGACAACTGGACTTAGTCTAGACGTTTCGCCTAAAGTGAAGTGTCTCAAAGAAGTCCAGTTGTACTTTGAGCTGAGAACTGGATAACCCTGACCCAGATGAGTGAGAACCTCCTGTTGGTAAGAAGGACTCACTTTATTGGGTTTGCAGATCTGCACCAGAGTGTCTTTGGGGTGGGGGATGCGTGGCCACATGTAGGAGAAGATCCTGTGAAGGAAAGAAGAACTTTAACTCCCAGCACATGAAGAAACAATTTGATCAAACATCAGAGACCTCATACTTCATTTTCCAGGAGAAAACAGCACAGAAGGTCAGCAGCAGCACGACCAGACACACCGTCAGAGTGTTTATCTGACGCCACTCCTCCGTCTGTTGTCGGACTTTTCCTACCAAAAAAGAAGAAGAGAGAGGTCAACCGGCTGTAATCCTCTCATCTAAGCAGCACCTGTGGACTCCAGCTCTCGCTCACCTTCAGGGGTCATGAAGGTGAAGTTTCGGCCCCACTCGCTCCAGGTTCCCTGCAGGTATTTCAGCGGTATGGCTCGCACTCTGACGTAGTACCGCGTGTTTGCCTGCAGGTGTCCCATGTCCACCTTCAGGGTGTCCGAGGACGAGACGTTCTGACTCTGAAGTCCAACAGAAGCAGAGATCACTTCAGTCAGTACTGATCATCACAGCGAACGGTGACGAGACAACCAGGAGGACTGATGTTACCGTCTTTGTGTCTGCGCTCCAGATGAACAGCTGGAACAGCTGCTTCTCCACCGTCAGGTACTCTCTGTGGTACGGGGTCCCGATGTGGAACACGGCCTGGTTGGACCTGGGGTTAAAGGTGACATTGAACACCCAAGGACTTCTGGGTTTCACTGCAGGGACAGAAAGAGGCAAACTGTACAGTGAAGAGGACTTTAACGTGTGCTGGACTCTGTTTGTGGTTATTGTCTTGATAACATACAGTCCACTCAGCACCCTCTGCAGGCCGGAGGACTTGTCTGTTTGTATCTGCAGCATCTTTCTAATGTTAGCATTAGTGGGTTTTTTAACTTGATTTTTATTACATTTTTAACTGCAATAAAGTATACATCTAAATACAAAACATTTCTTTTCCTTTTTTCCAGCTAAATGTGTATTTTTACAAACATCCACAGATAATGTTGGATTAAATCAAAGAGAATAATCATAATAATAAAAACAAATAAACCATGTCCACTCAAAAATACAGATTTATAGGCACAGAGGCAGGATGACAGTATTTTGATATGATAGGTTGATATCATATCATATGATAGTTCGGTAACACTTTATATTAAGGTCCTTGTAATAAGCATTAGTTAATGGTAATAAGGCCCTTATAAGTGCGTACAAGATGCTTATTAACATCATTATTCGTTTCTAAGACTATATATCTATTAATAGTCTCATTATAATACAGTTATTAGCAGACTTTCAGAGATTTATAATAACTTATAAGAAACTTGTTAACTGTTTGTTGATGCTTACGAACATTAATAAAATCCTCGAGTATATTATAACTGTTTATAATAACATTATAAACACATATATTGACTCAACTAGCCCAACCATGGTGGCTTTATCATGCCTTTATTAATCTTTTTGTCTGATTTATTAACATTAATATACACTTTATTGCTCATCTAATGTAAGTTAACTATGCACTTGTTTACAATTAACTGTGCTTTTTGCAGGTACTGGATCTAAAGTGAGAACAATGCCTTCTTAAGGCTGATAAATCTTTTATTGAGCATTATTATGCCTTTAAGAATATTTTTTTTCTGCTTTATCAAAATAAAATGTACTTTACTATGCCCTTGTTATTAGTTAACTATGCACTTATTAACAGTTAACTATGCTTTTTGCAGCTACCAGATCTAAAGCGAGAACAATGCCTTATTAAGTCTCATAAATCTTCTATTATATGGAGGATGACTCCTCTGGTAAGTTTACCTGCAGCTAACTGGTTAGTGCACATTCAAACACGCAGCTAGCTACATAGCTAGCTAGCCAAAGCTAGTTACATTAAAACTCTGTTTTGAATGTGCACTAACTCGTTAGCTGCAGTTAAACTTACCAGAGGAGTTATCCTCCATATCACAAAGGCTCCTTTTGTCATCATGATCTTTTCGAGATCCAGAGCGGGTTTGTATTATCCACAGGGCCGAAGATGTTGTTCCCTTCATTTTGCACGCGGGACCAAAACAACGTTCACATTGATCGTGTGGCTGAGCCGCTAGCTTAAACCGGAAGTATCACAGTATTACACTGCTCTTTCAAAATAAAAGCACGTGAGAAGCGCACAAAGGCAAGAACAGCTACGGATGTAGGCTGAAAAGAAGCGAAAAAAGACGCGACCCGCGAAAAGCAACGCAAGAGGAGAAAAAAGAAGTGACTTTACCAAGATGACACTGCTAAACAAAATCAGAAAACTTATTTTTGAAGGTAAAGTTTAAAGTTTTTCTGGTTGAAAACTTTAAACTTGAAGGTAAAGTTTAAAGTTTTTCTGGTTGAACTACCTTCAAAAATAAGTTTTCTGATTTTGTTTAGCAGTGTCATCTTGGTAAAGTCACTTCTTCTTTCTCCTCTTCCGTTGCTTTTCGCGGGTCGCGTCTTTTTTTCGCTTCTTTTCAGCCTACATCCGTAGCTGTTCTTTTCTTTGTGCGCTTCTTACATGCTTTTATTTTGAAAGAGCAGTGTAAAACCGATACTTCCGGTTTAAGCTAGCGGCTCAGCCACACGATCAATGTGCACGTCGTTTTGGTGCCGCGTGCAAAATGAAGGGAACAACATCTTCGGCCCCGCGGATAATACACTGCGTGCACAATTATTAGGCAAGTTGTATTTTTGAGGATAAATTTTATTTTTGAACAACTAAGTGCTCTCGGTCAATCCAAAATGTTAATAAACCTCAAACCTTAATATTTAAGGGAGTAAAAGTGAGATTTTGACTTCTTTAGGAGAATATCTATGTGTGCACAATTATTGGGGGCAGCTATTAGTGTGCAGAATTATTATGCAACTAAATTAAAAATGAAAAATTTTTCATCTCACTTGTTTATTTTCACTTGTTAAAGTGAGAATGATAAACAAACAACTCAATTTACAAATAAAAATTGTTGAAATTAAAAAAAAAAAAATCTGTGACCAATATAGCCACCCTTCTTTTCATTAACAGTCATAAGCCTTTCATTCATGGAGTCTTTCAGTTTCTTGATCTGTTGACGATCAACTTTTTGTGTTGCAGTAACCAAAGCCTTCCAGACACTGTTCCAGACACTGTTCAGAGAGGTGTACTGTCTTCCTTCACTGTAAATTTCCCGTTTAAGAAGGGCCCACAAGTTCTCAACAGGGTTTAGGTCAAGTGAAGAAGGAGGCCACGTCATTATTCTTTCGTTTTTAAGGCCTTTACTGGCGAGCCACATAGTGGAGTACTTTGTTGCATGCAATGGAGCATTGTCCTGCATAAAAATCATAGTTTTCTTGAAAGATGCAGACTTTTGCCTCTACCACTGCTTGAAGAAAGTGTCTTCTCAAAACTGGCATTGGATTTGGGAGTTGATTTTAAGTCCATCTTTAACCCAAAAGGTCCAGCTAGCTCATCTTTAATAATACCAGCCCATACCAGTACCCCGCCTCCACCTTGCTGGTGTCTGATTCGAAGTGGAGCTCTGTGCCCATTACTGATCCAGCCACGGGTCCATCCATCTGGTCCGTCAAGAGTCACTCTCATCCCATCAGTCCATAAAACCTTTGAAAAATCTCTCTTCAGATATTTCTTGGCCCAGTCTTGACATTTCAACTTGTGTCTTGTTCAGTAGTGGTCAGATTTCAGCCTTTCTTACCTTGGCCATGTCTCTGAGCACTGAACACCTTGTACTTCTGGGCACTCCAGGTAGGTTGCAGTTCTGGAATATGACAGCACTGGAGGATAAGCAGTTCCTGGTAGCTTTACGTTTGAGTCTTCTCAAATCTTTGGCAGTTAATTTGCGTCTTTTTTTCTTAACACATTTCTTGCGACCCTGTTGACTATTTGCATCAAAATGTTTGCTGGTTCTGTGATCACGCCCAAATATCTAAGCAATTTCAAGAGTGCTGCATCCCTCTGAAAGACTTTTTACATTTTTTGACTTTTCAGAGTCACTTAAATCTCTTTTTTGGCCCATTTTACCTGAGGAAAAGAAGCTGCCTAATAATTACGCACACCCTGATATAGGGTTTTGATCTCCTTAGGCCCCAGCCTCCCTCATTACACTAATACACATTACCTGATATGCTTATATCCAATAAGCATTCAAGTTTACTCCTCAGGTAAGTTTAACTGCAGCTAACGAGTTAGTGCACATTCAAAACAGAGTTTTAATGTAACTAGCTTTGGCTAGCTAGCTACGTAGCTAGCTGCGTGTTTGAATGTGCACTAACCAGTTAGCTGCAGGTAAACTTACCAGAGGAGTCATCCTCCATATAATAGAAGATTTATGAGACTTAATAAGGCATTGTTCTCACTTTAGATCTGGTAGCTGCAAAAAGCATAGTTAACTGTTAATAAGTGCATAGTTAACTGATAACAAGGGCATAGTAAAGTACATTTTATTTTGATAAAGCAGGAAAAAAATATTCTTAAAGGCATAATAATGCTCAATAAAAGATTTATCAGCCTTAATAAGACATTGTTCTCACTTTTGATCCAGTACCTGCAAAAAGCACAGTTAACTGTAAACAAGTGCATAGTTAACTTACAGTAGATGAGCAATAAAGTGTATATTAATGTTAATAAATCAAACAAAAAGATTAATAAAGGCATGATAAAGCCATCATGGTTGGGCTAGTTGAGTCAATATATGTGTTTATAATGTTATTATAAACAGTTATAAGATACTCATGAGGATTTTATTAATGTTCGTAAGCATCAACAAACAGTTAACAAGTTTCTTATAAGTTATTATAAATCTCTTAAAGTCTGCTAATAACTGTATTATAATGAGACTATTAATAGATATATAGTCTTATAAACGAATAATAATGTTAATAAGCATCTTGTACGCACTTATAAGGGCCTTATTACCATTAACTAATGCTTATTACAAGGACCTTAATATAAAGTGTTACCGATAGTTCTTACACCATTAACATAAACTGTTATTGCCTCAATAAAGGTTCCACAAGTTCCCATCTGTTATTAAAGGAGGCCCTCTGAAGCCTTAGTGAAAAAAGTGAGTTTCTGATGGTTATAGACCGATTTATCGGCGAATCGATTAAATTGGCCAATTTTAGCCCGTTTGAGACTAATCGGTAATTGGCCAAAACTCGCCGATTGTCGCCGATATTTTCAGAAATAAAATGTGGAGAATAAGATTTGGTTTCATTTTGAAAATGTTCCGCCATTTGTAGATGCCGCAGTGACCTCATGACAATCTTCATCCACTAACTACCTCACAGCACAACAGCATGACGGATCTGAAGCAGGCAGCTCAGGGACGCAACGATAAATAAACCAGTTTGTGAAATACACAATAGGTCAACAAGTTTCAGTTCAACCCACTTCACCATGTTCCCCGCTGTGCTGGTCTCGGTCACGCCGAGTTAACAGTGAAGCACCATGTAATATGCAAGCTAAAGTTAGAGTTAGCCATCTGCTGTTAGCCTTGCTACACTGTTAGCTGTGCCAGTATAGGTAGAATAAACAACAGTACAAATTACGTGTTTGAGCTATTTCTCTTACTGAGGCAGCTGCATATCTCCAGATGAGACCAGACCGGAAATGAGTAACAAAAGTTGAAAACGCTTTTCTGGCCCGAGTTTGATCAGACTGTCTCCTTCTGTCAGCGTGAAGAGCAGTAGCCTACAGTGTATAGATATTTCTATAACTTAATAAAAACAATTTAAAAATCTGCCGATTAATCAGTCACCCCCCCCCCCCCCCAAAAAAAAAAAAAAAAAAAATCCGTATCGGTCGGGGTCTATTATAGACTCAATAAGATGTTGAAGATGTTTTATTTTTCTGACCTCCTGTCTGAACCTTCAGGTATTACTCTCAGTATTGAGGGATCTTCATTTTAAAAACCTCCTTCAGGGTGTTGAAAACCTCCATCTAAATTTAGGGCAGAGCCAAAATATGTGGGTGTGGTTATCTATTGTGACTCTGCAGTTTCTCTATAGTGGGGTCACAAAGTGAGATTCTGTGACCATCCTTTGGCAAGGATGTTTTGACGATTGATTTGACTTCTATGGACCCTTTAGAAAAGATTTAGCCCCCAGGTCCCTCGCAAAAATCCCGGCATTTTTTGCTAGACAGCTAAATTCAAGATGGCGGCCGGCGCCATCGCCAAAAATTAACTTTTGATCTGGATGACCTAGAATCATGTATGAAGGCACTTTTCCACACAAGTCAAGCATGAGGATTCCAAATCTGACATTGTTTTAATCATACAACTTTGTTTTGACCACGATATTCAAGATGGCTGCCATCTAGTACTGTGATTCTCAACCTTTTCGGGACTTGACCCCCCAAAACAATCATATTTGAACTGGGTAACCCCCAATTTGTATGACTCTGTTCCACATATAGATATTGTGAAAATAGCAGATCTACAAGCCCATAGCACCTTATATTGTGAGGCGTGTGAGCTTGTAGATCGGCCATTTTCACAATTTTTGCCTTTTTTTATTGTATATTGATGTGTGTTTTATTGTTCTTGCATGTACAGCGTCTTTACATCCTGGAAAAGCGCTTTACAAATAAATATATTTGTTTATTATTATTATTTTATTTTATTTTTTCTTATATTATTTGACAATTTGGCCAATGGTTTAGCATTGTTTATTAATTTATTAATTTAGTAGTTAGTAATTCTTTAGTAATTCTTTTGAGCCCACAGTTAGAGGAGTTACACATTTGATCTTTAAAGACAGTGTGCATGCAGCATACATAGCTGCTTGAATATGGAAGAAAATAATGTACCAACAGGGACAGACAGACAGTCATGTATTCTCCAGTGTGGTAGTCTGTGTAATGAAGCCACAGATACCGGCCTTGACAAGTTTGGACATGTCTATACAACAGTCGATTGGGATAAAGGTCCGGTTGGAAAATGTGTCCATGAAGCATGTAGGTTGACCCTATTCAATTGTAATAAACTGGAACAAGCCAAAAAAAGACAGAAAAAACAAGAGACTGAAGAAATCCCATCTCAGTCTTCTTTGTTGGATGACTGTTCCACAGCTGCAGATCCACCTGCCAAACGACTGCGATCAAGTCTTGGGCAGATACATGATAAAACAAAATGTGTGTGGTGTTGTAAGCCTGAGTCACCAAAGCACCCAGAAACAAAGCTGATGCTGATTTCATATGATCATGCATGGGCAGCTTTCAAGAGCCATACAGTTGCCCTGGACGATCAGACAATGCGGGACAGAATCAATTGCCTGATCGATTCTGCAGCTGATCAGCCCTATGCACTTGAGATCAGATATCACTACACATGTTGGATGAAATATGTAACAAAATACAAGAAAATGACCGACGATGACAAACTCCCACATATGCACAATGTCACTCTACGTGAGGCACAGACTATGTTCTTTAATCACATAAGAAAAGTTATTTTTGAGGAACATGAGCTAAGGTCACTGCAGAGCCTCCTCCTAGACTACAACTCTATGATCTCTCGGTACGGCTTCCCAACATCTGCGGTTAAATCATCTTACATCAAAGACATCCTGACCCGGGAATTTGGAAGTAAGATTGGTTTCCATTCACGCTTACAGAGGAACCAGAGTGACCTAGTCTATGACACGTCTGGGGGTGGGTCATATGTTGAAGCAGCATTGAACTCCATCGGTGTCAGTAATGAGCAACTGGTGCACAATGTGGCTAAGCGGATCAGGGATGATCTTAAGTCCATCAGACTCATCCGATGGCCACCGAGGGTTGAAGAGCTGGAGGAGGAGGAAGAGCTCTCACCTCTCCTGGTGCAGCTGCTATCTGCTATACGGGGGAAGGAGGAGGTAGATCTGTCTCCATGCACACTTTCCCTCACCTCTCTTATCACACAGTATGCAATAAAACGACCCACCACTACTGCCATCAATGCCACCATCACCCTTCATGGTTTGACTCGCAGCAAGGAGCTTGTTGACTGTTACTACAAGTTGGGCATGGGGATCAGCTACCGTGACGTGCTTCTCTTGCGTGATATCTGGACCATGCATGACCTTGAACAGTGTTCTGTGTGTCCTGATGAAATTGCTGAGGGAGAACCAAGCATCAGTATAATTGACAACGATGACTTTCAAAATGACACCTTGACAGGGGGGGGGTACTGGTCACCGCTGTAACTGGATGTTTCTTCAGCGCCTAGATCATCTTGCACAGAAGGAGAAAAACATCCAGGATGCACACAAGCGCATCAAAGATGCAAAGACTGTTTCACAGGCTCTGACTGAGAAGGTATCAGAGATGCAGGCAGTTACACCATATAGGACGAGCAAGCGTGGGGAACCTCCTATCCGCCCCAAGCCCACTACTTTCTCATCAAGTACAGAGCCTCAGCGCAAGCGGAGCATTATTCATGCCCTTGTTCGTGCAAACGAGAATGGTGATCGTCCTGATGCAGCTGAGCAGACTATTCCTTCCTACAATGGGTTTCATGCCAGCTTGAATAAGGAGCAGTCAAAGAGCAAGGCTTATTTTCATATGTCTTACAATCAACCGCCGAACAAGTCAGTTGTGAATGACATCATGGAAAAGCTATCTCACATCATCATCACAAAACGCATGCCCTTTGCCTTTTTAGTGGGAGATCATCCTGTGTATGTCCTTGTCACTCTGCTCAAGGCTGAGAACCCAGACAAGTACCGTGACATCGTGCCCTTTCTTGGTCCTTTCCATACACAGTGTGTAATGATGAGTGCCATCTACAAGCGCTACAAGGAGAGTGAGCTAGAAGATGTACTTGTAGCGGCAGGAGTTATTGCTGAGAGATCCGTTGATTCTGCTCTGAAAGGCAAGCATTATAAGAGGGGACTTCGTTGCTTGAGGCTGATGTATGAGGCACTTATGAGCCAGCTGGCCAAGGAGAGACTGATACCCAACCTAACAGAGGGGACAAGAGAGAATCTTGATATTCTGAGGAATACAAGTCTCTCCCAGGAAGCCCGTGCTGCTGCTCATTCAGCCCTGGAGGATGATGCCGATCTCCAGGATCTCATCACCAAGATTTTCTCCCATGTAGACATGAATGACATGGCAGACTACTGGAGGGACTTCCTGTCCATGACAGATTCACTAATGCAGAATGTGCATGCAGTTCATATCTGCAACTGGGAAGAGTATGTCAGCTCTCTGCGGGCTATGCAGCCGTGGATGGTAGCATATGACAACAACAAGTATGGGAGGTGGCTGCCTGACTTCTGGGCAATGCTGACAGCTCTCCCTGCTGAACAGGTTGCCTTCCTTCGTTCTAACTTCACTCAGTCCATCACAGGTAACCCTTATTCCAACATGGCCTGGGACATGTGGATTGAGTGTACTATGAACAAGGGCAGCAAAATGAAGTCAGGCTGGCTCTCAATACTCAAAAATGAAAAACAACTGCTGGTGCACTCCAGAAATGTCAACAATGTGACCCGCATAAGAGCGGCACACAACTCTCTTGCAACCCGAAAAAAAGCAAAGGGGAAACACACAGAAAGTGGCCCGAAGCGCATGCGAGAGGATGAGCAGTGTGTGCATAACCTAACTGCATGCATGGATGAGTTTGACTCTTTCCCATTTAATCCAGCCTCACCCACACTTCGCACCCTACAGTCAGCCACGCCTGCCTCTGATGAGCTCGTTGCAGACTTTAAATCAGCCCATTCTGCAGGAGAGCAGAAGTTAAACATCTTCTTGCGGGACCGAGTATTCAGTAAGAATAAATCCCTCCATGCACCTGTGAGTTTGAGCAAACGTTTGACCTTTTCCAAGCATACATGCATAGAGAAGCCCGGCGAGGAACTCAAGGCAAGAGCTGCTGAAATGGAAAGAAGCGCTCTCAAAGCGGTGATCAACCTGGTTGAGGACAGTAAACTTGTCAAGCTCCCCGAGCTGCTGGAACACCGTGTTGTTGAGGAATGTGGGGCCTTATTCAACCCTAACGGTACATACAGAAAGACACAGAAGAGCAAGCTCATCCAGAAGCTCTCCCTCCAAACGATTGCTATTAAAGAGCCCTATGTTGCTATCATTGACATGGGCATGATCTGGAGGATGGCAACTCCATCAGCAGAGGACAGGCAGACACAAGACGGCAGACCATACAAATGGTTGGACTACGTGCAAAAGGTGTCTTCCATCATCCTTGCCCGCCATCTTGGTGCTCACTGTATCATCTGTGTGAATGATCCATACGATGCAGCCTACTCCACTAAAGATGATGAACGAGACCTGCGCATACAAGGTAAGGTGCATGTACCAAACACGTACATGAAATTGGATGACCCCCTCCCCTCTGCCAAGGCATTCAAAACGCTACTGTGTAGTGTCAGCAACAAGGGACGGCTGCAAAAATTTATATGCAGCCACCTCACTGACCTGGCACAGAATGTGAATGTTGAGATTGTCTACTCTGTTGGCCCACATTGCATCAACTTGTCAACACAACAACCGATGGAAGACTACAGCATTGAACAGTCGGAAGCTGACACCATCCTCTTTACTGTTTATGCAGGTCTACGGCAGTCAGGCTATAGTGGCCCCGTTGTTATTGATGCAGCTGATACTGATGTCTACGTTGCAGCATCAGTTATCTCACAGCAGCTCCCTGGCATGCAATGCATCAAGAGGAACAAAGAGACAGTCCTCTGTCGTGGCATGCTGACAGAGGAGATGGCACACTGCATTGTGCAGCTACACTGTTTTACAGGCTGTGATGCCAACTCAGGATTTTATGGCAACTCTCCCGGTGTGGAGATAGCCTTGACCTTGAAGAGGAGGTAGAACAAGAGCTATTTGCATTCACTAGACAGGTGATCTACGGTGACAAGAAGAGTAGCACCATGGCTGATGCCCGTGCCTCTAAGTGGAAAGCCATGAAGAGAAAATCGTTTATCCTTCTCCCTCCAGATGCAGACAGCTTACGGCAACACTGTCTCCGTGCCAACTACTTGGCATATCTAGTGCGCCACCCCACACTAAAGAATCACCCCTCGCCACTCGGACATGGTTGGGAATTGGTGGGTGGTCGCTGTCGTCCTGTCCGCCACACACGGCCTGCTCTCCCGACACACCTACCTGCACCAGGGCCAGTTGAAGAGGAGGAAGAAGTTGAGAGGGAGGAGGAGGAGGAGGAGGAGGATGTTGCTCAGAGGAGGGTGGAGTCATCTGAATCTGATGAGTCAGAAAGCAGTGACACAGAACTCTCTGATTCAGACTAAGACGTGTTTTGTGTGGTTTTGGATATGATGTTTCTGCTGTTGGTGTTGATATACGCAAGGTATTATAAAGGAAGTTACGAAAGACAAAAAAAAACAACCAAAAAAGACAAAAAAAAAAAAAGACAAAAAAAAAAAGACAAAAAAAAAAAAGGACAAAAAAAAAAAACACAAAAAAACAAACAAAAAACCCTCTCCAGGAACCATCACCTTACCGTGGTGGAGGGGTTTGTGCGTCCCTATGACCCTGAGAGCTTTGTTGTCTGGAGCTGTGTGCTCCTGTAAGGGTCTCCCATGACAAACTGGTCTCTGGCGAGGGGCCTGACGAAGAATGGTTCAGGGCAGGCCAGCAGTCCCTAAGGGGGCAGCCCCCCCAGCTATCTGGCTATCTGGCAGTGGCACAACCTAGAGAACATCTTCTTGTTACTTAACCAATCCGAAATAGCCGGACTGACTGAAAATTTATAAACTAAAGCCAAGTTTTACTCTACTGGATGTCGGCCATCTTGGATTTCGGTGTCAAAACGAGGTCTTACAATTAAAACAATGTCAGATTTGGAATCCTCATGCTTGACTTGTATGGAAAAGTGTCTTCATACATGATTCTAGGTCATCCAGATCAAAAGTTAATTTTTAGCGATGGCGCCGGCCGCCATCTTGAATTTGGCTGTCTAGCAAAAAATGCCGGGATTTTTGCGAGGGACCTGGGGGCTAAATCTTTTCTAAAGGGTCCAAAGAGGTCAAATCAATCGTCAAAACATCCTTGCCAAAGGATGGTCACAGAATCTCACTTTGTGACCCCACTACTAACATGAACTGGAATATTGTGGACCCATATTGGACACTATCTCTGCTGTTCTGAAATATAAATTTATTATTTTCCATTTGAATTCCCTCCATGTATTAGAGTTTGTAACCTGATGTGCTTCAGTACCAGTGGCGATTGCTCTAAGACTGCAAGGGAAGCTCAGCTTCCCTTAAAATGTCACCCCCCCAAAAAAAATGAAAAATTGGTGAAATAAGTACTTCTGTGTGTTCATTTCATTAACTAAATACCCGCTAGAAAGCCTTCATCTTTTGTTCAGAATCAGCTTCTTTTCACACTGTGATAATCACAGGTAACCGGTGTTGTGCCGTAGAATGCACCCCTGCTGTTGAATGCACCCCCGACGGTTGAAAGTACTTAACAAGGCGAAAATAATCCAAGTTTTCCTTACCATTGGATGAATTCATAAGCGTGTGCCTTTAATAATTTCATTCAGGCTATTCAGATAAGTTGAAAAAATAGCCCTCTGATTCGGAATATTTGCTGTCCCGAAAATATAATGTTCGCTAGCTTGACAGCTTACTGTACAATTTATATACCCAAGCACACCTCCGTATGTGCATTTTTGAGACACATAAAAACAGAACAAAAGTTGTCATGATCAAATACTCGTAGTTTTTAAAATATGAGATCATTTTCTTCCACCTTAAGAAGCTAACGAGTGGATGGAATGCAGGGGGTGCATTCTACGGCAGGGGTGCATTTTATGGCACAACACCGGCATAACTTCGTTCTCATTCATCCTCGCAGCGCCTCAGCGCTTCACACAGCCGGACGCTCAGCGTCTGCTGACTTCAATGTGGAAGCTCAAAGTGGGTTGTTCCAGCAGCGAAAGTAGACGCTCATTGGATAAATGCTGGGCTTTGTCCCGCCCATCGGACGCTCAGCGTCTCTGGAGTTCTATGACGAGAGGGCGGTCCCAACTTTCTCGCAGATGCTGAGCTTCTGCATCCATGATTGGATGTGCTGTCTGAGGCGAAATCAGCTTTTTGATTGACAGCTAAATAAGCGAATCAGCGATCTTGAAGAATAAAACATCTACCAAAGCATTTTCCAAGTTATTCATTCCATTGTTCTTAACTACTCCAGAGACTTTACCGATCCTCAGCGACTTTTGTCTTTGTTAAAAACGACTGCCGTTGTGTTTGGCGACTCTGTTCTGTTACATACAAATAAATAAACACAAATATGATGTAGGCCAGAAAAATGAGCTTCCACTCCTTGAAAGACCAGCAGCCGCCACTGTTCAGTACATACACTGTACCAATCCTCCTGAGAAATGTCGACGTTGGCCTCTGCCTCCCATCTCCTTTTTGTTTGTGAAGAGTTATTTGGATCCATAGATAATAAGAGTATGCTGTATATTTTGAATTTTTTTTTTCTTTTCTCCCTCTCCTGCTTCAGCGTTTTGTTAGTTTTTCTACATTTTGCATGTTTTTTTTAGTCATCTGTGTTCCTGGTCTCTCCTAAAGAAAACCTCTGGGTGCTGCAGGACTTTTGGCCTCGTTGGACACCATAGAAGTTTGACTGAGGATCAGTGTAAATTGTGTGTGACACAGAGATGCAGTGTATACCAATCTTCTTCAGGTCCACCGTGGTTAAAATGGGTCCTCCTCTCTTAAGGTGGACGCTCACATTATAAGGAACCACAAGACTCAGATCTGAAGAGCTGACCGTTCCCCCAAGACCCTCAAAGCACTTTGTTGACCTGGTGCTCCAGTCATCTGTGAAGCTGAACAGAAACACGGTCAGACGTGGATTTTCTTCTGAACGCTACTAACTCACATCTGAAAGGTCAAAGGTTTTACCACATTCTGATTCTCTCGATGCTGTTGGACTCTCCGTCTTCATCATCCTCACTGCCCCCCCCCCCTCCCACCAGGTCACAGGTCAGACTGCTCATGTCGGTCATGATGTGTGAGGTGCAGCTCAGTCTGGGCTCTGAAACACAAAAACTCTGATTCAGGTCCTGGAAACTGCAGTACCTCCAGTGTCCACTAGAGGCAGTGTCTGCAGGAAGTGAGTCCACTTAGAGCCAGTGGCCGACCGTACCCTCAGTCTGAAACTAATACCTGCAGAGTTCATGAGACCCTGTCAGTCTCAGCTGGTTCTTCTTCCAGGACCGACCACCTCGTGGACCTATTCTACGAAGCAAGTTCGCTCAACTTAGCACGGTCGCAAGCGGTCTCGCTAAACGGTCTTACGACGTTGGTTATCTACCCCGCAAGTGGATCCAGCTTTGCTATGAGCGCCTGCATGCATGTAAGGCGGAGCCCGCCGCATCTGACCAATCGCGAACATGGACCAGTCTGGAGTGTCACAGCAGGCCGGAGAGCAAAGGACCACATACTTTACAAACGAGGAGCAGGAGACATCATGAGAAAGTATGAAGAATTCAAATCTATCATAAACTTTAAAAGCAACACCGTTGCTGCTGCAAAAGCACGAACGGAATTCTGGCAGAAAATTGCAGACAGTCTCAATGCGTAAGTATAGTGCGCAAAAAATCTTCACTTTGAAATAGCACTGTTCAACATGCGCTTTTAACATACACCAGACATGTCTAATTCATTTCCAAGATGAATTCATTCATTTGTTCATTCCTATTGTGTTTACTTTTTTTGTGTGATATGTAGGCCATATGAGCCTTTCATTAAAGGTGGTCATCCGAGGTGGTAATCCAAGTGGGTCTGTGCGGTCCCTGAAAACTCTTGCGCGCCGGAGTGCTTCTCGGACAATGCGAGCACAGAGGTCTATAGGATCCTCCAAGGACGGACAAGCCATTTTTCGAGAGAGCTCATTGGTCAGTGGGCGGGGTTTTTATACTCGGTGAGTTCAATCTGGAACCTAACCTGCCCTGGAGCAGGTTAGCCATTCAGCGTACGTTGCCATGGAGACTCACCTCGCTAAGAAGTGAACCCCGTTGTAGAACAGGAAACCCCGAATTTACCTTCGAAGTTACCTCGCTAAGCAGTAATCCTGCTTTGTAGAATAGGCCCCAGGTCTGACAGGTCTGACGAAGCAGGACTACTGCTTAGCAAGGTAACTTCATCATGGCTGATGACAGTGGAAGTAGGATGTCGAGGGTTTCCAGCACAGTAAGTGTGGAATCTCCTGACTAAGGTGGGACTGAGAGGCCACTTGAGGAAGACAGCTGTTCGTAGGCTCGGAGAAGCGGCAGAGAGAGCCTCCTGTTGGCTCTGGCACAAGAGAGAGGACAATAGCTGGAAGCCTGAATGAGAGGCGCAGTGACGTGGCCAGTCACTGCGGACCTGCCAACTTGAGGGTGTTGTGGTTAAGGGTCGAAACACCCCATGATGGTTGGGGACCACCTGATGACCTCTCATCCAGGCCAAGGCTTTATCCATTTAAGCAATGGATTACAATTGCATCGTGGATGTATTTACGAACAGTCTAACCATCAGAGCTCTAATAAAAAATACACAAATAAACAAACATACAAACAAACAATAAAAAAACAAACAGACAACAAATAAAACAAACAAAAAACAAACAAACAAAAACAAACAAACAACAAACCAACATAAACTCACAAATAAACAAATGAACAAACAAACAAATAAACAAACAAATAAAAAACAAAAACAAACAAATAAACATACAAAAACAAACAAATGAACAAACAAAAACAAATAAACAGACAGCAAATAAACAAAAAGACAAACAATAAAAAACAAACAAAAACAAATGGACAAACAAATAAATAAATAAATGGACAACAAATAAATAAACAAACAAAAACAAACAATTAAACAGTCAAAAAATACAGAACACAAACAAAGAAAAAACAAAGAAAACTAACTAACAAATAAAAAAACAGACAACAAAAACAAACAAACAAATAAACAAATGACAAATCATGTAACCAGAAACCAACAAACGTACAAAAACAAGTAAAACTAATAAATAAATAAATAAACAAAAAACAAAACAAATAAAATAACAAACAAACACACAAACAAATCAATCACTCAATCAATCAATCAATCAATCAATCAATCAATCAATCAATCAATAAATAAATAAACAAACAACAAATAAACACAACAAAACTAACAAACAAACAGACAACAAACAAGCAAACAAACAAACAAATAGACAAACATAAAAAATAAATAAATGAATCATAAATAAATAAATGAATAAAAAAATAAAAAAATAGGAAACCACAAACAAAAAAAGACAAACAAACAAATAAACATAAATAAATAAATAAATAAGCAAACAAATCAGGAAACCACAAACAAAAACAAACAAACAAACAAACAAACAAACAAACAACAACATTATCATTTAACGTAACAAACTGAAGGACTTGAAGAGGGCGGTTCCAACCTTTGATGAGACGAGTACAAAATCAGAAAAGAACATTTGAAAAAGTTATTCTGTAAATAAACACAACAAACACACACACACAAACAAACAAATAAACACAACAAACAAACAAATAAACAAACAAACAAGCAAATAAACACACAAACACAACAGTGAGCCTTAGTTTGTTTCAGGATGAGAAAACAACATTTATAAACTAGAAAAATTGCATTTCCTTGCAGAAAATGCGTGGAAATGCTGAGTGCTGAAAGCTGAAAAAGCAACGCAAAACTGCTAAAAAATAGAGGAAGGTTTAAATGTAAAATTGGTTAAAGGGCTGAAGAAGAAGAAGTAGAAGTCGGATGAAAGTGAAAATTGTTGAAGTACAAATAGTATGAATGTACTTCATAAATTAAAACTGCATTCATGCTGAATAAGGCTAGAAAAACTGAAATTGAAAAAAAAATTGGATAAGGAAGAAAATTACCTTAAAACACAGAAAAGTGAAAAGTGGCATAAGTTTAAGTTGTAGTTCTGGAAGTAGTATGATAATAGGTAGTTTTAGTAGTGATATTAGTAGTCATGTAAGCAGTAGAAGTAGTTTTAGAATAGAAGAAGTAGAAGTCAAAGTAGTAAAGCTCGTGGTAGTGGCAGTAAAAGTTTGAGACGCAGTAAAAAAACATTTAGAGAAGCAAGAGTAGTGGAGGTAGAAGTGAAGATACAAGTTAAAGTGATATTAGTTGTTATTGTAGCAGTAAAACTGGGAATCTGTTTGAGGAATTCAAAAATGCAAAATAATGAGAATGATTTTATAATGGGAAAAATTTGAATAATTAAACATCCTCAAGTATTAGACATCAGTTTGAAAAAGTTTAAATTTGTCATAAGAATTGAATAATGTATTAATAATGGGATTAATTTCAAAGTGGGGAAAATTTAAATGAGTAAAAATCCTGAGTACACCCCATAATGTCCTCAATGAGCTGAATATTTGGAGCCCTGAATGGTTTCTGTAGTTCAAAGTTTGTGGGAGGAGATAGGGGCCGAAGTTTGTCAAGCGCTCTAGTGAAGGGATTTAAATGTAACCGCCAGTGCTCTGTGTGCTGAGCCTGACTTCATGTGTCTCATACGGCCATTAGAAGCAGCTTTCCAGTCAGCTGTGTGTCTCCAGGTGCACTAATTGGTTGCCATGGGGACCGTAGATGCATCACTTCAGCAGGAGAAAGGAGGCCTGAAGCTGAGAAACAAAATCCCAGACTATGCCCTGATGTTCTGATGCTATAAGGCTTAGAAGGTGTAAGAATAAAAGGAAGAATTGGAAGATTTCCCCATTGACTTCAATGTTAATATTTTGGCACAAAAAGTTAAAAAAAAAAAAAAGTATAAAGGATAGAAAAGTGAAAAATACATCCACACTTGTCCTGAAGGAGTGGAATAGTTTAAAGTTTGAATGGTTGAAATAGCACAAAATTTGAAGGAAAAAAAAGTTGAAAAGTTGCAAAAAAGGTACGGAATAATAATAATAATATTAAAGAAATAGGAGAATAACAATAAGTGGAAATGCTTAATCAGCATTTCCACTCAATAAATAACAGGAGAATAACAATAAGTTGAAATGCTTAATCAGCATTTCCACTTAATAAACAAAAATGGCTGACAGGAAGTACAATAAGTGGAAATTACTGGGGCGGCAGTAGCTCAGGAGGTAGAGCGGTCAGCCAATAACTGAAAGGTTGGCGGTTCGAGCCCCATCCTGTCCCTGGTCTGTCCATTGTGTCCTTGGGCAAGACACTTAACCCACCTTGCTCCCAGTGTGTGTCCTCTACTGGTGTATGAATGTGAGTGCTGTGTGGTGGTGGTCGGAGAGGCAGTAGGCGCAAACTGGCAGCCATGTTTCCATCAGTCTGCCTCAGGGCAGCTGTGACTACTAAGGTAGTTTACCACCACCGAGGTGTGAGCGAATGAATGATGTATCCAATGTAAAGCGCTTTGGGGGTCTCTGATAAAGCACTATAAAAATCTGATGCGTTATTATTATTATTATAATGCTTAATCAGCATTTCCACTTAATAATGACCGAGACCAAATATTTAAGGGTAAATCTTTCACTCAGAAAAAAACGAGTTTGACCAACTTCCTAATGGACAAAATCATCGCCACACAACTGTGTGTCACAATCAGACAGAAATGAGTGAGAGGTCAGCCCTGAATTATTAGAGAAGAGGAAGTGGTCGTCAGGTGGAGCCTTGAGGAACACCTCTGAATATCTGATATGAACCCCCTCAAAACTTCAACAATGACCAACAACATGAAGGTTCTGCAATAGGAGATGGTGGTCCACCAAATCCAAAGCTTTGGTACAACCCTGAGAAGGAGCTCCTGAGAAATGACCACGATCAGAACCGGACTGAACTTTAGGAGGACAGCAGTCCTGGAGGAGTTTGGTCTGAGACAGATGATGAGAAAGTTCATCAAAGCTCTGGAGATTCAGTGAAAATCCCCAGAAACCGAGCGAGACACCAAAACAGGTCCAGAACTGAAGACACGGAGAGCTGCTACGCCGGATGACGGAGAACGTGACCAAGAAAACATCAGACAGTCTGAAGGTCATCTCACCTGAGTCTGAGTCTCCACTCTGAGCCTCCAACCGAGCAACCAGGAGGAGCAACATCCAGACCTCCCAAACACACAGCATCTCCTCTATGACACCTCCTTTTCTGGGGTCCTCCTCACAGCTGCACAATGAACTCCTTCTCTCTTCTCTCCTTTTCTCCTTCTCTCCTCTCTTCTTCTCTCTTTCTCTTCTTCTCTCCTTTTCCCCTTCTCCCTTTCTCTCCTTTTCTCCTTTTCTCTCCTTCTCCCTTTCTGTTCTTCTCTCTTTTTTCTCCTTCTCTTCTTCTCTCTTTTGTCTCCTCCTCTCCTTCTCTCCTCTCTCTTTTTCTCTCTTTTCTCCCTTTCTCTCCTCCTCTCCTTCTCTCCTCTCTCTTTTCTCCTTTCTCCTTCTCTCTTCTCTCCTCTTCCTTTCTCTGCTTCTCTCTGCAGGCTTGAAGCGCTGCACTCTGAGCTCTTCAGCTGTGGTCTCTCCTGCTCAGCCGGCGGGTTCAGAGAATGGGGGAGGAGGTGAGGGAGTGGTGTGTAGAGGAAGGAGGAGGTGCAGCTCGGCTGTGTTTTTACTCACAGGATGCTCTGTAAATCTGAAAACAGCAGAGAAGAGCAGCCTGTACAGTGAAGAAGAAACAGTCAGTAAACCCTGACACAGTCACAAACAGCAGACGTCCACCATCAGAGACCAGGAGACAAACCTTCACAGGAGAACTTCCCAGCAGAAAGACCAGAATCTCAACCCTGACTGAGGTCTACAGGTCTGAAGACGCCCTGAACCATGTTAAGAAACTTGATAATGTGATTTCCTGTTTCAGAGACCTGATGGTTAAAAATGCCCGTTTTTGTTTGGACCACAAGTAAACAACAAACTTCAGATGTTGAACCTGATGAAGGTCTCTGACGTCTGACCTTCAAATGTGGTCCCAGTCTGGCCTGATAGAAGATTTCAGGGTCTTCTTGGTCCTGCTTTTGGGACAATAAGTGTTCCCTCCTGGATAAGAAGAAACCGACACACCAAGTCCTTCAGAATCAGTGAGGACTTTTCAGAGGCTGCAGGAAACATGTTTGCTAAGTTCAACCCCAGTCTGATTTCATACATGTGAGCCTGCAGGGCGTGACACAAACTTTTTTATACATGTTTTCCTAAATCAAAAAAGTAAGGAGCACACAAAGAACTTTAGGGGATCAAATAATGTTTGTCTTATTGATCAACCTTAGTACTATTATTTGAAATCAATTTTAGGTCTTTTGGTCACATGACATGGAAGCTATTGAAGGAAAACAGCCTTTTCTAAGAACATCAACCGGTAATTTATTGATGGTCCCTTATTCAACAGCTGACGTTGACAGCAAGGGTGCCGAGTAGATTTAACCGCGCTGCTGTTGTCATTCCCGGTTATGGAGAGTGAGAAGACACCGGTAGATCCTTAGTGAATGTCCGTCAAATATCCAACCTAAAACTAACTTCACTGCCGTATTTACGGAAAAAAACAATTTGTTGATTTTTTTTTATGCGCACATGTGACCCTAAATGCATTTTACTTTATTTCACATACATCTATTTTTAGTCGCAAATGTGAGTGAAACGGTCGAACTGTCGAGACCTGGTCTGTCATGAAGGGAAGACAGACAGACAGACAGGTGAGGATGTTGTTGCTGTTGTTGTGGTGGTCTCTGGGTCAGCTGGGGTCTCCTCTCCTCTCTGTAGTAAATACAGTCGTGAGTTCACGCTGGCCTGCTTTGAAAACAGAGCAGCAAGCCAAGGCGACAGGAAGTGGGCTGTGAGCTGCTGGTTAGAGTTTCTGCAGTTTGGCGGAGAGGAAGACTGAAGACGATGCTGCAGGTTTGACTTCACAGATCTGAGAGAGAGAGAGAGAGAGAGAGAGAGAGAGAGAGAGACGGTTTCAGAGCTGCTGTCCTCCAGAGAAAGACCAGGATGATGGTCTGAGATGGTCTAAGATAGTCTGAGATGGTCTGTCCTCCTCTGGTGTCACTGTTTCATCTCTGCAGAGGACCTCCTCATGTGTAGAGTTTCAGGTCCGACTCCAAAGATACACTTCAAACCTGAGTCTACCTTTAAATGGGGTCCAAGATACACTCAGATTAGATTAGATTAGATTAGATTCAACGTTATTGTCATTATACTTGTTCAGAACAATGCAACAAAATGCAGTTTAGCATCTGACCAGAAGTGCAATAGCGCAAGTATCAGATAATAAAGACATAGATAAACCCTTATCTTTTGCTGACATATATTTAGCAATGGTCTATTCATCAATGTATATCTAAAGGTAAATGGAGTAAAATGGTGCATTTCCATGAAAGCAACATCTGAGCATTGTGAACAAAACCTTGAAGTTACTCCCAACTGTTCAGCCTGTAATGGCCTTGCTTCCAAACTTTTGGCCTGTAGTGTATATATTTCTATATATCAATCTATATCTATATATATATCTATATCTATATCTATATATATATATATATATATATTCCGAAAACTATTATAATCCGAAGTTCCTGTGAGGAGATTCGGTTTCTGTATCTGAGCAAAAATCAGAATTTCATGGCGATGTTGAGACTGAATCCTGGAGAACGGAGCGCGGGTGGAGGGTTGGGGGGTGCAGGTGTGTGTGTGTGTGTGTGTGTGTGTGTGTGTGTATCACCCTGCTTTCTGCTGCAGGAGAGTCAGAGGAGACAAACATAGAGGCAAACGAGGAGACGACTTTGTATGAGCTGTGAGTGTGTGTGTGTGTGTGTGTGTGTGTGTGTGTGTGTGTGTGTGTGTGAGGTGGTTCAGACAAGCTGCACACACACACACGCACGCACGCACGCACGCACGCACGCACGCACGCACACAGAGTCAGAGTTACCACAGCCCTGAGGTTCATATCTCTGTCAGCATCACAAACATGTTCGTCTGTGGTTTCTCTGTTTATGCTGGATGAGTGTGTTTACACTCAGACCGCACACACACACACACACACACACACACACACACACACACACACACACACACACACAAGTGTGCGGCTGTGCAGAGTTTGTGTTTTTCCTTTCAGCTCAGTTTTCTCGCTGTGATCCATCAGCTGTCACAGATTACCCAGAATGCCACAGTGCGGGGAAACAGTCATGTCAGTCAGGTTCACTGTAACTGAAGGACCTCCAAACTCTGGTCACCACAGATCTGAAAGAAGAAGAAGAGAGAGAGCGCTAGTCTCATCATCTCATAGGGAGGCTAAAGCGAGCTCCTAGCAGCAGCTGATTCTTCTTCTTCTTCTTCTTCTTCTTCTTCTTCTTCTTCTTCTTCTTCTTCTTCTTCTTTGTTTTACCCTCCTCCTGTGTTCGGTTCTGCTCCGACCTGTTTTTGATTTTAAACTCTTAAAAGAACCACTTAACTTCGCTTTTCTGCATCAAGACTTTTTGACTTTGTCAGGAACCTCTTTTTCAACAAAATAAAAATTTAAAAATTAAATTGAATAAATTCTAAAATGCTCTTATTAAAATTATGGCACTTGTCGTGTTAGGGTCGCTGTTGACCCAGTTAGATCAATATCTAATAATCAGAGCAAAAACTGAAATCATAAATGCACTGACAGTCAGATCCTCTTCCAATCATGTGAGATTTAGGATATTCTCATTTTTCCTGTTTCCTGCACACAAAAGAGAAACGTCGGACATGTCCAGACATGTGAGATCAGTTCAGTATAGATGTCTGTGTGAGGTAGTGATGGGCACAGCAGTTCTTTCAGATGTACTGAATCACTAGAATCAGTTCACTAAAAAGATTCGTTCAAAAGATTCGTTCATTGAATCACCGAATCATCCAGTGCTTGGTAGGAAGAGCCTGTGACACCGATCTCCTGAACTGATACACAGCTGAACAGTTCAGGGTTCACCGTCTGTGACCGAAAGACGAGAGTGTTTATCTGTGTTTCTTTGGCAAACAGGTTTGTAAAAATGAACTTGTTTATAAGTCATGATGTTTTCAGTGTACTGTACTATGGTATGCTATTTATCAGGTCTGCTCTGTAAATTGGACTCAGTGAGTGATTCGTTTACTGAACGTTTAGAAGAATTCACACTAAACATACACCATTCCCTCGCAAACCGCTGCAATGATAGGATGCTGCAGGTTTAATGCACTACTTGTTCCATGCTGTGTCCTATTGTATGTGAGTTGTTGTGCTGGCAATTTAGCAGTGAAAAAAAAAGTTAGTTTTGTCCAACAAAAATGGTTACAGAGAGTGTAGTTCAATGCGTGATTCGTGCATGTGGTCCCTCGTTCGCCGGCTGCTCGACTGGCAGTGCTGTTTCTCACTTTAGCTCAACTGAAATGAGAAATGAATGAATCACTTGAGGAAGTGATTCAGTTCAGTATGTTTACCTAAAAGATTTGGTTCTTTCGAACGAATCGTTCACGAATGACTCAACACTATTGTGAGGGGTATACTGACAAAGAAAGGCAAACGAGGACCACGACAAAAAAAACGATTATAATCAATATTTTCATGGATAATGTAGCCGAACAAGGTAACCTAGAGATGAGAACCAAACTGGATGAGAGAGAATTGTTTTAAATTTACAGCTGATTTAAGACATGGGTCAGAACCGATCCATTAACATGGAGGGTGTGTAGTAAAAGCTAACACAGGAGGAAGGTGAAGAAGACGTGTTCGTCAGGGTGAAGGTCGTGAAGGTGAACTCACAGTATGACTGAGTCTGTTAACTTCGGAACATCTGAACTCCTCCCAAATCCGACTGTTTTAATCTGAAGGTTTCCAGAATATTCTGAGCAGTTTTTATATTACCATTATATACAGGCTTATCACAGGGTTAGACCTGACCCAGTCAGGTTTGACTCAGAGGAACTGATCTAGACTATCCCTGAGCTTCAGTGCACCCCCACCTCCCCGTGTTGGTCAGATATTGTTCTGGTCTCACCTGGAACACAAACAGAACCTGAACTTGAGTTTCTGCAGAGATCTGGACCACTGAAACTGGACTGTAATTTCAAGAAAGTCAGACCTCAGCTCCTCTGGGACCGTTTAACGTCTCCATGAAACCTTCAGAGAAAAAAAACACACACACTTACATAATTATATACACCCTTATACATGTAAACCTGTGTCACGTATTTGTGCCTCCATGTTTTCACCTCCTCCTTCCATGTTACCACAGACACACACACAGTCACACACACACACACAGACACACACACACACACTGCTGACAGGAGCAGGATTGTGCAGAAAGGTGTTGCATGTCGTGCAAACAGGTTGAGAGATGACTCTTCACCACTTCCTCTTCCTCACTCGCTGTTTCGCTCTGAAGCTGCTCGAGTGTTTTTAAAGGATGAAGATGACACACACACACACACACACACACACACACACACACACACACACACACACAGTCTGACAGAGACTCAGGTACAGGTGTGTCCAGCTGTCCTTTCCATGTTTTTCAGCAACTTCATCAAAAACTCATAGTAACCAACCAGGCTACTCAAAGTAAAGCAGGTTTACAGCTCAGCTCTGTAAGGAGGGCTGTGATTGGCTCATTTGCAGAAGTTTAGCTCTCCTGTTGCAGCAGGTTGACCTTCCTGACCCTCTGGATGCCTGTTTACTGCACAGACTGTTTCAAGAGAACGTCTCCTCATTTATTTCTGTATCAGAGGACAGCTCCACATTAATGACCAAATGAGACTGACTGCAGGGAAGAAACCCTCAGGTCTGAATTCTCTTGGTCTCCATATGATGCCACCAGTGTTGAGTTGTAACGTGTTATTAGTAACGCTCTTACTTTATTCAGTAACTAATAATGTAACACGTTTTTTTTATTTTTATTCGGTAACTCCATTCCTGTTACCAAATGCTGCGTTACTCCGTTCTTTTTGGTGAGGTTTTACAGCGGCACACAGTTCCCATAACATTTAAGCGATCAATACAGTTTAATTGAATTGAAAAACAAAGCTCTTATCACTCTTCAGCTTCACACACATAATCAAACATGCGCTATGAAGAGGACCGGACAGGTTAGGAAACAATGAGAAGGGGAAGATAAGTTTCTACTTTTGGATATACTCACATAATTTTCAACTGGAGAGCAAAGGGAAAAACATGTAAACTGTGTTCCGTGTCAAAAATCCTTTCTACAGTGAACAACAGCAACAGAAATCTACTGAAGCTCCTAGAGGAGCGGCATGCTTCAACAAAGTTAGCTGCTAAGATAACACAGCATCCACGACCAAGAGTCACAGCAGCGAGCACACACCCACTCCACCCAAGCAACAGTGAGCTCAAAAGACGGACAATATCCAGACACAACGTAATAAAACAACAGTTCGGTATGTTTAGTTGTTAATTTGGATTTTTTTTTTTTGTGTGTGTGATATCAGGCTACTATTCTAGGAGTCCAGCTGTAAAATTTTGGTGTAAAGGTCCTTACACACTGGGAGCGTTTTTTTCATTCAGACGTCAACATTTTTTTTCGAACCCATATCCTGTCAATACAAGCGTTCACATCAGCGACGTTTTCCCGTCCTGCAATATTGCGGCTTTTTTTTTTTTGGATCACTGTCGATTTTTCTAAAGTTTCGCATACTATGTGTCCACTTCTGACCAATCAGATTGCATGTTGTTACGACGTCTGATTCACCGGTATGTCCAACATGGCCGACCGGCTGATCATTTACGTGTCGGAGAACAGAGTGCTTTTTGATGAAAAACACAAATATTACAAAGATAACTGTGGTGTGGCTGGTGAGTTGTGAGGACCCAGAAGCAGACACGGAGACAGAGATCAACTGTAATTTTATGTCCAAACACAGGTTTTAAATGCAAAAAGAGGAAGTCTGGTAGGCTGGTTGGCTGGCTGTCGTGTGGGCTGGAGACACTGCAGAAAAAACCAGAGGAGAAGGAAGTAAGCGAACATGCAACGAATCACAAGGAGCAAAGTACTGATACTCATACACATAGGAAGGCTAGGAGACCTGCTGTACCGCTAGGAAGGGTAGACAATACTCAGGCGCTGAGACTGAGGGCTGCTGGCTTCTTAAAGTGTCTTGATTGTAGATGTAGCGCAGGTGTGTAGTCTCACTCAGCCTCAGTGACCGGGGGAGGGGAGGAAGCTCTGAAAGCGAGTAAAGCCAGACCAGGCAAACAAAGAAACACAGGAAGTCCAGCCAAAATAAAACAAGAGGCGGAGGAGTCTCACCACAATAACAACCTGAAGGACAACTTGTGGAGAGTCATAGCATCCGATTTCTCATATGACAATGGTTTGTGTGCTTTAACAGTTTGCTAAACGTCTTTGTTTTAACTTTCATCTGTGCTAAGTAACTGTAGCTCATAAGCTAACCTGTTGTCCATGTAGGTTCTCAGTCATCCAAGTCATGGTTTTCTTGAAGACTCCAAAATCAGAGTAATGTGGTGTATGCCGTCCAGTGCAGTGAGGAATGCTCGGACCTGTACATTGGGGAAACTAAACAACCGCTTCCCAAGCGCATGGCTTAGCACAGGAGAGCCACTTCCTTAGGTCAGGACTCAACTGTCCACCTTCACTTAAAGGACATGGGTCACCTGAACGATGTTCTTGTATGTCTATAAGACTATCTTGTACAGATTTATGTCGGTGCATGTGAGAAGGCTTCAAAGGAAACAGGAAAGAGCTGTATGGGATGATGACTCTGATCAAAGTGATAGTGATGCGTAATATACGCACCATGTCACCATGTACAATTTGTTATTGTGTAAAGGATTACTACACAGAGATTTGAGATTTTTATTATTTTTATATTTGTTCTACGTTTGTCTGTGTTTGTGTTTTGATCTTTATTTTCATATTCTGGAGGGATTGATAAATGTCAGATGTTTTGACACTTTGATACTTGAATAAATGTTTTATACCATATTTTGAATTAATTCAGACCTTTTGTGCATTTATTTTTGTCCTGTTACATTTTTTCCATTATTCCAATTTTGGGGGGCTTGGTTGCAATTTGATTGATTTTTCTGCCATTTATGGCCATGGTGTGCTGTTTATATTTTATTGCTTTTATTACACGGTAGGTTGTTTCATTTTTATGTATGAAACATAAGCTTTTAGCTAGATTTACTGTACATATTGTATTGTGCTGGGTGCAAATCACTTGAGTTGAGAGGTTTGCTACATTTCATAATCTCACTTATGCGTATACTATGGCACCAATAACTGTTTCAGATGTTGGGTAGATGTATTTATGACATTTGAGAAAGATTTTGTCTTGCCAGAATCAACATGGCAGTTTCTACAAACAAAAACAGCAGCACCATATAATTGTTTTTTGTGTGACTCACATATGTACATTTCTGGCTGGAGACAAAAGTTGGACAGATAGTCTGAGTAGATATTTTAACCCAAAGTCCAGAAGGGTATTGTCTATGCAAAAATGCATTGAACAAGTAGCACCAGCGTAGTTAAACGAAATTCACTTTCTAGGCACTTTTTCCTTTGTCCCAATACAGCCTAATTAGAGGTGTTCCAGGCATGTCCAACCAGGAGGAGACCTCGTGGCCAGCCCAGGACCAGGTGGAGGGATTATATCTCCTGCCTGGCCTGGGAGTGCCTGAGAATCCCCCCTGGAGGAGATGGTGGAAGTGGCTGGGTTAAGGGCCATCTGGGCTTCCCTCCTAAAGCTGCTGCCCCTGCAACCCGGACCCAAATGAAGCGGGAGAAAACTACGACAATGACTATGAGGGTCAAGGGGCTTTTAACAGGACCGCACCAGCAGGCCTCTAGTGGACCATGAGGAACTGCAGTTTTTTGTACTTCAGTGTTTGTCCGCATGTTTTAAAGCTGGAGACCGAGAGGATGAGGGGGACCAGCAGGGGGCGCTGCAGCAGACTCACTGATGAGGAAATGAAAACATGTTCATCCACACTTGGAGCACACACACACACACACACACACACACACACACACACTCTCTGTCAGTGTGTGTGTGTGTGTGTGTGTGTGTGTGTGAGGCCATGCCACCTGAGCGACAGGTAAACCACACACAGCTGGAACAACTGACAGAGAGAGGGTCTGCTGTGGGAATCCTCCAGACTCTGAGTTCTCACTGAGCTGATCACAGTTTCAGGATTTATGACAGGAAGTGCTTTTATTCTGAAATCAAACCCAGACCAGGATCTACTTTGAGGGTTTATATATATATATATATATATATATATATATATATATATATATGTAAAATTTACGAAAGGATTTTTCTGATCATTTTTTCATAATTTAGTGTTTGATTACATTTCTTAGTTGTGTTAAATGTGTTTGATAAAGTTTTTTTTACACTTTATGATTTAATTCAAATTTTGTAAAATTGTGTCCACTGTTTATGAAATGTTTTTGTGGTCATATTAGTGCAGCTGACCTTTAGGGCCACCGTACTTTTTAGTCCATGAAAATGATCATTTCTCAGTTTGTAATAAAAATGTGAAGATTGTGTTTTAGTGGAAAAAAAATGAGTTTAATTCTTTAACAGGAGACGAGGAACAAAAAATCATCAAATATCAAACCACATATTTGTATTTATGAGTCAAACTTTCTTCATTTGTCAAAAATATTCGGAGAAACAGGAAGTCACTTCGATCACAGATTCAGACAGAAGATAAAGATCAGTTTTTCAGCACAGAGAGGTCTGAAGCTTTCAGGTACAAATATATATTTTTATCATCAAACCTTCTTCAGGATTTTGAGCTTCATAAAAAGTGTTTTAAAAGTTTGAAACTCTGCAGACAGCAGCATCAAAATAAAAGTTTTCTACAGGCAAAAAATGATGATGATGATGAAGCAGATGAGGAAGATAATGTCAATTTAACCGAAAATAATAACCGAGATTTATGGCAGCAGACTGCAGTATCTCCTCTGACACCAGGGGGCAGCAGAGCACACCGACAACACCTCTGTGTTCGCAACGCTTCACAATGAGGAGGAAGAGGAGGAGGATAAAGGAGAAGAGGAGGAGGAGGAGGAAAAGGAGGAGGAAGAAGGGTAGAAGGAGGAAGCAGAAGAAGAAGAGGAGTAGAAGAAGGAAGAGGAAAAGAGGAAGAGGAGGAGGAAAAGAGGAAGAGGAGGAAAAAAAGGGGGAGGAGGAGGAAGAGAGGAGGAAGAGGAGGAAGAGGAGGAAGAGGATGAAGAAGAGGAAATAGAGGAGGAGGAAGAGGAGGAGGAGGAAGAGAAGGAGGAGGAGGAAGTAGAAGAAGAAGAAGAGGAGGTCCTGTGCATAGCTGCTGTGTGGGTCTCTGCTCTGCACAGGTGTGAGGCACGCTGACGTGGACCTAAGTCCGGTTGGTGGATCAAGTCTTTGAGGGTCAGAGTGTGCGTTTGGTTCTGGAGTCACAGACCAGGACCTGGACCAGGACCAGGTCTGCTGTGGTTTTTCAGGGAGACTTAGACCCTGATGAGGAAGTCAAGGCCGAGTGAGGCGGGGATGTGCAGCATCTCCAGGCTGAGGGCCGACGGCGTATACGGGAAGAGGACCGGGAACATGTGCTTGGTGTCCACCAGGAGCTGAGGGGGGTCGTTCCGGTCCTGGAGCTGGTTCTGTGCACACAGAGGGACACGCAGATTAGACCAGGTCCACACCTGACAGCCGTACCCCTCAGAGGAGTCTGGGTAAAGACAGTTTTTAGGACTGACCCAGTTTAGGTCCAGGAGTATGGAGCTAGGCCCCCCTGAAGGATCAGGATCCTGGACTCTGAGGGGTTTTCCCCTCGTCAGGGTTCAGGACTTTGCTGACACCTTTGTTAAAATCTGCTTTTCTGTGGGTCCGGGTGTGGAGACCATAGATATAAATATATATAAACACTAGATGTCTTACACACGCTGTTAGCCAATGGAGACCAACCTCTGTGCATGGCGGCCATCCTGCTAAGGGCAGCTCGCCCCCACCTAACATTCCAGTCTACGGTTCATGTAACATTTAAATAACCATAGATTGATTAATTTTAGACAGATTTTTGAACAGTTTGGTTTGTAACAAACCTCAGAGTTTTAGGCTATGTTCACACTGCAGGTTATAATGCACAATTCAGATTTTTTGTTAAATCCGATCTTTTTGTGCAGACGTTCACATTACAACAACGAATGCGGCATCTAATGTGAACGGAATGCGTCCGTGAAAGGACCGGCATGCGCACAAAGCACAAATTGCTTTCTGCGCCTGTTTGTGTTGTTGAACAATGGTGATGTTTGTCGCATATTGATGACGTATAGGTCAGATGAACACGACTGAGCGTCCACACTGCAGTCACATTCCATTCATATCTGATTTATATCCACTTAAAAAGAGGCCTGGGTTGGATTTGAAAAAATCAGAATTGCACTGTTTACACTTACATGAAAAAATCAGACATGTGTCACATATGGTTAAAAAATCAGAATTGACCTGCAGTGTGAACATATGCAGTTATGTTCCTGCATACTCAAGAATAATTTTAACCATGGATTTTCATAAATAAACTTGAAGTAGATAGGTAGAGCAATAGCTACAGACACCAGGCAGTTATATTAAATCATTTATATATAAAACATTTAATCATTACATGTATGTTAATTCAGTAATATTTCTATCATAGGGATAACTATAATAACATCAATCATACTTTATTTTTAAAGCACTTTAAAGCACAAAGTGCTGTCTATTCGCTGTCCAAACCCCACCCACCCTCCCAACCCCCATTCAACACATACAGCACACACACACACACACACACACACACACACACACACACACACAGATACAGATACACACACTAAAGACCAGGGGACTTATTTATCAAAAGTGCGTAGAAAAGGTTCTGAATTCTGGCGTAGGAATGAAATTTACAATGTGCGTAAGTACAAAAAAATCCATATTTATCAAACGTGCGGACACCGGTCGTACGCACACACATAAGTAATCGGTGATGATAAATCCCACCTGTTCTTTACTACCATGCTCGTGCATGGTTAGGGTCATTTGCATTCAGGAACGCCTCCAATTGACCATATATGGCATCAACAATCCCTTTAAAAATGCGTGTATGAATGTTTTTCCTCCTCCTGGAGGTGCACACTCACAGCGCTGTTCTGCAGAATGGATGAGTCGTGCGTTCCTCCAGGCCACCGGGCAACAACGTTTAACAGAAACAAATGTGCATCGCAGATTATTTGTGCATTGATTGAATGAAATCTTTTCCTGTTGACAAATCTGAATTTACTGTGTGAAGGTGCTTTTATTGCGATGTGGGTGCAATCTACGGCTTCAATTGTGTTTGGGAATCCGGCGATGGCGTGAAATCCTCGTTTTATTTCGGCTTGTTGCTGATGTGTGTTTGGGAACTGGATGTAAATTGAGGCCGGAGAAATTATTGCTTTCAACTCTGTCGGCATGATTCTGCTTAGCTTTGGCTGTGAAATGCCGTATATGTCTCAAATCTCACGCTGAAATGTTCGAGTTAGGGTGGACAGGAGCTGGATGTGCGCTGGGATGGCTTTGGTGCGTTTTGTTTCTCGCTCCGACACGGGTGGTAAATCACGGCGTAAATCCATTAAAATGTTTTGGGGAAGTGGTACCTGCTGAGAATCCACTCTGAGTTCTCACTGAACAGATCAGCACGCTCTTTGAAAACGTGCTCCCAGCGGAGGAGTAGACGCTTCTCCAAGTCCTCCATTAGCGCAAAATAAACCGTTATACTTGTATTTGTACTTGTAAGACTTCTTTTGAGGTTGTCCTGTCACAGCAGATTTTTAAAGCTTGTCTCACCAATCATTCAAAATGTCTGCTAAATTACTAATTGATAAATTTTGTATAGAGACAACAGGAACATGTGTGAAGTTTGAGATTGCGGAACGCTGTGACTCCTTTAAGGGGTTCTATTTGTAGTTTTACTGTCCTACCACTAGGTTTTGTGTGTACGCATGGTCAGAGTTGTGCTTAAATTTACGCACGTTCCTAAGCACAAGTACAGGTTGATAAATTCCAGTGGGAATGTTCGTACGCACTCTTTACGCACACATCTGTGCGTACGCACGGTTGATAAATGAGGCCCCAGGACTCTTCAACTTGCCACAGATGTCTGAGGAAACGCTATCATGAGTTAAAAAAGATGAGCAAACATATAAACATACAACAATAACATATAACAACGACATATGTAAATATTTATTTTCAATATGAATTTCTGCCTGATGTTTCCATTTTAGATGTTTTTAACAAACCAAACAGTTTGGAAATCATGTGTAACTTAAGTTATGTTGAATCAAAAGAGCATTTCTGCCTCTTTAACTGATGTAAAATTACTGAGTCAATTTGTGATATATGCTTTGTCTCACTCACAGCGAGTCTGTTAGCCAAGTTAGACAGCTGATAAACACAAGCACATCCACAAACACTGACACTTAAACAAAAAAAATAGGCTGTCATACAAGAAATTAAAATCTCGATTGTAGTCTCAGCCTTGACAAAGTGACTCAAAGTTAACCCAAAGTGAAACAACTGTGTTTCATGATTAAGTCTTTTTTTTTCTCAAAGTAAATCTGTAATTTTAATAAGTCCAAACATCCTGACTCATAGTCACGTTATTTAGGTCTGTAATAAACTACTCCATTTGCGAATCTGTCAAGATTTCAGCGAGTTAAGAGTATTTTTGATCATATAGATTACTCACCTCCCATCAGCTACCATAGAGCGTATCAGAATGGTATACTGGAGTAAGATGGCCGTCATGGAGGGACGCCGGTGACTCCGCCTCATAGAGTCATCTAGCCTTTCTTATCTATATCTACAATTATTAGTACCTCTGGGAGCTGGTAAAGTTTGGGGACTACATGAAGACTGGGACCAGAGTTCGTCCCTCACATGGCAGGACATTTACTCCTCAGTAAAACCCGGTCTGCGGTGATGACCAAGGAGGAGTAATGACCTCCAATGAGTCAAAGGCAGACAGCGCCCTCTGCTGATAGAAAGACGGCACCACTAGAAGTCAGTAAGCCCCGCCCCTAACGCCACCTGTGTGAGTCTCACCTGGATGTTCCTGATGAAGGACACGGTGACCCTCTCCTCAAACTCGTTCAGAGGCGTGTACAGGTTCAGGATCTTCACAATCTGAAACATAGATCAACGTCAGGACTTCAACGTCAGGACCTCTGATCGGCAGGTGTGCCCATTGCCATGGCTACAGACCTGCTGGGTGGTGAGGGCAGTGCACAGCGAGCAGATGGCCTCTGCGTCCTGCGTGGTCTTCTTCTTGACCTGCAGCAGCTGAGCGGCCTGGATGATGGGCTCCAGAGTTGCGGCAGCTTTACTCTGGTACAGGTTATTTCCCCGGAGCCACTCCTCCATCTGACTGGTGTTGTACCTGCACACACACACACACACACACACACACACACACACACACACACACACACACACACACACACACACACACATACATACACACACACACACACACACACACACACACACACACACACACAAGTCAAAGGTGACAGATAAAGCCTGGGCCTGTGATGTCGTACAGGTGGTGGCGTTGAGGGCGTACCTGAGCTGCATGCCTGTGCTCCAGGAGCAGACGTCTTTGCGCAGCAGCAGGTTGTTGAGCGTGACAGCGTTGATGCAGTGGAAGAGCTGCCGGACCACCTGACCCACAATCTCAGGGTCCAGGCCGTGGTCTCTCATGATGGCGTGGAACTGACCCAGCTGTCGGATCAGAGCCTCCAGGGTGTAGCTGGTGGGGCCGCCGGCGTCTGTGTCCATGCTGGATGAACGGTTCCTGTAGCCCATCGGTTTGACCCCCGCCAGGCTGGGGATGCTCTCGCTCTCTAACATGGCCGACACTGGAAACAGGAGAGAGAGAGAGAGAGAGAGAGAGAGAGAGAGAGAGAGAGACAGACAGACAGACAGAGAGAGAGAGAGAGACAGACAGACAGAGAGAGAGAGAGAGATGAGGGGGCGTGTTTACCTGAGACTCAGCAGACAGCAGCTTCAGACTCTCCAACACCTCTGTGGGGTGTCTGCTGAAGGTGATGAGAGTCCTGAACGGTTCAGCGGTTCTCCTCCATGAGGTCTCGACTGACAGTAATTACTCCATTGTCACGGTGATGGCCGTGCGCAGATGATGAGTCATGGTTAAGGGAAATGAGTCAGAGATGAAGCTGCCTTCTCAGCAGCAGATGGTTTCTGTAGATGTCAGAGGAAAGTCCCAACTGATCCTGGTTCAGTGATGCCAGTCATGCCCGGAGAACAATAACAAGGAGAGACTCCTCAAAGGTGCTAAACTGAGGAGACAGGACCTTATCGATGGATTCTGACATGTAAAGTGTAAGTTTAGAAAATGCTCTTGCCATTTAATCAGTGATAAAAATCCAATTGAAATCCATAAAAATGTGCCTCAAGGGGCATCAACACACCGTTTGGTAGCGTTAATAATTATTTTTGTTCAGCCTCTGTCAGACTGTCAGACGGCGAAAATTGCTGCCGTTCCAGATCTGACCCATTCTGGAAGCCGTGGAAATGCTGGGTCAGTCTACTTCTGGCCCTGAAGGACAGTCTCAGCTCTTTTCAAAGACCCCAGAAAACAAACAGGAAGTTTGGATGTTTTCAGGACACCATTGTCACTGTTAGAGCTCACCACTGCACTGAGGACTCCTTTAAAAACAACGAGCAGTTCCAGCTCGATATGAGTCTTAGCTGATACTGAAACCTGGAGCTGTTTGTCTAGAAAGACCTTCATGACGCTCAGGCACAGAAGGACAGAGTGGAGCTGCAGCTGTGTAACACCCCTGGGCTGTGTCCGACTTTAAATCAGTGTAGACGCGGACAACAGGAAGTCCTGAGGCTGGAGAGTTTTGAGAGACGCCAGGATGAGATATGGAGATTTTTAAATGGCTAACCATACTAACCTACTCTAGACTGATGTAGTGAAGGGTTTGAATGAGTGGAGTGTGTTTCCTTAAAGGCAAATCAGTCAAATTTCTGCTTCATTCTTGTCTCGAGGTTTTGTTTGGTTCAAGAGTTCCCATCTTCACGTCCTGCTGAGATCCTCAGTCTGAGGGCCAACACCAGACTGTGGGACAGCACCCTCTGGTTTTTGGACAACAAATTCAAAAACCAAAAAATTTTTTTTTTTCACCTCAGCTCAGGAGGGCCAAAGAGATAGGAGGGGTTTGTTAAAGTTATTTTCTATTTTCACTTTGTTAGCAATCTGATGGTTTAAAACACCCAAATAAATGTGCTGACAGTATGGAGGCCCTGAAGGTGAATGGCAAAAATAATCAGGAAACACAAACATTTGATAAAAAATTAATAAATATTTCACAGGAACACAAAATATTTTAGAAAATGAAAAAAATGTTTTTCTGAATGAAACTTTTTTTTAACTCTCTATAATATATCTTCCAACAACAATCAAGTGGAGCGGCTCTACTTTCACTTTAAAAGTCGTTCTTAATATCGAGGGATTTGTCAGGAACCAAAAACTTAATTTTAATTTTAACTTTAACTTTTATTTTTAATAACATTTTATTGAAATGTTCAAATTAATTCATCCTCTAAAATATTTTTGTTTTTAAATTTCATTTTCTTAAAGATTTTTACATTCTCAAAGTTATAAGTGTTCCTTAAACATTATTTTTTTTCAAAATTTTACAGATTTCCTAGAATATTTCTGTTAAAATGTTTCCATTTTAAAAATATTTTTGTTTTCAAAATGTATTTGCTAAATAATTTTTTGTTTTTTAAACTTTATCCTTTTCAAAAACAGTTTTGTCTTTTGAATTTGTTAATTTTTAAAATGATTTTTGTTGCCAAAATTAAACCATTCACTTTCATACTTTTCTTCTAAAAAATGATTGAATTTCTTTAATAGTTTTGTTTTCATTTAAAATTGTTTATCAAATATTATTTTGTTTTCTGAAATTTAGATACTGCCTTAAAAATGTCTTCATTTTAAATTTTGTGTTCATGTGGAATATTTTCATGTTTGTGAATTATGTATGAATTTTAGGAGCAGGCAGCAACAACCAGCAAAGAACACCATAGCTTTTGTCAAGGCTGGAGAGAAGGTGCACCACTCCTCAAGAACAACAGGAGGGCTTCTAACAGCAGCCCGGGACTGGCAGCTGAAGGTGGACCTAGGGAAACTGCTCAAATTTCCAACTTCCATTGCTGAGACCTCACTCAGGCCAGACATAGTGCTGGTGTCAGAAACATCCAGACAGGTGGTAATGTTGGAGATGACTGTTCCTTGGGAAGACTGGATGGAGGAAGCCTTTGAAAGGAAGAGGGCCAAATATGAGGAGCTGGCAAGCGAGTGCCGACAGAATGGTTGGAAGACCTGGTGTGACCCCATTGAGGTGGGGTGTAGGGGCTTCGCGGTCCAGTCTCTCTGTAGCAGTGGCGATTGCTCTAAGACTGCAAGGGAAGCTCAGCTTCCATTAAAATGTCACCCCCCCAAAAAAAAGAAGAAGTAGTGAAATACGTACTGCTGTGTGTACATTTCATTAACTAAATACGCGCTAGAAAGCCTTCATCTTTTGTTCAGAATCAGCTTCTTATCACACTGTGATAAGAAGCTGATAATCACAGGTAACCGGCACAACTTCGTTCTCATTCATCCTCGCAGCGCCTCAGCGCTTCACACAGCCGGACGCTCAGCGTCTGCTGACTTCAATGTGGAAGCTCAAAGTGGGTTGTTCCAGCAGCAAAACTAGACACTCATTGGATAAATGCTGGGCTTTGTCCCGCCCATCGGACGCTCAGCGTCTCTGGAGTTCTATGACGAGAGGGCGGTCCCAACTTTACAGGCAACAACCCAGGCTAATGGAATAACGACAACGAGTGCAGTCTGTACATGTGGCAAGGTCCTTAAGAATCAGCATGGCCAAAATGAGATGTTTAATGGGGAAGCAGGTGGAGCAACACACAGGTCCAGCACCTGGTGAGACGCAGGAGGAGCCCGGCCTGGAGTCACCCCACAGAGCCCAGTCCCTCCACGCCCCACCTGCCCCTCCCCAAACTTGGCACTCAGACCAATTCCAGAGTAAGTGGCCTGCCACCAGTAAGGAGAGAGAATGGCGCCAGTTCGATGAGGATGTGGACCAAGTGCTGGAAGCCACTGCCAGAGGCACTACAGACCAGAAGATGCGAGCTATGTGTACCATGATCATGAGCATCGACACAGAGCAGTTTGGCACGAAGGAGCAGCAACCATCAAAAGGTGAAGGGAGGCCAAATCGCAGGGAGGGAAAGATCAGCCAGTTGCGCCAGGAACTTAGGCTGTTGGCGAAACAGTACAAGACAGCAAGGGAGGAGGAGAAGAGTGGCCTTGCTGAGCTCCGCAAGATTGTGAGGAAGAAACTCACCACTCTCTGTCGGGCAGAGTGGCACAGGCGGAGAGGAAGAGAGAGAGCCAGGAGACGAGCAGCCTTCATTGCAAATCCATATGGATTTATCAGGAAGATCCTTGGGCAGAAGAGGAGCGGCACATCTCACCTGCACACAGGATGAGATCAACAAGTACCTCAAAACCACCTACAGTGACGTGACTAAAGAGCAAGAGCTTGGTCCGTGCAGCACACTGATCACTCCTCCAGAACCAACAGTGGTATTTGACAGCAAGGAGCCAACTCTGAACGAGGTGGAGGAGGTCATTAGGGCTGCAAGAACAAATTCAGCACTGGGACCCAGTGGAGTGTCATATGTAGTTTACAAGAGGTGCTGAGGTGTCTTTGGAAGCTCATCAAGGTCATCTGGAGGAGGGGGAAGGTGGCCCAGCAGTGGCGAAGAGCAGAGGGTGTCTGGATTCCTAAGGAGGAGAACGCAAGCACCATCGAGCAGTTCAGAGTCATCTCACTCCTCAGTGTGGAGGGCAAGGTATTTTTCAATGTTGTTGCCCGTCGCCTGACAGAGTTCCTATTTGGGAACCAATACATTGACACCTCTGTACAGAAAGGGGAAGTCCCAAGGGTACCAGGGTGTCTAGAGCATACCGGGGTTGTCACCCTGCTCATTCGTGAGGCAAGAGAGGGTAAAGGTGATCTAGCAGTCCTTTGGCTTGATCAAGCCAATGCCTATGGGTCAATCCTCCACAAGCTGGTGGAAACCTCTCTCGAGCGACACTATGTTCCAGGTACAAACAGGGACCTCATCATGGACTATTACAGCAACTTCAGCCTGAGAGTCACCTCTGGAACAGAAACATCTGCAGTTCATCGGCTAGAGAAGAGCATTATTACGGGATGCACAATCTCTGTGGTGTTGTTCGCCTTGGCTATGAATATGCTGGTGGAGTTGGCAGAGGTGGAGTGTAGAGGCCCTCTCAGCAGGACAGGAGTGTGGCAGCCCCCTATCAGAGCATTTGTGGACGACTTGAAAGAGACAACAACATCAGAGCCAGGCTGTAGATGGGTCCTTCAGGGCCTTGAGCAGCTCTTCAGCTGGGCACGCATGGCCTTCAAGCCTGCAAAGTCAAGATCCCTGGTTCTGAAAAGACAGAAGGTTACTGACAAGTTCCGCTTCTCCCTTGGAGGTGTCCAGATTCCATCGATCAGTGAGAAACCTCTTAAGAGCTTGGGGAAGAGGTTTGACAGCACATTGAAAGACACTGCAGCACTCCAAGCAACTGCTAGTGAGTTGAGCACCTGGCTTGCAGCAGTGGACAGATCAGGGCTGCCAGGCAAGTTCAAGGCCTGGATCTACCAGCATGGGATCCTGCCACGACTGCTCTGGGCCCTGCTGGTCTAGTGCCGATCACAACTGTTGAGGGCTACGAGAGGAAGGTCAGCCAGTACCTACGCAGGTGGCTGGGCCTACCACGGAGCCTCAGCAGCATCGCCTTGTACAGGAAGAAGAACAAGCTGCAAATCCCCCTCGGAAGTCTGACGGAGGAGTTTATGGCCACCCGAGCAAGAGAGGTGTCGCTGTACAGAGACTCAAATGACATCAAGGTCTCCTCAGCTGGCATAGAGGTGAGGACTGGCAGGAAGTGGAGGGCGCAAGATGCAGTTGACCAGGCTGAAGCACAGCTGAGGCACAGTGTACTGGTTGGAGTGGTGACAACAGGTCAAGCTGGGCTTCGTAGCAACCCGAAACCTCGGTTTGAAAGAGTCAGGGGGAGAGAGAGGCGCCAAATGGTCCAGGAGGAAATCCGAGCAGGGGTGGAGGAGGCCCGCTCAAGCCAGATTGTGGGGATGCGGCAGCAGGGTGCCTGGGCACGATGGGAGCAGATGTTTGACTGAGAAATGTCGTGGTCGGAAGTCCGAGCCAAACCGTATAAAGTTCCTGATCCAGTCAGTCTATGACGTCCTCCCCAGCCCATCCAACCTCTTTTGCTGGGGCCTGGCAGAGACTCCTACGTGCCTACTCTGCATGAAAAGGGGATCCCTGGAGCACATCCTGAGCAGCTGCGGGAAGGCCCTAGGAGAGGGTCGCTACCGCTGGCGTCACGATCGGGTGCTCCGGGTCATCTGCTCAGGGATCACCAGGAGCAGGCAGCAACAACCAGCAAAGAACACCATAGCTTTTGTCAAGGCTGGAGAGAAGGTGCACCACTCCTCAAGAACAACAGGAGGGCTTCTAACAGCAGCTCAGGACTGGCGGCTGAAGGTGGACCTAGGGAAACAGCTCAAATTTCCAACTTCCATTGCTGAGACCTCACTCAGGCCAGACATAGTGCTGGTGTCAGAAACATCCAGACAGGTGGTAATGTTGGAGTTGACTGTTCCTTGGGAAGACCGGATGGAGGAAGCCTTTAAAAGGAAGAGGGCCAAATATGAGGTGCTGGCAAGTGAGTTCTGACAGAATGGTTGTGACCTGGTGTGACCCCATTGAGGTGGGGTGTAGGGGCTTCGCGGTCCAGTCTCTCTGTAGGGCACTGAAGAGGCTGGGAGTGAGAGGGCTGCAGAGTAGGAGAGCCATCAAGGCAATCTCAGATGCCACAGAGAGAGCATCAAAATGGCTGTGGATCAAGCGGGGTGAGCTGTGGACCACTAAAGCTACTTAGACACAAGTCGGGGCTTGATCAACCCCGACTGGGTCGCCCAGGTGAGGGTGTATGATGTTGAAAGACCCGAAACACCCGAGGACCCTGGGTTACATCACTGATGATGTGTCTAAGTATGCATCGCAAGATGTCTGAAAAACCTAGAAAATTATTTTTTATGAATATTTGAGCTATTGACCTTTAGGGCCACCATATATAATACAGCATGACTTGTCCTAGTACAATGGCATCCTGTTTTCAGAGTTAGAGGTAAGAATATTAGTGGAGGAGAGGGTGGAGCTCCTCGCTTCTCTACAGCTCTGCCCTCTCCTCCATTTCTGCTGAAATTTGAGCGACCTCAAGTCAAGCTTCTCCCCTTCTTTCTGGCCTGTGTGACTCCATGAGTCACCCTGCTCTCCTCCACCAGGTAGTCCTCACCGATCATGGGCTGGATGACCCCTTCGGCCACCTTGATGAGCTGCTGGTAGATCTGGATGGAGAGGTCGCTCAGCACCTGTCGGTACTCTGCCAGGTCAAAGTTCTTCAGACAGTGCTCGTTCTGTTTGCTGGTGTTCTGCGTCATGAAGGCCTGCAGAGACAGAGCGCACGTGTGACCCACATGACCGGACAAGAACAACCTCAGAGCGTGGCGGTCATGTCTGAGGCTCACCTCGTCCCCGCTGTACTGTTTTAGACAGTGCAGCAGGCGGCTGGTGTTGGCCAACCAGAAGGACGTCATCTCAAAGTCATTGTTGTTTTTCTGGGGGAGGAGCCAAATCAGAGTCAAGTTAAAGTCTTTACATGAAGTAACCCTCTCTGTGTTTCAGAGCTGTAAGGGTTAATCAAGGTCAGACAGGTGGAGGTGTGCAGGCTCTTACCTTCAGGACTTTCTTGATGCAGTTGATGGTGGAGGTGAGCAGAGCCTCCACCTTCTGGTCGTCGTTGATGTAGTCGGCGTGACGGATGCACATAAAGAGGATGTAGGCGGGCAAACAGGGGACGGTGGCCGACACCATGTTGGGCCTTATGTCTGAAAACAAGATCAGAACATAAACGCAGAAACACGTGACCATGAAACCGGAACATTTTTCAAAATAAAACTCCAATAATCTGCAACTTTAATGTGTGAAAATATTCCAGTTCCTGTTTTCTCCTCCGGTGTCACCCCGGCTCCTCGATCTGGTTCTTTAACCAACAGGCCAACCCAGGATCAGCCCCAGTCTCACCTGAGATCAGGGTTTTCAGCAGCCGGGCCTCGTCCTCTTTGTAGTACTCCAACATCCCCTCAAAGTCCTTCTCCTTCCTCTGGACCGTCACCTGACGACTCAGCTCAGGCCTGGACCTGCTGGACTGAGCCGCTGCCGCCGCTAAAGAGGCAGACACAGGAAGTCAGTGAGGAGAGACAGGCACAGGTGTACAGGTTCAGACAGGTTCAGACAGGTGCACAGGTTCAGACAGGTGCACAGGTCCAGACAGGTGCACAGGTACCCTCTAGCTCCTGGACTTTCTTCATGTAGATCCTCAGCTGTTTCTTCAGCTTCCTCTCGTTCTTCTCTAGTTTCTCCACCAGCTCCTTTAGGTCCTGAAGAACAAGCAGAAATCATCCAAATCTGAGTGTGTTTCAGAGTGTTCTTTTTTTTCTGGAGTATGTGGACATTTTAAATACGACACGAGGGGACGTTCTTTTAGAAGGACGTGGACCATGTCTTTCTGACCTTATTACTCATGCAGATGTTCTTTTATTTTGGTTACAGAGGTTTCCCTAATGTTCAGACCCACTTCTTGGAAAATCTGTGAGTCCACGCTGCCCCCTTGTGCCTGTTTTTAGTACTACAATTCCTCACTTATCATTCACATGAATCATGTTTGGCTGATTGAACTCACTCCATGATTGAATTCATCTGGAGAAAACATTTATCCATGATTTTTAACCCTTGTGTAACCCTTAGATTTACATCCTCTCTTAACGCTCAGTGGCTAAAAAAAGCCACTGATTTTTTTTCCATATGGTATGGTATAGTATGGACTTTATTGTCACTGCACTTGTGCACAACGAAATTGCATTTACAGATGGGGAAAGTACACACAAGAGGGAGGGAGAGGAGGAGGTAAAAAGAAGAGACTGCTCTCATTAATATGGGTGCAGTGACAAAAAAAAAAAAAAACCCTCAGCAACATGAGCACATTACTGACACCACATACACAGAGATTCGGAGACATGCTATGGTTGTTGGGGGTGGGGGAAGTGGAATGGGTCATCAGTGATGGTGGGAAGCCCACAGCCGCTGCCCATGGTGAGCGCTGCCAGTCAGGGTACCTCCCACCGCACTGAAGGGTAAAGCGTCGAAGGTGTTGGGTGGGGGACAGGTGAAAATCACCTGTTACTGATTATGTTTTATGATGAAAATAGGTCATTTTTGTGTATTTTTCTACCATATCAGTGACATTATGTTTTGAATGGACCCTCAAAGGGTTAAAAAATGTTTTTAGATGAAACATTTACTAGTTTTGATCAAAGCAGAAGTTAATTAAGAGATATATGAAAAAAAAAAGGAAAACAATATTAACCCAATATGTTTTTACAGCAGTCAAAGTTAGTGGCTTTTTTTAGCCACTGAGCGTTAACAAAGGATAGCCCAGCGCATATTTTTGACCTGGTGAAAATCATATCCAGTCATATTCTCAAAGTGTCCATCAATATAAGCATCTGCACAAAAAATCATCCCATTTGCTGCAGTAAAATAAAAGTTACGTGGAAATTAGTAGCCTTTTTTGGAGTTAAGGAGCCCCCTGGTGGTCAAACCCTCCATCAGCGTGTCTAATCTTTTGTTGGTCTTTGTGGGTTGGGAGGACGTGTTCATGAATACACAGTTTGTCAGGTTGTATTAGTTGGCCATGGTTGGTGTAATGCATATTCCTGAAGTCCCTGAATGTCCCCAACAAGGTGGTCCTCATCTCTTACATGAATGTGTCTGGACCTGATTTTCCTGCTTGAGCAGAAAAATTGTGTGTAAGTGTGTGTAAGTGTGTGAGTTACGCTCACCAGGTTGTCGTTCGTAAGTCTGGTTATCTCCTGCTGGACACTGTACTCCACCTTGGCCTCAGGAGACAGGGAGGAGGTGTAGTTGAGGATCTCCTGCTTCTTCTCGATGTCATCCTTCAGCAGTTCGATCTGAGTGTGCAGAGCCTCCAGCTCGTCCCTGTGCTGCCGGGCCTGAGACTGCAGCTGAGCCTCCAGCAGCCTGACGGGACACATGGCGTGTTAATGTACAGTTATCAATAACAACGTCAGAAAACAGGAAACATCTGATTAAAGGATATCTATAAAGCTCCAACAATTTGGTGACTACACTGTGGAGAATAAACTCTTCATCCAAACTGACTGTGCCACAGACTCAGGATATCAGACCCTGTCAGATACTGTGGTCTTGTTCTGAGCTGTAGAAATGTTTGCTGACCAGGAAGGTCTCAGACGGTTTCTGCAGTTAAGAGGGACTGCAGATTTAACACAGGCCTTAACAGAGCGACTGTTTCACTGTGACTAAAAATAGATTTGTGTGAATTGTAAAATGTATGAGTCCCCCCCCCCATGCAACAGCATGAATTACCTTTATTTCTCACAATTAAAGTGAGAAATAAAGGACAAGGGAGCGGGCAGCAGAAGAAGAAGAAGAAGAAAAAGAAGAAGACTGAAGCAAACAGAGACCTGGCCACTTGTTTGAGGCCTTGGTAAGCCAAACCCAGTTCTGCGTCTTCGTTCAGAGAGCACCAGTCCTGCTGAGAGCTGCTGAACGGAGGAGGAAGAGGAGGAGAAAACAAGAGCAGAGAGTGAGGAAGGCTGCAGAGGACAGACACTGAAGAGTTAGTCAGCACAGAGACATGATCAAGGATGAGCAGAGAACTGGTCTGATCCAGAGTGAGGTTCATAATGAGCCTCAGTTCTGACCCGTATTATATAAGACCCAGAGTGAGTACAGGTCTCAGGTCTTGGTCTCAGAGTCTGTGATCTGAGATGGACCGGCTGGACTTACTTCTTGGACTCATGCAGTCCATGATAGGCTTTAGAAGCCTCCTCTTTGTCCACAGGCTCCTCACTGTTCTTCACTTCAGGGACGCTGCTGCTGCCCTGAAACCACAAAGACCAGATTCTGAGTTTTACAAAGACCCAGAGAGATTAAAACCCAACCTGAGATTAAAAATTGGAGTACTCTATGTTTGCAGATGATACGCTGACTTCCTCGGGTCAGATTTGTCCTTTAAAAATCAACGGTTCTTTTTTTTCTTGGGACCGGGTTTTTATGACCTAACCAGTGTTGGGAAAGTTCAAAGTTCCGTTCACACATTTTAAAATGAACTCGTTCAGTTCATAGTTCCTAATTCCACATTTTCATGGTTCCCAAAAATGAACTCATTTAGTTCTTTTTTTTTCTCCAATATTTTGCTGTAAGCTATTATTTGTCCAGATTTTTTACAGAGCCCATATAGAACCACAGACAGCAATTATTTAAGTGGAAATGCTGATTAAGCATTCTTTATTATTATTATTATTATTATTATTATTATGTACCTTTTTTGCAACTTTTCAATTCCTTCAAACTTTGTGCTATTTCAACTGTTCAACTTTTAAACTATTCCTCTCCTTCAGGACAAGTGCGGATGTATTTTTCACTTTTCTACTCTTTATACTTTTTGATATTCTTTACGTTTTGTGCAAAATTTTTCCCATTGAAATGAATGAAGAAATCTTAAAATTCAAGCTTCAAGCCTCCTTTCTCCTGCTGTAGTGATGCATCTATGGTCCCCATGGCAACCAATTAGTGCACCTGGTGACACACAGCTGACTGGAAAGCTGCTTCTAACGGCCATATGAGACACATGAAGCCAGGCTCAGCACACAGAGCACTGGGGGTTACATTTAAATCCCTTCACTAGAGCGCTTGACAAATTTCTGACCCTATCTCCTCCCACAAACTTTGAACTACAGAAACCATTCAGGGCTCCAAAAATTCAGCTCATTGAGGACATTATGGGGTGTACTCAGGATTTTTATTCATTTAAATTGCTTCTAACGGCCAAATGAGACACATGAAGCCAGGCTCAGTACACAAAGCACTGGGGTTTACATTAAAAACCCTTTACCAGAGCACTTGACAAACTTTGGCCCCTCTCTCCTACCACAAACTTTGACCTACAGAAACCACTCAGGGCTCCAAAAATTCAGCTCATTGAGGACATTATGGGGTGTTTTCAGGATTTTTATTCATTTAAATTTTTCCCATTTTAAAGTCACTCATTGATGATTTATTACTTTATTTTTCAAACTTATTTAATCTCATTCATACAGATTCAAACCTTTCTGATACTCCAAAACTTTCGAATACTTGAGGATTTTTAATTATTTTAATTAGTTTTAATATTCATGCATTAGTCCATCCTTCAAACAAAGTCCAACTTCTAGTACTAAAACTACTGCTAATGTCAACTAAACTAGTACTTTCCCCTCTATTTCATCTTCTATTGCTCCTATTTCTACTTTCTCGACTGCTGCTATTGCTACTATTGCTACTTTCTCTACTGCTTAGACTTATACTTCTTTTTTCTCAAACTACTTCAACTGCTTACATGACTACTAATATCACTGCTTTGACTACTTATCATACTACTTCTAGTACTACAACTTAAACTTATGCCACTTTTCACCTTCCTCCCTTTTAAGGTAATTTCCTTCTTCATTCAAACTTTGTGCAATTTTTAGACATTTCTCTAGCATATTTCAGCATGAATAAAATTTCCTTATATAGAGCATATTCATACTATTTGTCCTTTAACCATTTTCACAATTATTCAACTTCTATTTTTTCTTTACCCCTTCAACAGCATTTACATTTATACCTTCCTCCATGTTTTATTAGCAGTTTTGCATTGCTTTTTCAGCTTTCAGCACTCAGCATTTCCACGCATTTTCTGCAGGGAAATGCAATTTTTCTAGTTTAACACTGAAACTACGTCAGATTTATCTTCATATCCAATTCCAAATCCTAATCCAACCAGGTTTACAATAGAGAGGACAGCCCTCAGAATACTGGTGTTTCCCGAAAGTTTAGTTCACTCCTCACTAGTAGGAATGTTCATCTCTAGAGTATATTTTCATAAACATGAGGAAAACCTGCTGCTTGAATGGTTTTTAGACTCTTTATTAGGATTACAACAACAGGACTGTCGTCTTTAAATTTTTTAAACTTTTCCAAACTGACTTGGAAACAATTCACATCAAACTCCATTTCAGTCAGACTAAAGAGGAACCAGAACAAATACTGGAAATAACAATTGACAATAATGATATGATATTGTTATACGATATCGTATCCAGTTAAGGTTTGCTAAAGACGTAGTCGATGTTCAGATTTGCTTCCTCAAACCAAGTGGACAAAGTTTACATAAAAAGGTTTAATTTTTACCGCCTGTGTCGGTTCTGGCTCATACGAGTCTGTGTGCTCCAGGTAGCTAGTGCGACCTCCCTCGTCCATCATGTTTACTGATGTCGTGATGACTGACATATTTATCAGAGCAACAGACAGACTGCTTGCGGTTGCCAGATTGGGTGGCTTTCCACTAAATATGAAGGTCTGTTTATGGCGTGTTTTAGCTGCGGTTTGGGCTGGAAGGCTCTGGACATCCGAAACACTTGTGAACGGAGTTTAGAACACCGCTCACAGATGCCAGAATGAGCGCGTTCAACAATGACGCGTTCATACGCAAATAAAGAACGTTATGTTCACGTTCGCCTGAAATATGAACGAGTTCATGACGATCGTTCATTGAATGTGTTTGGGAACAACACTGGACTTAACTATTATTTAACCAGAGAACTCAGGTTTAGTGATGACTTGGAGGGTTAGTGAGGATCTGCAGTAGATGAGAATCCTCCTCACACTGAGAGGTGAACAGGAGTAAACTGAGACTGTGGTCTTTACATGTTCAAACAGTAGGCGGATTTTCAAACTCACGATGTTGTCGTTTTTCTCCAGCAGCTGAGCTGTGCTGACGATCTGCGTCCTCAGAATAAGCACCTCCTCCTTGCGGGCGTCCAGCTCCTCATTGGCTGCTTTGAGCTGGCTGAGCAGCAGGTTGTAGCTCTCCTGCAGTTCATTGGACGAGTTGTTCTGAGACGCGCGCTCGGCAACCGCCTTCCTCAGCTCGTTAAGGTCGTTCTTTAGCTTCTTGTTCTCGGTTTCCAGCTCCTGTCGCTGCAGGTCCAGAGCAGAGTCTCGATATTACAGACGGAATTATTACTGTCTCTTTAAGATCGATACTGAAGATCATTTAAAGTATGAACTGGTGATTACAGAAGTTTTTACCTCATGATTCAAAGGGTTAGAAAACTCTTTTTAATGTCAAACATGTTTCGGGATTACAGATCCATGATTTTATGATTTTTGGTTGGTGGACTGGAACCTGAATGAGTGGTTCTTCAAAAAAAAAAAAAGGAGTTGACCTTAATGAGCATGTCCTCTGTGAGGGAAGGAGACATTAGTTCTCATACATGGTGAATATTCGCTGAGACGTGTTTCTGCTTTAATAAAGAAGCTCTGGGTGGAGTCTGGAGAAATGTACAGACCCTTAGAGACAGAGAGGTCTGTGCTGACGACTACAGACACAGATAAACAACAACAGAGACCAACGTCATTGGTCTCTGTTAAAATTTAGACCGACTGAAGATGCATCCAGTCAAATGACTCAGTCATACATTTGTGTCCAGATGAGAATGTGTGTGTGTGTGTGTGTGTGTGCAAACCTTCAGATTATTGTAAGCCAGATCTGCGTTCTCCTGCTCGGAGATCCTGGACTCTGAACCCTGAAACAAAGACACGTGACTGTCATTCTGATGTTTCCTTTTATTTTCAAACAGATCCCCCCCACATCCGGAACGTCTACTAAAAGGTTGTATCCTCCCATTGTAGCTGATCGTAACCATTCAAGTTAACGTGTCAATTTCCACCAGCTTCTTTCCGTTCCTCCGCGGATCGCCGGACTCCACAGCTGACCACAAGAGCTCTATTATGTTCTAGACGCCAGAGCACGCCAGATAAATTCAGCACAGATTAACCCGTGCTGGAAGGAAGTCATAGACACCAAATAAAACATCCTGCTTCTTTTCAAAATAAAACAATCCATGTTTCAGGAGGATCGTATTTCACACCATGCAAACGGGTGGAGACGAACAAGTGAAAGGTTTTTAGACGTCATTTCACCCCGATGACACCATGGATGAGAAGATGCTGATTCTAGAAGTCTAGAAGTAGATTTCCTCCTCTGGAAGGACACAATCTACTGCTTATATGTTAATGTGGCTGTTTTCATAGAGACAACTCGTTATCACAAGATTGAACGTGAATCTGCGGGTTCTTGTGAGTTCTCACGATTCCTGCTGTCCATAATCTGCCACGAAATTCGCCTCACAAACAGATCCGGAAGGAATTGTGGTACAGCAAAAATCGCCACCATCCCGGATGAGGTGGAAATCCTGGGTGAGACCCCTCTCTGCTGAGGTATGAACATCACAAATTTCCACCCTGATGTTCCTGCAGGAGAATCCTATGAAACCCACTTCAAGATCTACACCTCAGTCTCGCTCTTGGCGCCCTCTTGTGGACAAACTTCAACATAGACGTTCAGAAACTCATTCAGGTGGACCTGTTTGTCAATCGGACCCAAAGCAGGTCTCAAACCCCAGTGTTGTGTAGAACCACGGACCTTGCGTTTGTGGAGCTCCTCCATCTTGTCCACGCTGAGCTGCAGCCTCTTCCTCTCCTGCTCCAGCTCTCTCACTCTCTTCTGCAGCTTCATGAACAGACTGATGTCCATCGCCGCCTTCTCCACGCCCATCTCCTGCTCAGGTACAGACATACGGTTACTCCCTGATAAGCCCCGCCCCCAGCAGACCCTGCCCTCATCTACTGACCCAGAGTGACTCACCTCCACCAGCTGGATGGAGTCCTCGGTGTCTCCCACCTCAGAGGTGGAGATGGATGGGTAGTTGGAGTCGGACTCCAGGCTGCTCTGATTGGACGGGTTCCTCCGGTGGCCGGGCTGGAACTAGAGCATGATGAGAGGCGGGGTTAGTATTGAAACAGGAGCTCCGTCAGGCTGTGAGGAGGAGTAAGCTCACCTTGCTCAGAGACACCTCCTCCTTCAGGTTGTCATATCTCTGCTCCAGTCTGGAGAACTCCTTCAGCAGGTTCTGGTACCGCTGTCTTTCTGCGTCCAGCTCCGTCTGAAGAGACGCCTCCCTGTAGGACCCCGCCATGTCCGCTAGAAAACACACACACGCATTCACCTTTTTTCTATCATACTATACAATGACATTTTATTGTACAATCCTATGCCATTTGTATCATAATATACTATGAGATTTTTATGAAACTATACTATGACATTTTTATCATTTTGTATTATGATATATTTATCATACTATTCAATGATTTATTTTTAGCATACTATTGTATTACGTTTATCTTATCATACTTCTTATCATTTGTATCACACTATACAATGATATTATTATCATACTTTACAATTTTTTTTTAAACAAACTATACCATGTGTAGGAGCCATGATTTATAGTTAAGAATAATAATTTGAGATTATAATTGAATTTCATTATTTCATAGTTTTCATTGTATATCTATATGTGCTATTTCTAGAGTGCGTGTATTTGAACGTGATTATGTCACCGACGGCCTCAGTTAGATGGGAGCTGTGTACGGGAGCACATAATTTTTTCTACGGAGTGACAGAGTTTTGGATGTATTTAGATTTTTCTTAAAGTAAACTTAGTTTTTGGATACATCTTGTCGTTCATTCCTGTATGAAACCCTGCCTTTCATGGCTCTCATGTGGCTTCGACAACAAGAAGGAAAGCCACAACATTAGTAGAAAAAACGATTAGAAGATTAACTGGACGGAGCCGCAGGTGCTTAACGAGCTCGTTAACTCGGAACCAGAGGTTTTCCACGTGGAGTCAGACACACAGCTTAGACACTGGACTCAATACCAAGTTGTGGTGTGTTGGATACTATGAAACGTCCGCAAAAGGAGTTAACAAAGTTTTGAAGCCGGATCCGAAAGAAATTGACAAAAATGACAGTGATGTGGTAATTAAGGAGGCTCGCTCCGCACACAGGCAGGATAACTCGCCTTTGAAGAAGCCATTGAAGTGTGTGCATGTTTCAGAAGTTGTGCTGCACCTGTAGGATGTGTGAAGTGGATATTCTTTGCTCATTTTCATACAATTTTTGCATCACTTTGCTGAAGAATGGCTGAGGAAAAGGAGTTAAATGCTGCAAATGTGTTAAGTAAGAGACCAGTTAAGCTGAGTGAGAGGGCGCTGGAGGAAAAGCTGCGTAGACTCATTGGAGCCAGACGGGGCGTTTTGGCTAAGATCACTGGTAAGAGGAAAGAAATTGAGGCTTGGATGTGTGATGAAGATGGAGATAATCTGCAAAATGTGGAAACATGCATGGACAGTGATTTTTGCTGTTTGGTCACGGAGTTTGAACATATAACACTCCAAGTGTGGGACCTTCTGTCAGAGGAAGAGAAGAATGCAGATAAAACCAGCTGGGTTGAACCTAAAAAGCTGATAATCACTCAGTTTGCTAAAGATGTGAGTAAAAGCAAAAAAGAGCAAGAACATGTGACAGTTAGGGATGATGTAAATGATGGTGTTACCCCTGAAGATAGTGCATCACAAGTGTCTATAAAAACATGAAAAAGGGATTCACTTTTGGGACGCTTATCTGTCACATCCAGAACATCATCAGCTTGTGCTGCTGAAGAAGCAAAGTTAGCTGGACTAGTGGAACGTGCTGCAATTTTGGAACAGAAGCAAGAGCTTGAGATGGAGAGAGCACGCATTAATGCCAAGCTGGAAAGACTGACTTTAGAAGCAGCTATTGCAGAGACACAAGCTAATGTAAAAGTGTTAAAGGATTATGAACAAACAAAAGATGGCATGAACAGCTATGTCCGCTCGCATGTAGCCAGGGCAGTTCAAGTTCAAAAAAGTGAAAGAAGACCATCTTTACCCACTAACGTGCCTGTAGCTGAAGCTAAACCGCCCAGACTACTACAAAGTATGGAGCCACAGGTTGTTAGACCAAGATGCACAGAGAATGCTGATAGACAAGACTGTGACAGAAACAATGATGGCATTCTCCAAGTAATGCAAAAACAGAACAAGATCACAGAGATGTTGGTTAATCAACAGAAGCAAGCTCAGCTGCCAATTAAAGATGTTGCTGTGTTCAGAGGTGACCCACTCACCTACAGATCATTTACCAGAGCTTTTGATCAAGCTATTGAACAAAAAACAGACAACGATCGGGACAGATTGTATTATTTGCAACAGTACACTGCAGGAGAACCACATGAGCTTGTGCGAAGTTGCGAACATATGCCATCACGCAGAGGATATGAGGAAGCAAGACGACTTCTTCAGAAGCATTATGGATATGAGCTTATGATCGCCAGTGCTTACATTGACAAAGCTTTGTCGTGGCCACAAATCAAGGCTGAAGGCAGTAAATCTCTTCATGCATATGCTGTGTTTTTGACTGGTTGTCGAAATACAATGGAAGATGTCAGGTTTATGGAGGAGATGGAAAACCCCACAAATATGAAAATAGTGATATCAAAACAGCCATACAAGATAAAGGATAAATGGCGCACTGTGGCATACGAAATTCTGGAAAGAAGAGGACACAGAGCAAGATTTGCTGACTTGGTTATGTTCATCGACCGTCAAGCTAAAATAGCCATGGATCCACTGTTCGGAGACCTCCAAGACAGGCGCACATCTATAGCAGAAAAAAACAAAGAAAAGGAGAAACCTTTTCCCAGAAGTGGACTGAAAAGAAGTAGCTTTGCAGTTAACATGTCTGTGGAGAAGAAAAAGACAGAGGCACCAGTGAAGCAGGCTGCTCAGTTTAAAGCAGCAAATGCGTTTGAAACACCATGCATCTTCTGCCACAAGAATCACATGTTTGAATCATGCATGAAGTTTAAAGAGCTAACACATAAAGATCGAGTGGATTTCCTGAAGATGAAGGGGTTGTGCTTCGGATGCTTAACACAAGGCCACCTCAGCAAAACCTGCACGAAAAGAATGGTGTGCAAGCAGTGATCGCAGAGACACCCAGACATTCTTTACATGGACAAAGAAGACAAAGTGAGTACATCAATGTCTATGAAAGATGATAACACTTTAAATGAGGAGATCTCAGGTGCTCAGACGTCTGTGGCCCAGGAAATAGTTGGCTGCACTGGGACCGGAGAAGGTGAGTGTTTATTAGGGCCCGAGCGTAGCTGCTAAGCAGCTGCGAGAGCCCTATTATTCCCCAAGTGGTTTTTCTTTGTTTCTTTCTTTCTTTCTTTCTTTCTTAGGGCCCGAGCCAGCTGCAGAGCAGCCGGGCGTAGGCCCTATTATTCCCCAAGGGGTTTTTCTTTGTTTCTTTCTTTAGGGCCCGAGCGTAGCTGCTAAGCAGCTGCGAGAGCCCTATTATTCCCCAAGTGGTTTTTCTTTGTTTCTTTAGGGCCCGAGCGTAGCTGCTAAGCAGCTGCGAGAGCCCTATTATTCCTGATGGATTCTTCTTTCTTCTTCTTCTTCTTATTATTTTTCTGCCCCTTTGAACTGGAAAATGGCCCACTTCCCACTGGTGAAAAGTCATGAAATTTGGCAGGACGACTGGGCCTGGTGAAAAATTCGATATTCTGAAGTCGCCCAAAAAATCAAATGCAAAATGGCTCCATAGCGCCCCCTAAGGTGAAAAATTCACATGATTGAGTGTCACGCCTGTACGCTTTGTCAAAATGACACAAAATTTGACACACACATGTATCTCAATAAGATCTACAAAAAAGTCAGTGCGGGCGTATCTGTCAAATGTACGGTTAATGGGCTATTTCGCATTTTTTGCCGATCCGCACACATTGGAATTTCGCTAACTCCTCCGAAGGCTTTTGTTCCACCGGCACCACATTTGCTCAGGCCAATCTACACCCCATGGCCATTAAAAGTTATTCAAATCATGACGCTGCACCCCACGGTTTAGGTTCTAGGGGGCGCCAAAAATAACCCTAAAATCCACATATTTAAAAGTCTTATAACTTTTTATTTTTGTCCTCACTGGCCTCCAAGTTTTCTAGGATGATGCAATGTCCAGCCATCAACACATTTGTGAAGGAATTTTTACTCCCCAAAAGAGCGCCCCCCCATGGCAGGAGAAAAAAGTCCATTTTTTCTTGTCCCCTAAGGTGAAAATACACATTGTTGAGTGTCACGCCTTTACGCTTTGGCAAAATGACACAAAAATTGACACACTCATGTATCTCAATAAGATCTACAAAAAAGTCTATGAGCGCGTATCTGTCAAATGTACGGTTAAAGGGTTATTCCGCATTTTTTGCCGATACGCACACATTGGAATGTGGCTAACTCCTCCGAAGGCTTTCGTTCCACCGGCACCACATTTGCTCAGGCCAATCTACACCCCATGGCCATTAAAAGTTATTCAAATCATGACGCTGCACCCCACGGTTTAGGTTCTAGGGGGCGCCAAAAATAACCCTAAAATCCACATATTTAAAAGTCTTATAACTTTTTATTTTTGTCCTCACTGGCCTCCAAGTTTTCTAGGATGATGCAATGTCCAGCCATCAACACATTTGTGAAGGAATTTTTACTCCCCAAAAGAGCGCCCCCCCATGGCAGGAGAAAAAAGTCCATTTTTTCTTGTCCCCTAAGGTGAAAATACATATTGTTGAGATTCACGCCTATACGCTTTGTCATATTGACACAAGATTTGACAATCACGTGCCTTGCCTGGTATCATTTTTTTCAGCACAACCTCACCTGTGCGAATTTACAGTTATTTTATCATGTTGACATACTGAATTTACACAATGGACCCAAATTCACACACAAAACATAAAATCCGAGTGGAAAAAAGTAACATTTTTACTGTGAAAACCACAAATATGTGTGATGAACTGTTTTTAAAACTTAAACTTCAAATAAAAATTGTAAACTTCAAAACATATGCAAATTTTTAACAAAGAACATAGTGATTTACCTCTATTTACATCAAAATGCAGGCAATGGCCCAGGCGTTCTTTGTAAAATTATTTACAAAACACTGTATAGTCTCACAAATGTCACTTTTTATTTATGCCACTACAAAAAAACATGATGTAAATGATGCATGATGTAAAACATGATGTAAAAAACTTGTGTAGATCCTCCTCTATGTCAGTCCATGTGTAATTTTTCCATAATTCTTTGTTTTTTGCAGCATTTTTGTTAGTGTAACTGCAGATTGTGCTGACAGTGTCTATGGCACAAAAAAAAAAAAAAATTTAAAATGCCTCAACATGAACCCCTGGTGGTCTCTGAGGGTGAAACCTGCTAACTGCTGCAGCTCTGTCAGCTTCAGTCTCCCATGCAGAGCTCTGAGCACATGTGTGGCTCTGCACCCTTAGCAGCGTTGCTAACTCCTCAGTAAGGAAAGCCTGCTTCATGTCAGAGTCTCTAAACTCCAGAAGAAGTCGATAAAAGTCACTTTCTTTCTAAAAAAAAGTCGTTAGGGGGTCTGAAAAGTCATTGAATCTAACAACAAAGTCGCTAGGTTTGCAACTACGTGTCCCAGACTGCATCCCTGCTGAGAGTCCCTCCCTCGCTTCTCATGTTGCAGGAAAAACGTAAGCGCCCGCCCCTTGTCAATCAGTCACCATATAATTTTGGATTGGTTGTTGTGGTGAAGTTTTCCACCAATAGGAGAGATGTTGTGGTGTGTTTTTTTTTCTTTTGGCAAGCCTTTTCCGCCTGTAAGACCTGTCGCTAATGTCTGCATGCTATGTTTTCCTGTCTCATACAGCGCGATCGAGCGCCGAACGTGATCAAAATAAGCAGAAAAAAAGTATCGCGGACATAATTTATCATAACTCTGGTTTTATTTGGCCTATCAACACAATTTAAAAACTGGTATATAGGTTGAGGTCCTCACTTTTGAGATAAATTGAAACGGAGAGTCAACGAGGCTCCGTCTTGCAGCTACATCCGGTTAAATATGTCATGTGACTTGAACGCACACACAGACACACAGACACACACACACACGCACACACACACACACACTCAGAGTCTGGTTTTTAGCACCTGCAAAAACATGCTATTTACATATTTGACAAGAATGCAGAGGCTCCTTTTGCCCCTGAAAAAAATCAAATTTCAAACACAACTTGACTGGTCATTTCTCCAAAAGACAACCATGAAGCTCCATCCAAACCTGAAGCAGGTAGTTGGTGCATGTGTACAGTAACCTGAGGGGAGTGAGGTGAGTGCTTCTGAGGAGAACATGAGCAGTGAAGATTTACCTTAGAGCTAGAACAGAGACATGCACATGATTATACAGGGGCAGGGGCTCAAGTTTTTTCCAGTCGTTTATACAATTTGGAAATTAATGTGAAATTAAAAAACAAAGTATTAATAGAAAGGTAATGACTGTCCTGTGTAGGTGACAGTGATATCCAATAGGCTAGGCACTCACGAGGCTGGCTGTGGCAAGTGTAAGTGAAAGCAACACGCACTGGCAGGAAGAACAGCAAACGCCGATGAAGGAAAAGGGTCTTTGCAGTGATGGGCGTTACCAAAGAGGGCGATAGCCAGAGGACACAAATGGGACGGGGAGGCAGCGCGTTGGGGGGGGGACGCGACACAGCTCGGGCCCGCCAGTGCCCCAACGGGGTCCTAGTTCTTTCTTAGGGCCCGAGCGTAGCTGCTAAGCAGCTGCGAGAGCCCTCTTGTTCCTGCATGTTTCCTTCTTTCGTTATTATTTTTCCTCCGCTTTAAACTGGAAAATGGCCCACTTCCCACTGGCGAAAACTCAGGAAATTTGGCAGGACGACCGGGCCTGGTGAAAAATTCGATATTCTGAAGTCGCCCAAACAATAAAATGCAAAATGGCTCCATAGCGCCCCCTAAGGTGAAAATTCACATGACGGCTGTACGCTTTGTCAAAATGACACAAAAATTGACACACACATGTATCTCAATAAGATCTACAAAAAAGTCAGTGCGGGCGTATCTGTCAAATGTACGGTTAAAGGGTTATTTCGCATTTTTTGCAGATCTGCACACATTGGAATTTCGCTAACTCCTCCGAAGGCTTTCGTTCCACCGGCACCACATTTGCGCAGGCCAATCTACCCCCCATGGCCATTCAAAGTTGTACAAATCATCTTGCTGCACCCCACGGTTTAGGTTCTAGGGGGCGCCAAAGATAACCCAAAAATCCACAGTGTTAAAAGTCTTATAACTTTTTATTTTTTTCCAAACTGGCCTCCAAGTTTTCTAGGATGATGCAATGTCCAGCCATCAACACATCTGTGAAGAAATTTTTACTCCCCAAAAGAGCGCCCCCCCATGGCAGGAGAAAAAAGTCCATTTTTTCTTGTCCCCTAAGGTGAAAATACACATTTTTGAGTGTCACCCCTGTACCCTTTGTCATATTGACACAAAATTTGACAATAACGTGTATCTCAATAAGATCTATGAAAAAGTCAAAGGGCACATATCTGTCAAATGTACGGTTAAAGGGCTATTTTGCATTTTTTGCCGATTCGCACACATTGGAATTTCGCTAACTCCTCCGAAGGCTATCTTTCTACCGGCACCAAATTTGCTCAGGCCAATCTACACCCCATGGCCATTGAAAGTTGTACAAATCATGACGCTGCCCTCCACGGTTTAGGTTCTAGGGGGCGCCAAAGATAACCCAAAAATCCACATTCTTAATAGTCTTATAACTTTTTAGTTTTGTCCTCACTGGCCTCCAAGTTTTCTAGGATGATGCAATGTCCAGCCATCAACACATTTGTAAAGGAATTTTTACTCCCGAAAAGAGCGCCCCCCCATGGCAGGAGAAAAAAGTCCATTTTTTCTTGTCCCCTAAGGTGAAAAAACACATTGTTGACTGTCACGCCTATACGCTTTGTCAAAATGACACAAAATCTGACACACACGTGTATCTCAATAAGATCTACGAAAAAGTCAATGGGCACGTATCTGTAAAATGTACGGTTAAAGGGCTATTTCGCATTTTTTGCCGATTCGCACACATTGGAATGTGGCTAACTCCTCCTAAGGCTTTCGTCCCACCGACACCAAATTTGCTCAGGCCAATCTACATCCCATGGCCATTCAAAGTTGTAAAAATCATGACGCTGCACCCCACGGTTTATGTTCTAGGGGGCGCCAAAGATGACCCAAATATCCACATTCTTAAAAGAATCCACATCCCCCCCCCCCCCAAGGCAGGAGAAAAAGTCAAGTTAACCCTGCCCATCGCTCAATGGCTCAATCGCATCGCTCTCCCGGCAACACCGTAAGGAGGAGCAACTTGCCATTTGGATATATCCTAGCTGTGTTTCTGCCCTCACTCATGGTCCAGACTTATTTCAAATAGGACATGTAGTTTGTCTGCAGCGAGCGTTTTGGTAGAAACTGCGCCTCCCATTCATTATAATGGGAAATGACCACAGACAAGTGCGCACACCATCTTTGGACCTTGAGTGTGACGCGATCGGGAGGGGGAGGCGGTCGCACTGGGGGCGGTGCGACGCAGCTCGGGCCCGACAGTGCCCCACCGGGGCCCTAGTTTCTTCTTTTTCCTCCCCTTTGAACTGGAAAATGGCCCACTTCCCACTGGCGAAAACTCATGAAATTTGGCAGGACGACCGGGCCTGGTGAAAAATTTGATATTCCGAAGTCGCCCAAACAAGAAAATGCAAAATGGCTCCATAGCGCCCCCTAAGGTGAAAATTCACACTATTGACTGTCACGCGTGTACGCTTTGTCAAAATGACACAAAAATTGACACACACATGTATCTCAATAAGATCTACAAAAAAGTCAGTGCGGGCGTATCTGTCAAATGTACGGTTAAAGGGTTATTTCGCATTTTTTGCCGATCCGCACACATTGGAATTTCGCTAACTCCTCCGAAGGCTTTCGTTCCACCGGCACCACATTTGCTCAGGCCAATCTACACCCCATGGCCATTAAAAGTTATTCAAATCATGACGCTGCACCCCACGGTTTAGGTTCTAGGGGGCGCCAAAGTTAACCCTAAGATCCACATATTTAAAAGTCTTATAACTTTTTATTTTTGCCCTCACTGGCCTCCAAGTTTTCTAGGATGATGCAATGTCCAGCCATCAACACATTTGTGAAGGAATTTTTACTCCCCAAAAGAGCGCCCCCCCATGGCAGGAGAAAAAAGTCCATTTTTTCTTGTCCCCTAAGGTGAAAATACACATTGTTGAGTGTAACACCTGTATGCTTTGGCAAAATGACACAAAAATTGACACACACATGTATCTCAATAAGATCTACGAAAAAGTCAATGCGCGCGTATCTGTCAAATGTACGGTTAAAGGGTTATTCCGCATTTTTTGCCGATCCGCACACATTGGAATTTCGCTAACTCCTCCGAAGGCTTTCGTTCCACCGGCACCACATTTGCTCAGGCCAATCTACACCCCATGGCCATTAAAAGTTATTCAAATCATGACGCTGCACCCCACGGTTTAGGTTCTAGGGGGCGCCAAAGATAACCCTAAAATCCACATATTTAAAAGTCTTATAACTTTTTATTTTTGTCCTCACTGGCCTCCAAGTTTTCTAGGATGATGCAATGTCCAGCCATCAACACATTTGTGAAGGAATTTTTACTCCCCAAAAGAGCGCCCCCCCATGGCAGGAGAAAAAAGTCAATTTTTTCTTGTCCCCTAAGGTGGAAATTCACACTATTGACTGTCACGCCTGTACGCTTTATCATATTGACACAAAAATTGACACACACATGTATCTCAATAAGATCTACAAAAAAGTCAATGCGCGCGTATCTGTCAAATGTACGGTTAAAGGGCTATTTTGCATTTTTTGCCGATTCGCACACATTGGAATGTGGCTAACTCCTCCTAAGGCTTTCGTCCCACTGACACCAAATTTGCTCAGGCAAATCTACACCCCATGGCCATTCAAAGTTGTAAAAATCATGACGCTGCACCCCACGGTTTACGTTCTAGGGGGCGCCAAAGATGACCCAAAAATCCACATTCTTAAAGGAATCCACATCCCCCCCCAAGGCAGGAGAAAAAGTCAAGTTAACCCTGCCCATCGCTCAATGGCTCAATCGCATCGCTCTCCAGGCAACACCGTAAGGAGGAGCAACCTGCCATTTCGATATATCATAGCTGTGTTTGTGCCCTCACTCATGGTCCAGACTTTTTTCAAATAGGACATGAAGTTTGTCTGCAGCGAGTGTTTTGGTAGAAACTGCGCCTCCCATTCATTATAATGGGAAATGACCACAGACAAGTGCGCACACCATCTTTGGACCTTGAGTGTGACGCGATCGGGAGGGGGAGGCGGTCGCGCTAGGGGCGGCGCGACGCGGCTCGGGCCCGACAGTGCCCCACCGGGGCCCTAGTTTCTTCTTTTTCCTCCCCTTTGAACTGGAAAATGGCCCACTTCCCACTGGCGAAAACTCATGAAATTTGGCAGGACGACCGGGCCTGGTGAAAAATTCGATATTCTGAAGTCGCCCAAACAATAAAATGCAAAATGGCTCCATAGCGCCCCCTAAGGTGGAAATTCACACTATTGACTGTCACGCCTGTACGCTTTGTCATATTGACACAAAAATTGACACACATATGTATCTCAATAAGAGTTACAAAAAAGTCAGTGCGGCCGTATCTGTCAAATGTACGGTTAAAGGGTTATTTCGCATTTTTTTCCGATCCGCACACATTGGAATTTCGCTAACTCCTCCGAAGGCTTTCGTTCCACCGGCACCACATTTGCTCAGGCCAATCTACACCCCGTGGCCATTAAAAGTTATCAAAATCATGACGCTGCACCCCAAGGTTTAGGTTCTAGGGGGCGCCAAAGATAACACTAAAATCCACATATTTAAAAGTCTTATAACTTTTTATTTTTGTCCTCACTGGCCTCCAAGTTTTCTAGGATGATGCAATGTCCAGCCATCAACACATTTGTGAAGGAATTTTTACTCCCCAAAAGAGCGCCCCCCCATGGCAGGAGAAAAAAGTCAATTTTTTCTTGTCCCCTAAGGTGAAAATACACATTGTTGAGTGTCACGCCTATACGCTTTGTCAAAATGACACAAAAATTGACACACACATGTAACTCAATAAGATCTACGAAAAAGTCAATGCGCGCGTATCTGTCAAATGTACGGTTAAAGGGTTATTCCGCATTTTTTGCCGATCCGCACACATTGGAATGTGGCTAACTCCTCCTAAGGCTTTCGTTCCACCGGCACCACATTTGCTCAGGCCAATCTACACCCCATGGCCATTAAAATTTATCAAAATCATGACGCTGCACCCCACGGTTTAGGTTCTAGGGGGCGCCAAAGATAACCCTAAAATCCACATATTTAAAAGTCTTATAACTTTTTATTTTTGTCCTCACTGGCCTCCAAGTTTTCTAGGATGATGCAATGTCCAGCCATCAACACATTTGTGAAGGAATTTTTACTCCCCAAAAGAGCGCCCCCCCATGGCAGGAGAAAAAAGTCCATTTTTTCTTGTCCCTTAAGGTGAAAATACATATTGTTGAGATTCACGCCTATACGCTTTGTCATATTGACACAAAATTTGACAATCACGTGCCTTGCCTGGTATCATTTTTTTCAGCACAACCTCACCTGTGCGAATTTACAGTTATTTTATCATGTTGACATACTGAATTTACACAATGGACCCAAATTCACACACAAAACATAAAATCCGAGTGGAAAAAAGTAACATTTTTACTGTGAAAACCACAAATATGTGTGATGAACTGTTTTCAAAACTTAAACTTCAAATAAAAATTGTAAACTTCAAAACATATGCAAATTTTTAACAAAGAACATAGTGATTTACCTCTATTTACATCAAAATGCAGGCAATGGCCCAGGCGTTCTTTGTAAAATTATTTACAAAACACTGTATAGTCTCACAAATGTCACTTTTTATTTATGCCACTACAAAAAAACATGATGTAAATGATGCATGATGTAAAACATGATGTAAAAAACTTGTGTAGATCCTCCTCTATGTCAGTCCATGTGTAATTTTTCCATAATTCTTTGTTTTTTGCAGCATTTTTGTTAGTGTAACTGCAGATTGTGCTGACAGTGTCTATGGCACAAAAAAAAGAAAAAATTAAAATGCCTCAACATGAACCCCTGGTGGTCTCTGAGGGTGAAACCTGCTAACTGCTGCAGCTCTGTCAGCTTCAGTCTCCCATGCAGAGCTCTGAGCGCATGTGTGGCTCTGCACCCTTAGCAGCGTTGCTAACTCCTCAGTAAGGAAAGCCTGCTTCATGTCAGAGTCTCTAAACTCCAGAAGAAGTCGATAAAAGTCACTTTCTTTCTAAAAAAAAGTCGTTAGGGGGTCTGAAAAGTCATTGAATCTAACAACAAAGTCGCTAGGTTTGCAACTACGTGTCCCAGACTGCATCCCTGCTGAGAGTCCCTCCCTCCCTTCTCATGTTGCAGGAAGAACGTAAGCGCCCGCCCCTTGTCAATCAGTCACCATATAATTTTGGATTGGTTGTTGTGGTGAAGTTTTCCACCAATAGGAGAGATGTTGTGGTGTGTTTTTTTTTTCTTTTGGCAAGCCTTTTCCGCCTGTAAGACCTGTCGCTAATGTCTGCATGCTATGTTTTCCTGTCTCATACAGCGCGATCGAGCGCCGAACGTGATCAAAATAAGCAGAAAAAAAGTATCGCGGACATAATTTATCATAACTCTGGTTTTATTTGGCCTATCAACACAATTTAAAAACTGGTATATAGGTTGAGGTCCTCACTTTTGAAATAAGTTGAAACGGAGAGTCAACGAGGCTCCGTCTTGCAGCTACATCCGGTTAAATATGTCATGTGACTTGAACGCACACACAGACACACACACACGCACACACACACACACACACACACACTCAGAGTCTGGTTTTTAGCACCTGCAAAAACATGCTATTTACATATTTGACAAGAATGCAGAGGCTCCTTTTGCCCCTGAAAAAAATCAAATTTCAAACACAACTTGACTGGTCATTTCTCCAAAAGACAACCATGAAGCTCCATCCAAACCTGAAGCAGGCAGTTGGTGCATGTGTACAGTAACCTGAGGGGAGTGAGGTGAGTGCTTCTGAGGAGAACATGAGCAGTGAAGATTCACCTTGGAGCTAGAACAGAGACATGCACATGATTATACAGGGGCAGGGGCTCAAGTTTTTTCCAGTCGTTTATACAATATGGAAATTAATGTGAAATTAAAACACAAAGTATTAATAGAAAGGTAATGACTGTCCTGTGTAGGTGACAGTGATATCCAATAGGCTAGGCACTCACGAGGCTGGCTGTGGCAAGTGTAAGTGAAAGCAACACGCACTGGCAGGAAGAACAGCAAACGCCGATGAAGGAAAAGGGTCTTTGCAGTGATGGGCATTACCAGAGAGGGCGATGGCCAGAGGACACAAATGGGACGGGGAGGCAGCACGTTGGGGGGGGGGACGCGACACGGCTCGGGCCCGCCAGTGCCCCAACGGGGTCCTAGTTGTCTATTGTTCCAGTGAAAGTGCGGTCTTGGAAGGGTGGAAAATCTGTTGAGACATATGCTTTCATGGACCCTGGCAGCACCGCCACCTTCTGCACAGAGGAGCTCCAAAAGAAACTGAACATGAAAGGGAAGTCAACTCAGATTCTACTGAGCACGATGAGTCAAAACAAACCTGATGGACAGAAGCTGATGAACAGTTACATGCTCTCAGAACTGGAAGTATGTGGACTGGAAAACACAGAATACTTTCATCTTTCAAAAGTTTTCACACACAACAATATTCCTGTTCAGAGAGAAAACATCCCCAGGCAACAACATCTGCAAAAATGGCCACATCTGAGTGAACTTACCACACATCGACGGCAACGTTGATCTGCTTATTGGAGCCAACAATGCTAAGACAATGGAACCGTGGCAGGTAATTAACAGTCAAGATGATGGGCCATAGGCCATAAAAACAGTTCTGGGTTGGATGGTTTGTGGACCTGTAAACAGCAAGAGCAAGTCCATGGAGAATGCACCTCACTACAGTGTGAACAGAGTCTCTGTGGCAGAAATAGAACAGCTACTGGTCCAGCAATATAACACAGACTTTCCTGAACATTGTTACGATGACAAGGAAGAGATGTCTCAAGAGGACAAGCAGTTTATGTTGGCAGTACAAAGAACAACAAAATATGAAGATGGACATTACTGTGTGGGTCTTCCTTTAAAGTGTGACACAGTCAAGATACCCAACAACCGCTGTGTGGCAGAATCAGCGAGCTGCTAGTCTCAGAAGGAAGCTACAGAAAGATGAAGTGTTTCTTGAAGACTACAAGGGGTTCATGCACAGTCTGCTCAGCAAAGGCTATGCTGTTGAAGTTCCTCAAGAACAGCTGGACCAGAATGACAACAAGCTGTGGTACGTCCCTCACCATGGGGTCTATCACCCCAAGAAAAAGAAGATTCATGTGGTCTTTGACTGCATGGCCACATTTAGAGAGGTATCCATGAATGGCTCATTACTACAAGGCCCTGACCTCACCAACTCACTTATTGGAGTCTTAGTCAGATTCCGCTAAGAACCAATAGCGATAATGGTGGACATTGAGTCAATGTTTTATCAAGTGAGAGTGCCAGAAGCAGATGCCAACCTGTTGAGATTTTTGTGGTGGCCGGATGGCAACCTACAAGAACCCCTAAAGGAGTATAGGATGGTGGTCCATCTGTTTGGAGCTACCTCCTCCCCTAGTGTTGCTTGTTACGCTTTGCGTAGAAGTGCAGAAGACAGAAAAGACACGGCTGCTCCAGAGGTTGCGGAAACAGTTCAACATAATTTTTATATGGACGACTGTTTGAAATCTGTGAGTTCAGAAGAAAAAGCTGTTGCCTTGGTGAAGAACCTGCGAGACCTGTGTGCAGAGGGAGGTTTTAACCTCACAAAATGGGTGAGCAACAGCAGAAAAGTTCTATCATCCATTCCCAAAGAGCACCGAGCCAGTGAGCTTAAAGATCTAGATCTCACTCATGACGCTTTGCCCACTGAAAGAGCACTCGGTGTACAGTGGTGCACAGAAGATGATTCATTCGCCTACAGGATCCAGCCACAGTACAAGCCAAAGACCAGAAGAGGTATTCTGTCTGTAGTAAATTCCATCTACAACCCTCTTGGCTTCCTGGCGCCAGTGGTGCTTCCTGCTAAGCTTCTTTTGAGAGATCTGTGCCAAGAAAAGCAAGGATGGGATGAAGAAATAAGTGGAGAGAAAGTTGATCAGTGGTGTAGAATAGAATAGAATAGAATAGAATATTCCTTTATTGATCCCCCATGGGGGAAATTTTTTTGTCACAGCAGCATCACAGACAAGACAGAAAGTGCAAAATGCAGTTATAACAATAAGGGTCCTAATATTAAGAACTTAATAAATGTAATAATTAAGAAAAAAAAAATTGAAAAAGAGAAAAGGGAGAAGAAAAAATAAAGCTTTCTGCAATATACACAATTTAAATGCCATAAAAAAAGTGGTGGTGTAAAATCAGTTTTGTTACTGTTCATTGTAAAGTCTTATTGCAGAGGGGAGGAATGATCTGCGGTAGCGCTCCGTCCTGCAGGGTGGGAGTCTCAGTCTGCTGCTGAAGGAGCTGCCTAAAGCCCCCACAGTCTGGTGCAGTGGGTGAGAGGGATTGTCCATGATGGATATAAGCTTTGTTAACATCCTCCTCTCACCCACCTCCTCCAGGGAGTCCAAAGAGCAGTCCAGGACAGAACCGGCCCTCCTGACCAGTCTATTCAGTCTCTTCCTGTCCCTCTCGGTGCTCCCTGCCCCCCAGCAGACCACTGCATAGAAAAGTGCAGATGCTACCACAGAGTCATAGAAAGTCCTGAGCAGAGTCCTGCACACTCCAAAGGACCTCAGTCTCCTCAGCAGGTGGAGACGACTTTGGCCCTTCTTGTACAGAACGTCTGTGTTTGTTGACCAGTCCAGTTTGTTGTTGAGGTGGACACCCAGGAATCTGTAGGACTCCACCATCTTGATGTCCAGACCCTGTATGTTCACTGGAACTGTTTGAGGTGTCCCCCTCCTGCGGAAATCCACAACCATCTCCTTTGTCTTACTGGCGTTGAGCTGGAGGTGGTTTGTGCCACACCAGTTGACAAAGTCAGTGATGACAGTCCTGTATTCCCGCTCATCCCCTGACGATACACATCCGACGATGGCTGTGTCATCAGAGAACTTCTGGAGGTGACAGCTCCCAGAGTTGTAGCTGAAGTCTGAGGTGTACAGGGTGAAGAGGAAGGGGGAGAGCACTGTCCCCTGTGGAGCCCCCGTGCTGCAGACCACCATGTCCGATACACAGTTCTGAAGCCTCACAAACTGTGGTCTGTCGGTGAGGTAGTCCACGGTCCATGCGGCTAGGTGACAGTCCACTCCCGCCCGCTCGAGCTTCCCCCTGAGCAGTGAAGGCTGGATGGTGTTGAACGCACTGGAGAAGTCAAAAAACATGACCCTCACAGTGCTGCCAGTGTTCTCCAGGTGAGCCATGGACCTCTGCAGCAGGTAGATGACTGCGTCATCCACCCCGATGTTCGGCTGGTACGCAAACTGCAGAGGATCCAGATGAGAGCTCACCAGGGGTCGGAGGTTCCTCAGCACGATCCTCTCCAGAGTCTTCATCAGGTGAGAAGTGAGGGCCACAGGTCTGAAGTGGTTGGGCTCCCTAGGGTGCGCTGTCTTGGGGACAGGAATCACGCAGGAAGTCTTCCACAGTGTTGGGACCCTCTCCAGACTCAGGCTCAAGCTGAAGATGTGCAGTAGCACCTCACAGAGCTGGTCTGCACAGTCTTTCAGGAGTCTGGGGCTGATGCCGTCAGGACCCGTGGCTTTCCTTGGCTTCATCTTCCTCAGCTCACTTCTCACCTGGTCAGCTGTTATGGAGAGGCTGGGGGTGGTGCTGGAGGGGGTGGTGGAGGATGAGTGGAGGGGGGTTGATGGTGTCGGTGCCATGGGACTGAGGTGGTGTGAATAAGAATAAGAAGAAGGAGGAGCAGCAGACGGGTCGTTGGTTAGATGAGTCGGGGGAGGAGTGGGAGTAGAGTCAAATCTATTGAAGAACAGATTCAGCTCGTTGGCCCACTCCCTGTCTCCTGCTTCAGATCCCCTCTCATGGCCCCTGCTATGACCTGAGATGTATTTTAGGCCTCTCCAGACCTCCCTTGCGTTGTTCTGTTGCAAAAGGTTTTCCATCTTGGTCTTGTAGCTGGCCTTTCCCTCTCTGATCTTCTTCTTCAACTCCTTCTGCACCCTCCTCAGCTCCTCCTTGTCCCCAGATTTAAAGACCCTCCTCTTCTCCTTCAGGAGGACTTTCAGTTCCGGGGTCACCCAGGGTTTGCTGTTGGAGAAACACCGTACTTTCCTGGTGGGTACGGTGTTCTCAACACAGAAGTTAATATAGTCCGTGATGCAGTCAGTCATGGTGTCGATGTCATCACCATGTGGGCCGCACAGTACATCCCAGTCTGTGGTCTCAAAACAGTCCTGCAGCGCCTCAGTGGCCTCCTCAGACCACCTCTTAACATACCTGATGGTGGGGGGTTGTTTCTTCACCATAGGTATGTAAATGGGCTGCAGTCTCACCAGGTTGTGATCTGAGCGGCCCAGCGGGGGAAGGGGGAGGAGGTGTATGCATCCTTGGTGTTTGCATACAGTAAGTCCAGAGTTTTATTGTCTCTTGTTGGGCAGTTTACATACTGGCTGAAGGTAGGGAGAGTGGAGGACAGCGATGCATGATTAAAGTCTCCAGAGATGATGATCAGAGACTGAGGGTGTGATGTCTGTAGCTTGGACACTTCATTATGGAGGAGTTCACAGGCTGCAGCAGCCTCAGCCGAGGGGGGATGTAAACAGTTAACGCGATGACGTGCGAAAATTCCCTCGGCAGGTAATAAGGCCGCAAACTCACAGCCAGCAGCTCAATGTCCTTAGAGCAGAGCTGCTCTTTAACACTGACGTGCCCAGCATTACACCATCTCTCATTCACATACACCGCTATCCCGCCTCCTTTCTTCTTACCACTCTCCCTCACGCTCCGGTCCGCTCTGACGAGGTGAAATCCGTCCAAAGTTACGAGCGGGTCCGGAGTGAGTTCGTTCAGCCATGACTCCGTGAACATCATGAGGCTACATTCCCTATACTCCCACTGCAGCCGAGTTAGCGCTGTGAGCTCTTCCATCTTGTTGGGGAGAGACCTCACGTTTCCCATGATGATGGACGGGACAGTTGGTTTGTAACGCCTCCGCTTTGCCCGATGCTGAACTCCAGCCCTGCATCCTCTCCTTCTCCTGCGGAGCTTAGCGGGGATGTCCGGTCTCTCCCACGAAGGTGGCCGGGCTTGGCGCAGCGCCAACAGCTGTTCACGGCTGTAAAACAATGCGGCCGCTGAATGGGTCGCCGGTCGCGGACTTAAAAACTCCGAAAAATAAAAGAAAACAAAGTGCTAGAGTCATGAACTGCACATCCATGGCTGGAATATGCAGACACGACACTGCTGAATGAAGAGAAAGATAAAAAGGTGCAAAAAACAACAATAAGAACGCAAAAACGTGAAGTCGTTGAGGAGCTGCTGTGACTTGCTGCCACTCTCAGGGCGCCCGAGTCAAGAGCATAATATCCAAGTGGTTGGAAGATCTTACACACCTCTCAGGCCTCAGTATACACCGATGCGTTAAGCCCCTGGGTTTTGGAGAAACATCAGAAGCACGGCTGCATCATTTTGCCGATGCAAGTCAAAGCGCATATGGCGTAGTGTCTTATCTCGTGCTAGTGAACCATCAAGGAAGAATTCATTGTGCTTTTGTGTCTGGGAAGTCGAGAGTTGGACCGCTTGAACAGCTCACCATTCCAAGACTTGAGTTAACTGCAGCAGTCATGGCGGTTAAAGTGGACAAGATGCTGTGAGAGGAAATTCAAATTCCACTTCAGCCATCTCTTTTCTGGTCTGACAGTACAACGGTCCTCAGATACATCTACAATGAGACAGCTCACTTCAAGACCTTTGTGGCAAACAGGATTAATCTCATACGAGAGGCCACCAAACCACAACAGTGGCGATACATCAGAACATCAGAAAATCCTGCTGACCAGGCCACGAGAGGGGTGAAAGTGAAAGGCTTGCTCCAAGGAAAGACATGGTTAAATGGACCTCAGTTTCTGTTACAGCCAGAGAGTGAATGACCAGGGTAACTGGACAATGTGTCTCAAAATCTGCAAAATGATCCAGAAGTCAAAAAAACATCACAGCAAACGTCATCAGTGCTGAAGAAAAGTCTGATCCTGTGAACAGGTTGCTTCAGTATCATTCAAGTTGGGACAGACTAAAAAGAGCAGTTGCATGGCTTCTGAGATTTAAAGAAACATTGATCCATCTGAAAGAGAAAAGACAACACTCCATTTATCAGACAGAAAAGGATCCAGAAAAACAAAGTGTTTGTGCATCAGTCCATTGACAAGTACAAATCTGTCATGGAAAAGAAAACATTGACCTTGGAGGAACTGATGGCTGCAGAATCGGAAATCATCAGACACAGGCAAGCCCAATGGTTTCCTGAAGAAGTAAAGGCTCTTCAAAATAAGTTGCCTGTTAAAAGAAACAGTCATCTGTACAAGCTTGACCCTGTTTTGCAAGAGAGCATTTTGAGAGTAGGAGGACGACTTAGCTACTCCGCCATGCCACAGGATGCCAAACATCCAGCTATTCTCTCAAAACACTCCAGAGTCGCCACTCAGTTCATCGAAAAATTGGTCACTGTGGGCGTAACTACGTGTTATCCCAGTTAAGACAAAAATTTTGCGGTACCTCAAGTAACCACAGCCATCAGAAAGATTGTAGCAGAGTGCACAGTCTGTAGGAGACTACGAGGTCAAGTTGGAGAGCAAAAAATGGCAAATCTCCTGAAGGATCACCTTTTGCCTGACAAGCCGCCTTTCACGAATGTAGGCGTTGATTACTTTGGACCCTTTGACATAAAGCGGGGCCGGGGAACTGTCAAACGCTATGGTGTAATTTTCACCAGCCTGACCATCAGGGCAGTGCACATCGAGGTGGCAGACAGTCTGGATACCAGCTCCTGCATCAACGCCTTGCCGCCGATTCATAAGCAGAAGAGGCCAGGTCGTCATGTTGCGCTCTGATAATGGCACAAATTTTGTTGGTGCAGAAAAGGAACTAAGAGAGGCGATCAAGAACTTGGACCAGACAAACATTGAAAAGACCATGCAAAAGAAAGGAATAAAATAGATCTTCAGCAGCCCTGCAGCATCTCATCAAGGAGGAGTTTGGGAGTGGCAAATACGCACTGTACGGAAGATTCTTAGTGCTTTGGGGAAAGAACAGACTCTCACAGACGACAGCCTCCAAACCCTCATGTGTGAGGTTGAAAGCATCATAAATAATTGCCCAATCACAAACACATCTGATGATCCAAGTGATATTGAGCCGTTAATACCCAATCATTTGCTGCTGATGAAAGTACAGCCCAGTATGCCACCGGGAACTTTCAACAAGGATGATCAGTATGCTAGAATCTTAGTACATACTATTTTAGTACTCATATTCATTCATTACCTTGTATAGTCTTGTATAGTCTTGTATATTTTATGTATTTTTTGTATTTCTCTGTATTGCTTGTATCGGCTACTACAACAACCGAATTTCCCCTCGGGGATTAATAAAGTTCTCTATCTATCTATCTATCTATCTATCTATCTATCTATCTATCTATCTATCTATCTATCTATCTATCTATCTATCTATCTATCTATCTATCTATCTATCTATCTATCTATCTATCTATCTATCTATCTATCTATCTATCTATCTATCTAGAAGACGTTGGAGGCAGGTGCAATATCTGGCAGACCTCTTTTGGACAAGATGGACTCGTGAATATCTGCCTCTCCTCCAAGAGCGCCAAAAGTGGTCACAAGTGAGGAGAAACTTTGAGCCAGGAGATGTGGTGTTACTTGTCGACAGTTCAGCTCCATGTAACACATGGATAATGGGAAGAATACTCCAAACCAGACTTGATGCCAGTGGGACTGTTCGCAGAGTGAAACTACAAACCAAGAACACCACTCTGGAGAGACCAATAAATAAACTGTGTTTACTGCAAGAAGCAGTGTGAAGACAAGATGATCACAAAAAAAAAGAAAAAAAAATGCGAAGGAAGAAGGGACTGATATATAAGAGTTTGAAATAATACTTTATGTGCTATTTCTAGAGTGCGTGTATTTCAACGTGATTATGTCACCGACGGCCTCAGTTAGATGAGAGCTGTGTACAGGAGCACATAGTTTTTTCTACGGAGTGTCAGAGTTTTGGATGTATTTCGATTTTCGAAGTAAACTTAGTTTTTGAACTGGATACATCTCTTCGTTCATTCCTGTATGAAACCCTGCCTTTCATGGCTCTAATGTGGCTTTGACAACAAGAAGGAAAGCCACAACACTATGACATTTTTATTATACAATAGTATGACATTTTTGTTACACTATATTATGATTTTTTTAACACACTTTAGTATGACATTTTTTTGTGATACTATATTAAGATAATTCTTATACCATACTATGATTTTTTTTTAATGTACTATAATATAACAATTTTTTCATCATACTATTCTTTTACATTTTTTTAACACACTATACTTTGGCATTTTTTATCATACTGTTGTTTTGACATTTTTATCATACTATACTATAATATTTTTTAAAAAAAATACTACACTATGACAATTTTTTAACATACTATATTGTACCATTTATTTATCATTTTGTAGTAAGAATTTTTATCATACTATTCAATGATTTTTTAGCATACTGTTGTATGACATTTTTCTTATACTTGTTATCATTTGTATCATACTATGCAATTACATTTTTTTAATACTATACTATTTGTATTTTAATCATAGTATACTATCACAATTTATTATACTATATCATGATATTTTTATCATACTATACTATGGCATTTTTATCATACTAAACCATGATATTTTTATCATACTATACTATGAAATTTTTCAGAACACCACACTATGACAATTTTTTAATATACTTTATTATGACATTTTTATTATACTGTACTATGACACTTTTTATTACACTATATTATGATGTTTTTAACATACTATACTGTGATAGTTTGATCATACTGATACGACATTTTTATCATACTATACTATGACATTTTTTTATCATCCTTTTCTGAGGTGGTGCTGTAACTTGACCATAGTGATGATGAGAAGGTCGGACTCTCAGATCCAGCCTTCTCATGAGTTCGGACCTGACCCTGATTAGTCCCTGACTCGGTCTCCTGGGTCACAGGTGGGTCGGTCTCTTACCTTCAGAGTTCTGGGTCTGCTGCAGGATCTTCTGGTTCAGCTCCTCCTTCTCATTCTTCAGCAGACCGTTTTCTCTCTCCAGCTCCTCCACCCTCTGAGGAGGAGAACCACTGTCAGAGAACTGAGCATGCTCAATGTGGAGACAGAAAAAACTGACCTCTGACCAGCTCTCTCACCTGTTGGAGCGTGAGTTTCTCCGAGCCATACTCCTCCTCCATCTTCTTCTTCTGAGCCTGCGCCTCCTTCAGCTCCTCCCTCAGCCTCTCCAGCTCCTCACTCAGAGATGCCAGCTGTCCTCCTCCTTCTCCCTGCTGACTCCTGATCATCTCCAGCTGTTTCTGCAGACGGGTCACCTCCGAGCCCAGACTGCTGTTCTGCTGCAGCAGCTGCTCGTTCTGGTTCCGGTACTCCTTTCCCTGAGTGGACACAGGTCGGGTTTGAGGAGGTGAGGTGGGGGGTAAGGGGGCGGGGTCATATTTACTATGTTTCTGTTAGTCCTGGTCCTACCTGGTCGTCCATCTTCCTCTGCAGCTGGACGATCTTATTCTCCATCCCCGTGTTGAGTTTCTTCAGGTGTTGGGCGGAGCGAGCCTCGATCTTCAGCTGCTGCAGACGCTTCTTCGCATGAACCCGTCTGAACCCGCACTGGATGATGATGGCTGCGGCGCGTGCTCGCAGGAACTTCCTCCTCTGCAGCCAGCCGCGCACGGTACGCTGGATGATCATTGCTTTGTGGTGCATGAGGAACTGAGGAGGAGAGCAGATGAGGACAGGAGGTGAAGAGAGAGGAGGTAAGGAGAGTAGAGAGGAGAGAGAAAGTGAGGAGAAGGGGAGAGGAGGAGGAGAGGACAGAGGAGGTGAGGGAAGGTGAGGGAAGGTGAGGAGAGAGGAGGTGAGTAGGTGAGGAGGGGAGGTAGAGGACGGAGAGGAGGTGAGGAGGAGGAGAGAGGAGGTGAGGAGAGAAGAGGAGAGGGAAGAGGAGGTGAGGGAGAGGTTAGATGGTAAGGAAAGGAGATGTGTGTGTACCTCTGTGTGTTTATGTGTGTGTACCTCTGTGTGTGTGTGTGTGTGTGTGTGTGTGTGTGTGTGTGTGTGTTTGTTTGTGTGTATGCGTACCTCCTTGTAGATCCTGTGTGTGTGTGTGCGTGTTTCTGTGTGTGTGTACCTCCTTGTAAACCCTCCATGTGTGTTTATGTGTGTTTACCTGTGTGTGTGTGTGTACCTCTGTGTGTGTGTTTATGTGTGTGTGCGTACCTCCTTGTAGACCCTGCATGTGAGTGTGTGTTTCTGTGTGTGTGTACCTCCTTGTGGACCCTCCATATGTGTGTGTGTGTGTGTGTGTGTGTGTGTGTGTGTGTGTGTACCTCCTTGTAGACCCTCCGTGTGTACATCCCTCGGCTGTAGGCCTGGATGGTGACCACAGCCCGTCTCACCCTCAGGAAGGTTCGTCTGTCTCTCACCATGCGATACTGTTTCTGACAGATGATGGCTGCTCGGGTCAGACGCAGGAACTCGGCGTACCTGAAGAGGACAACAGAGGTCCGTTTCACGTAGGTGGTTCAACAAACTCTGAGTCAAATCCTTAACTCTGAGTTGATCTACTCTGAGATAGGAAACTCTGAGTTTCCGGTTTCACAACACCTGATTTGAGTCAGTTTTAGCAACTCTGAGTAGTTTGACCTGGAGTTAAGCACGTGCACGCCAGACATAAACAGCCAGCATCTGTGGAGCCCAGATTCATTGATCAACCAATGGAAACAGGGAGAAGGAGGGCAGCTTTTTTCTACGCAAGTGGAGCTGGAAGTACTTATGCAAGCCAACGGCGAATTACAGCACATTTTTAAAAGAAAGTGCAATACAGCAGCAGCTGCAAAGGAGAGGGAGAGGGCATGGGAGGAAATTGATGCTCGCGTCAATGCGTAAGTTTAAATCTAGTCCTGTGCAATCACAATGACAGACTGTTGCAGGGGAAACTGCTTGCATGGAGCCAATTGAATTATTTTATGTAGGTGCAATCCAGCGGGACAAAAGTGCACTTGGCAGCAGCTGAAAATTAAATATAAAAACATTGTGCAAACAGGTGAAACATATGCATTTTCTCATTTTGATCATGTTTTACATTGTCAAGTAAGTATTAAGTGGCAGTTTGATCCCTTACAAAATGCTCTTGGACCAGATGTCGGTACCACTTGGGTGGGCAAAACCTTACATATACTAAATTGTTTTTAGGGTCAATAAAAGTAAATTAAAATATGATAGACTTTTCATAGGGGTAGCTTTTTATATTTTTTCTCATTTTGTTATTTTCCTCAAAAGGGGAATTTTTGTTAACTCCAAATGCAACATAGAAAGTCAAAAGCACATTAAAAGTCACACTCTTTTTGGGTCACACTGCTCTTTTCTATAAATGAATCAAACCTGTGTCTAATTAAATGAGTTGATGAAGTGGGTGTGGCCCAATTTGATGGTGGAGCAGTTCTTTCAGGTATCATAGTGCTTTTTAAGTTTAGTTTTTTAAAAAGTTTTTATATGATAGACCTTGGTAACTGGTAGCTTTATTGTAGTTATCACTCATTAAAGTAATAGAGTGCAGCTGTTCAAAAACGAAAAATCGCCTTCCTTCAAAATTAGCTTTCTTTCATTTTAACCTCTCATTTAGGTGTGTTTGAACTATTGGCTAGCCATAGAGACTTGTAATAACCCCCTTAGTAGTATTTCAAGTAATTTATCTAATACAGGTGTGTATATATAAGCTTCAATTAGCCAATTGTCAGGTCTAAATCAAGGTCTAAATTAAGGATATTTTTTGACTTAGAAGTAGAAGTAAAGTAAATGCAGACTAATAGCATTATCATAACACAACCTTAATATGACACTGACATATTTTAAATGCAGGCACTCATTATACAATCATCCTGGCTGGTGCAGGGCAAGAAGACATTAGCAACAAAATAAGATCTACTGATGTATACACTCTATACAATCATCTGAGAAAAACTCCATTCCTCCATCAAGAACTTGATGAGACTGGCTTTGTTGGCAGGGCTGCAGAGAAGTTTCCTCCACTGCTGAATATTGTGGCCAGAAACAATGTTTCTGAACTGGATCCCCATGTCTGCACCTAGTCTTTCTGAATTTTTGATTGACATGTCCTTGTAAACGTCAAAGACAACGTCAATCCTTTCACTATCACCACCTTCATGCAGGACCTTGGCTAAAGTTGAGTCCAGCCAGCTTACACCATGTCAGGATTGCCTATTAATGCATTTGATTCATGCCGACTACCAGGCTGCTATCTGGAGACGGTCTCTTCATACCAAGCCATCTGTACCAAGCCCCAAGGACCATGGGTGGACCATAAATGATGAAGAGCAGCTGGAAATACAGTGGATGCATGGTTCCCCAGCACCAGATGGGGTCTTGCAGTTGCTATCCTGCAAGTGTGTGAGGACATGCAAACCACCAGACTGCACCTGTCTCAGCAATGGGCTGAAGTGCACAAACCTGTGCAAATTACAAACTTGTGCCAACCAATACAGTGAGGAAGAGCCCCTTGCACAACCGGCAGACTCAGATGTAGAAGAAGATACAGATACTGATGTCGATTACTGATGTTGATTAATAAGTGATGACCAAAAGGAGCTATGTTAACAGACCCACTGTGACTCAGTGACAGTATTATGTACTAAGCCAAAACTTGACAGTCATATTTGCTGTCACTGTTCCTTATGGAAAGAATAGGACTTTGAATAGGAATTTGAGTTTTTCTCAGATGATTGTATAGAGTGTATACATCAGTAGATCTTATTTTGTTGCTAATGTCTTCTTGCCCTGCACCAGCCAGGATGATTGTATATTGAGTGCCTGCATTTAAAATATGTCAGTGTCGTATTAAAGTTGTGTTATTATAATGCTATTAGTCTACATTTATTTTACTTCTACTTCTAAGTCAAAAAATATCCTTGATTTAGACCTTGATTTAGACCTGACAGTTGGCTAATTGAAGCTTATATATACAAACCTGTATTAGATAAATTACTTGAAATACTACTTAGGGGGTTATTACAAGTCTCTATGGCTAGCCAATAGTTCAAACACACCTAAATGAGAGGTTAAAATGAAAGAAAGCTAATTTTGAAGGAAGGCGATTTTTCGTTTTTGAACAGCTGCACTCTATTACTTTAATGAGTGATAACTACAATTAAGCTACCAGTTACCAATGTCTATCATATAAAAACTTATTGTAGGGATGTATAGCGATAAAAAAAATCACAACTAGAATTTGCCCACCCAGGTGGCACCGATATGTGAAATTTTGGTTCTTGGCTCAAGTACTATATGTATATATATTAAACTAACACACAGTACACTCAATATTAGACTTTCACTCAGCAAACAGAAAGAGGGCAGATGCCAGAAAAACGGGTGGTGGCCCAGCAGCCCCACCTTTAACGGAGGCAGAAAACCTGGTCCCAACCAGGTTAGGTTCACGGAGTCTGTTACTATGGTAACTGACCGCGAGGTTGAGTTACCTCTCTTTGTGAAACAGGTTAGAGTTACCCCTCTCTCTCTGGTTTAACTGACCCTCCTTTGTGAAACGGAAAACTCAGAGTTTCCCTGATTCCAGCAGAGCCCACCCTCAGTCCTCGTAATTCTAACAGAAACCTCAGAGGTACAGGTGAGGAGGCGGAACTCACCTGCGAGCCAGGTAACCTCGGCCGTATCTCTGGAAAGTGATGGCCATCTTTTGGATCTTGCGGTACCGGACCCTCTGCAGCCACCCTCGGACCGTCTTCTGGATCTTGATGCAGGCGGCCCGGAACTTATCGGTCCTGAGCTTCTCCAGGTATGCCACCTGCCCCGCTCGGAAGAAGATCTTCGTCTTTCCGAACTGGAACATGTCAGGTTCCTGAGAGGGTAACGAGACTTTGTAAACTCTTGGACCTCAGTCTGAGTTGGACCCCTGAACTTTGAGGACAGATCTAAGACCTGAGGATGACTGAGTCCTCTTTGACAGTCTCAGAGGAGGACCTGCTGACTCAGTGAGGAGGAGAACATTTACCACCATGAGCTAGTCTAAGGAAACATCAGTTTTGGAACTGTTTCCTTCAAAATAAAACCTGATGTTTGAATAAAGATTGTTTTTTTTGTTTTTTTTTACCTTGACCAGAGTCTCCAGCAGGTTTCGACAGACCTGCTTTTTGTCTGAAGACATCATGTCTGATTTCTTCAGCAGAACCCGATACCTGCTGAAGAAGTCTGGGTACGTCCACCTAGAGACCAAAAAAACACATTTTACATTTCTGTGAATTAATTTCACTGAGGAGACCTTCTCAAAAAGATCAATAAAGTTCTATCTGATCTAGTCTCAACTAATCTAATCTAATCTAATCATACAGTCTAATCAAATTCGACCCAACAGAGCCCACAGCACAGTTCCTGGTCCAGGCTCCACACAACCTCTGCAGATTATCCAGAAGGCAGCAGCTGTCTGGTTTCCAACCAAACATCTGCTCACTCCACCAGCTTCAGTTCAGACGACCAAATATGAAGTTCTACTTCTGAACCTTCAGTCATGCAGCTAAATCCTGGTCCTACCTCCCTGCAGACCCTCAAGAAGGTCCACCTCATCCTGAACGTCTACTAAAAGGTTGTATCTCAGATCATAGCTGATCATGCCAGAGCATGCTGGATAAATTCAGCACAGATTAACCCGTGCTGGAAAGGAAGTCCGGCACAGAAACAAAATAAAACAGCCGGCTTCTTTTCCAAAATAAAACACTCTGTGTTGCAAATGGGCGGAGACGAACAAGTGAAAGGTTTTTAGACGTAATTTCACCTTGATGACACAATGGATGAAGAGATGGTGATTCTAGAAGTCTAGAAGTAGATTTCCTTCTCTGGAAGCACACAATCTACTGCTTATATGTCTGTGTCTGTATTTATAGAGACAACTCATTATCGCGCGATTGAACGTGAATCTGCGGGTTCTTATGAGTTCTCGCGATTATTGCTGTCTGTAATCCGCCACGAAATTCGCCACACAAACGGATCCGGAATTGGCGTACTGGGAAAATTGCTGCTGTTCTGGATTGGAGCCGTTTCGGATGTGGTGGAAATCCTGGGTAAACCTGACTCTTCTCCTCTGTCGCCCCCTGGTAGTGGAGTAAATTAACAAACCCTATCAGATCCACAAAGTCCCTTTCTACCTTGAAGAGGGTCCAGAGTGAGGTCTTCAGAGAACACCTGAACACTAAAGCTCGGCTCTGCTGCCCCCCAGTGGTAGAATGACTGACACAAATGTCCCCGCCTATTTCTGAGACACTTTCAGACCCAGCTCTTTGTGAACAGTCCTGCACTTGATGATGAAGAAGACAATATTGATGGTGACGATGTTGATAGTGACAATGTTCAGTTGCTATGGTGACGATGTTCAGTTGCTTCGGTGACAATGATATAAACACTAATTTAACCCCCCCCCTCACTGCCTCTGTCTCCCCTTAGCAGCCTGGACTGAAGTCTTTGTGGATTCAAACATGAGGAGATGTTTTTGTGTTCCTAAACCTTCATTCAGTCAAATGAAGGTTCACGGAACTCTCGCTTCATCATGTGAACCTTCATTTGACAGACGTTTGGAGACGACTGTTGGTCGTATAGGACACAAACATTTGCAGACGCCCTGAAACACAGCTGTTGTTTTCTGAAGACGGTTATTAGATTAAGGAGAGGAGGACAGACGGCAGCTCAGAACAGGAGGACGAGGACGGAGTTTTAAAGAACTACAGAGTAGTTCTACCTGACCTACCTGACCTCCACACATGTTTGAGGTAGAAGAAGAGGAGGAAAAAGAGAAGGAGGACTGACCTAGACGGGTACCCCGCTGCACTGATCCTGATGGTCTCCAGGACGCCGCAGGCTCGCAGCTGCTGCACGGCTCTACTGGAGTCGAACCTACGGAGACAGGAAGCAGATTAACTCGTCTGAGTTTCATTTAGACCGGCCGCTCCAAAAAACCTTCATCCTACCTACTCCTCTTCCTCGTCGGCATCACCGAGAGAGGAGCGGAGCTGACAGAGACAGAGAGCTCAGCTGACTGAGCGTTAGCCGTCAGCCGTTAGATCAGACATGTGACTGTGATTAGATTTAACATCTCAGAAAAACAGAGTGTCTGTCTGTCTGTCTGTCTGTCTGTCAGAGGAGGAGGAGCTGCAAATACCAACATGTCCTCAGAGAGGTCTCTGAAACCCCAGTGCCTCTAGATCTCTGTTCACATCGACAAAGAGGGACAGTTTGTCTCACAGAGACGGTGCTGAGCCCACAATAACACAGAGGTCTCAGAAACCAGGAGGGAATATGATCCACACCAGGATCAGGATCAGAACAGGGGACTCATTGTGGACTCACGTGAAGGCCTCCTTGAAGTCGTTGGGTTTGATGCAGCGGACGTAGTGAGGGGTGGTGGCGTTCAGCGTCTCCATGAGGAGGTGCAGGGAGCTACGGAACTGGAAACACATGAACAACATTAAACCATGACCTGGAGTCCTGACAGCGTCCTGCAGGGGGCGGTGTGGGCTCACCTGGTGTCCCACAGTCTTCCGGTGCTCTTTGTTGGGGGCTTTGGGGACGGTCTTCAACGACCGGACATTCACTCTGGCAGACTTCATGGGGGCGACATCGTCCTTCTCATGGAAGAGATCTGCGACCAGCTGGAACTGAGAGAAACCAGAGTGAGAGACCGCGAGAGTGGATCCTCGTGGTCCGGGTCAAGGTCCAGGTTCTTACCTCACTGGCCTTCAGGATGTTGATCTGCTCCTCGTAGACAGTGTCTCTATTCTTCTCCAGGAAACCCTCACACTGATACTCCACCTGAGACAGACAGGTGTTAAAGGGATATTCTGGCGTAAAAACAACACACACCGTACACACCGAGTTAGACCCTTCTCCAGAGATGAATGTTGCCGACCGCTTGCTTCTCTAGTTATACCAACTTTAGTCACGACCGCAGGATAGCAATACACAGCGGTCTGAGGAGCCATAAACAAACCTCAACCAAAACGCCACTCTATAGCCACAAATAATGCTCAGAACAGCACCTAACTGTGAAGTGGAAAAAAAATAAGATTCGTAAAACAAAACTATTACGAGGGGGGCCCAAGGGCTACAAAATCACTCAGAAAGAGACATCAATTTAATGCTATACATGAAATCAGAAAACCCACAACTAATACCATAGTGTATAAACCAGAAGACATAGAAAAAGTATTTGAAGATAACTATAAAAGCCTTTACTTACAACCTGCCTCAGGTGATGAAGAGCTGATCAGAGCTTTTCTAGATACATTAGATCTACCAACACTAGAGAAATCCCAAAATACAATTTTATTGTTCTGAAATAACCCTAATACCACATTAAGGGTTCTGGAGTGGCAAGGCCTTGTCTTTGATGCTATAACTTTTTTTCTATTAATGCCCTTGCAAAGAAATTCCTAGAAAATGTGTATTTTGTGATGAGGCATGATATACCTGAAATTGAAGAAAAAAAAACCCTATGGTTATGTATTTTTTTTTCAAATATGCTTAATCTTGCATTAGCGCCACACAAGTGCCACATGAATTCCAATGGGAAACCACTTGTCTTTTACATATACCCATATCAGTGGGAAAAAATGAATTTCAGCAAAGACTGTTTTCCCCCTTTTCTGAAGACATTAAAGATGCACTTTGCACTTTCAGCCACAAGGTGCACCTTTTTTTTCATGAATAATAGAGGCTGATCTAGCCAGGTGGTCAAAACCCCATTATTCCTTATGGGAATTTGGCAAAAATTACAATATTCAGAAAGCAAAAAATGCACATAACTTTATCACTAATAAAAGGAAGCAATTTTTTATTTTATTTTTACCATTTTACTGTATTTGGGCATGAAACAGTCTCAAATTTGTTATTCTGGTGTTTTTTTGTTTTTTTTACCATTTTGGTCAGTTTGACACACCCGTAAACCACAGCCTATGATAGATGCAGTCTTTTGGAAGGAAAATCTGCTACCTGTTTGTAATATACTGCCACAAGAGTTCAAATCAGATTTTTTCCCCCCATTTTTTTGCATTTTATCTTGAGTCTATTTCCAATCCAACTTTTTCAAATTATGAATGCTGAAATTTCATTTGTTTTCATATCCGTTATTGACCTTCAATGAGAGGCCATTTTTTGCAAAGAACCAAAATTAGAGTGCAGAAATGAATAAATCAGGTGTGCATGTATTTTTTTTTATGTGTTGGTGTTTTCAGTGTGTGCATGGTCGTGTGTGTTCGTGTGCAAATGTTTGTGCACGCGCATGATCTTGCACGCGCCCGTCACAGCCAGCAATTGCGTTCATGTCACATGCACCCCAAGCGTCCGCGGTCGCCCCGGGTACAGCCGCCTCGTTACCCGTGATCAGATAGCCTTAGGCCCGCGTCAGCAAAGGCGTGGAGCCGCTGGCTGCTCTGGAGGTGGTCACCTCACCTCACCACACGGAAACGGGGGTGTCGGATGGTCTTCGCCGGCGAATTTTACGCGCTTCGCGGCTGACACACACACACACACACACACACACAAAGCTAATCCCCATTGCGGTTCAGTCCCGACCTCTTCTTCTTCTTCCGGGTAACGGGGTTTTGCATCCAGCAGTCCGACGTAACTCGTAGGTTAATTGCTGTGCCGCGCCACCTGATCTGGAGGTACCTCCCCTCAGCTCCACTGATCGTAAGCACACACACACCATAGACTGTATATAAGATGGACAGAGTCTGCCTCCTCGTTGGGTGAAGCCACTCCGAGAACAGCACCCTCTGATGGTGGGCTGCAGTACAGGTCATAAATCCCGCCTCCGCCAGCAAAGCTTATGGGACAGTGGAAAAACTTTAGAAATTTATTACACAGAACATAATTTTTTCTCCCCCCTGGTTGTGATGTTGACATATAGTTACAGTAAGACTGGTTTGTGCCCAAGTCCTTTTTTTTCTGTACAGCTCCATTTTTAAAAGTTATTAGGGGGTTCATGTTTTCTATGATTGACACCTGGTACAGCCTATGGGCGTTCAGGGATTGCGTAGCTCTTCCGGGGGAATACGCTGTTTGAGCCAAGCGTCATCACAGGGACTCTCGGCGACTGCGCGGCCGAATGCGCACAACGCTACTGCACAGCTCTGGTTTCAAGGAAGTGGAGAAAAACCCGGAATTACTGAGAGCTTTTTGGCTTCAAATCCGTATACAGGCGGAAGGCGGAACCACGGTGTCCATCTTATATACAGTCTATGACACACACACACACACACACATGCACACGCAGGCGCACACACACACACACACACACACACACACGCACGCACGCAGGCAGGCACACACAAACACACACACATGTTTCAAACTAAAATTAAAAGGGTTAAAAGTTTGAAACTTGGTGATTTTTTCTTTTGAGTGGTTAGAGCAGAAGTCAATGATGACAGCCATAATAAAAAAAGGGCAACTTTTCATTTATAGATGATTTTATAGGCCACTAAGTGACAGTGGCAGTTCCGTACCACTAATGCAAGATTAGTCGTTTTTTTTTATTTTATGCTGTGACGCAAAAACTGAAACTGCAACTAAAACTAATTTTACACATACTCATACCACTCATAGGTTCTGATAATCTTGCACAAAGAAATTAGATTTTGCATTACTCTTATTATTTTAAGCCCTTTTTTTTTTAAATTGGGGCATTTTTTACAATGTGTTTGTACTAAAATTAAAAGGGTTAAAAGTTTGAAACTGGGTGATTTTTTTCTTTTGAGTGGTTAGAGCAGAAGTCAATGATGACAGCCATAATAAAAAAAGGGCAACTTTTCATTTATAGATGATTTTATAGGCCACTGAGTGACAGTGGCAGTTCCGTGCCACTAATGCAAGATTAGGGATTCTGAGGAAATAAGGTACAAGGGATGACTGAACTCGAAAAAAACACAATTAAGAAACTAAAACCCTTGCCAGATCATTACTTCATCATTTCCATGAAGAAATGATCATATTTGTTCTTCCTTGAGCTGCGTCACCCCGCTGTAGTCAGTAATGGACTGGCCTGAGGACTTTTTTACAAACAAGCAGCTGCTGGAAGAGAATAGGTGAGTCATGTTTAGTCTCTTTGCTAAAGAAACTGGTCAAAGTTAAAAAGATGTTTGGTGGCTAGTACTATGGCTGGAACCCTATATGCACTAACCTCAGTAGATCATGGTGTAGTTCCGTTCAGTAATAGAACCTCACTGGAAAATCAGCTCATTTAACTTTACTGTGCTCTTGTTCAAATATATTAACTTAACAGCACATATATTCATACCTGTTAACAAAATCATTATTTTATTGATAATTCGGCTCAATAAAAACACCTTAACCTTTTCATTTTACTACAGGAGAAGTTTATGGGCCCAGCTTACAGACTACAGAAGTGGAGAAACGCCCCCGCTTAAGTTTATGTTTTCTTAGGAGTTAGAACAACTCTGAATATAGTACTATGGCTGGGACCCTATATGTACTGTTGATGAAGTTAGGTGCTGTTCTGAGCATTATTTGTGGCTATAGAGTGGCGTTTTGGTTGAGGTTTGTTTATGGCTCCTCAGACCGCTGTGTATTGCTATCCTGCAGTCGTTACTAAAGTTGGTATAACTAGAGAAGCAAGCGGTCGGCAACATTCATCTCTGGAGGGGGTGTCTGTGTAACGGTGTGTTTGACCCTAACTTAATTTTACGCCTGAATATCCCTATAAAAAGACAAGTGCACGGCGGCTGATAATGAAGCAAAGGTGGATTTTCATGGAGGAGAAGGTGGAGCTAGAGAGGAGTGAGGAGCGAGCTCCACCCTCTCCTCCACAAAAATGTCAGGATGAGAGTTCATGACAGCTCACAATCAGACACCAGAGCTGCGTTAGTGTTTGTTTTCAGAGGATAGTGAGGGACAAAGACTCACCTTGTCAGCGAAGTGGACGATGATGAAGGAGACGTTGGACATTCGAGGTTTCTGGAAGTGAGCGCTGCTGGAGTGCTGCTTATAAAGCTTCTGGGCCCAGTTCTGCTCCGTCCCCTTAGGCACCTGGAACAAGAAGGGGATTATCTGAGGAAGTGGATTTTTCTGATCTTTTGTGGCGGTTTCTTCATCTGTTGATGGCGGTCTTACTTTACACTCCTCGTCCAGCAGGTCCAGGATGCCGAGTCGAGCCTCGATCAGGTCGATGCAGGGCTGGTTATCGTAGAAGTCGATAAGAGTCCAGGGGATCTGCTCCTTCATGTACTCCTCCTGCTCCAGCTTGAAGACGTGCTGAGGACAGACGGAGAGAAAATGGAGAGAAGACAGTCACTCTGAGAGAACCAGCAGGTGGAACATCAGGTCTGCTCAGGTCCAGGAATCAGAGTCTTACGGAGTTAAACTGCTGCTGCAGCTTCTCATTGGCGTAGTTGATGCAGAACTGCTCAAAGCTGTTCACCTCGAACGTCTCGAACCTGCAGGTCAAACATGAGGACCACCTTCATCACCACCCTCATCAACGTCATCATCATCGTCCCTCACATGAAGAACACCCCGACTCATCAACACTAAGCATTCGACGCCGTCTTACCCGTAGATGTCAAGGACACCGATGAAGGAGTGCTGCTTGGACGAGGTCTGCAGCGCCATGTTGATGTGCTCGACGATCCAGTCGAACATACGGGCGTAGATGTGTTTGGCGAGTGCGTCGCGGGCGTTCGTCGCCTGTTTGCTCGACATCTTCTTCACGTAGGTCTCAGATGCAGTCGCCAACTTCCTGTGACAGAGCCAGTGCTCCATCTGCTTTTGCTCCACCCCCAGCAGTCTGCAGAAGTGCTGCAGGTGGGGGTCATCCCTCTGTGACACAAACACACCTGTCAGAAGACGCTCACCTGCTCATTATCACCTGTTACCATGGCAACGTACCGAGATTCGGCAGGACTCTCCGTCTCGCTCAGAGCAGATCTCGATGTTCCCCAGGTGAAGGATGGAGGCAACCACTTTAAAGATACTGATCTGACTGCTCTCCTTCACACCTGAGACACACACACACACACACACACACACACACACACACACACAGAGGCGGGTCTTTAGCCTCCTCACAAATAGCGACGGTGTGTCCACCTGTCAGTCAAGTCAGCGGTGGCTCTGATTGGCTGATCCCTTCAGACTAAACTCTTTTTAAACATGTTTACTTTGGCTCTAAAAATCATATTTTTTAAATGAGTATGTATGTAGTTTCGAGGGCCTCTGCAGATAGCCTCTAGTGGACACTTTAGGAACTGCAGTGTTTTCAGCTTCATTTCTGGAGACCAAAGGTTACCACACGGTTTCCTCCCCAGATCAGGTTACAGTCATCTTAAAATAAAGATGTCTGACTGAGGTACTATAGGTGACATTATGTCCATGTGTGTCCTCTGAAGTGTCCGTCTGCATGTCCTCTGTCCTTACCTAGCAGGGTGAAGGCCTCTCTGGTCTTCTTAAAGTCCTCAGCGTCGTTCACTCCTTCGATGAAGATGTTTTCTCCAAGAGAGGTGAAGGTGAAATCTTCTGCGCTGGCTGAACAACGGCACAAGAAAACGAGTTCATCCACAGACTGTTGATGTTTAATAAAGTTTCTTTTTATGCTGTAGATGACGTTTGGACTGTATTTTAATTGTTCCTCTTCTTTATTTAGGGGTAGGGGTATTTTTGGACCTACAGAAATTGTTCAACACTATAGGACATACAATATTACTAACCAAACTCCAAAATTATGGAATAAGAGGACATGCGCATGATTGGATAACTAGCTACCTAAATAAGAGGTATCAGTATTTTCATTTTAAGAACACTAATTCAGAACTCTTGGAAATCACCTGTGGAGTGCCACATGGCTCTGTTCTTGGTCCATTGTTGTTTATTTTATATATTAATAAAAAAATCTGGTGTCCAAATCACTTAAGTTTATCTTAATTGCTGACGATATGACTGTGTTTTGTAGAAACAATAACTTGGAACAGCTTCTGGACACAGTGGAGAAAGAGATGGAAAAATTCAGAACTTAGTTTGACACGAATTAACTGTCACTCCATCTTTGCAAAACTAAATATATTATATTTGGAAACAAGCAAACAATTAAGAAATCTAACTATCAACAAGAAGGAAATCGAGGTAGTAACTGAGAACAAATCCTCGGGGTCATAGTAGATAAAAAACTTAGTTGGAAATCACACATAAATCATATTAAATTGAAAATCTATCTCCATTCTGTATAAAGCCAAAGATTTACTTTAACAAAAAGAGTTAGCCACTCTATACTATTCCCTGATAACTCCGTACATGACTTATTGCATTGAGATTTGGGGACACACCTTTAAAACAAAGACAAAACCAATATTTCTTTTACAAAAGCGAGCTGTAAGAGTCATCTGCAATAAACATTACCGTGAATCAACTCATCCCCTTTTTACTTCCTTAAATTTTTAAATAAATCATCAACCCAATCATCAATTCTTAAATTAATCATGTACAAAGACAAAAACCTAACCTTACCCCAACATGAACCTGTTTAAACTGAGGGACTCTAATTACGACCAAAGAGGTTGTGGATTATTTCAGAAACCAAAAGCGCGAACAAATGTCAAACATTTTTGTGTGTCTGTAAAAGGGATGAAAATATGGAACGATTGTCCGGTAGAAATTAAAAAAAGTCGTACTCTGGTAATCTTTATGAGACTTTACAAGAATAATGTTATTTCTTAATACTGTAGAGAAAATGATGTATGTTGATTTATTGTAAATCATTTATGTAAGTTGTAAAGCATGTTTAGTACTCTATCTGATTTGGAGAGTGAATATATATCGGAGTGTTGATATTTGTATGAAGAGAGTGTATCTGTATATTGGACTCGGTATAAGGCGAAGGTCTTTATAAGCATTACTTCTGCCTACATCTGTGGTGAGACGCCTCCTCCTCTTGTTATATTTTGGCTGGACTTCCTGTGTTTCCTTGTTTGCCTGGTCTGGCTTTACTCTCTTCCAGAGCTTCCTCCCCTCCCCCAGTCGCTGAGGCTGAGTGAGACTACACACCTGCTCCACATCTCCAATCAAGGCACTTTAAGAAGCCTGCAGCCCTCAGTCTCAGTGCCTGAGTATTGTCTACCCTTCCTAGCGGTACAGACGCGTCTCCTGGCCTTCCTATGTGTATGAGTATCAGTACTTTGCTCCTTGTGATTTGTTGCATGTTCGCTTACTTCCTTCTCCTCTGGTTTTTTCTGCAGTGTCTCCAGCCCACACGACAGCCAGCCAACCAGCCTACCGGACTTCCTCTTTTTGCATTTTAAACCCTGTGTTTGGACATTAAATTACCCCCTAAGTTGATCTCTGTCTCCGTGTCTGCTTCTGGGTCCTCACAACTCACCAGCCACACCACAGAATACTCAGGCCAGGATAATGGACCCAGCAGACCCGAATAGGGTTCAGCAAGCCGTCCAGAAGCTCGGTACTCGGCTCGGTCAACATGAGGATATGCTCCAGGGCCTCAATCATTCTTTTCAAGGCCTCTCTGTTCAAGTAGTGCAACTGGAGGAGCAACTACTCTCTCGGCTTCCACCGCAGGAAGCTGGATCTCCCCCCTCTTCACCTTCTCCACCACCCTCTATCATCAAAGAGCCCTATGTCCCTCCTCCTGAGCCGTATGCTGGGGAGATGGGGGGCTGCAGAGGTTTCCTGCTCCGCTGCGCATTAGTCTTCGACCAACATCCCATTAGTTACCCCTCAGATCGGTCTAAGATAGCCTACATGATAAATTTATTGAGAGGCAAAGCCGCTAAGTGGGCTACGGCCATCTGGGATAGGGAATTGCCTATGTTCTCCTCCCACGCCCGATTCTCGGAGGAGCTTTGTAAAATATTTGATTTTCCTGTCGAAGGCCCTGAATGTACCAAACGGTTGTTTTCCCTCACCCAGAGCTCTCGGTCAGTGGCGGAGTATTCCATTGAGTTCCGTACAGTGGCGGCCGAGAGTGGGTGGGGGGAACTAGAGCTAAAGGGGATATTCACTCGGGGTTTGTCTGAACAGCTAAAGGACGAGTTAGCAACTCGGGATGAGCCCTCCTCCCTTGAGGAGCTAACCACACTAGCCATCAGGATAGATAATCGCCTCAGGGACAGACGGAGGGAAAAGAAAGCACGATCCCTTACCCATAGCATAGACTCCCCATCCTCTGTTGCGGTCAGCGGGTCTCCTCTGCAGCCCTCAGCTCCTCTGGCTCCGACGCCCTCCACTGGAGAACCCATGCAAATCAGCCACGCCTCCTCTACCTCCAGCTCTCCCAGGCGTATCACAGTCCCTGCCTGTCTCCTTTGGGGAAAGGAATCCACTTCCCTCCAAACCCTCATTGACTCCGGGGCGGATGACAACTTCATTCAAGCCGGACTGGCAGCCCGGCTTCAGCTCCCCCTGGAGGTACTCCCGGTTCCCCGTAAGGTTACCGCTCTCGATGGCAGAGTGATAGCCACCATTACCCACTGCACTGCTCCTCTCACCCTCATCCTCTCAGGTAACCATCGGGAGGACATCCGGCTGTTCCTGCTTCCCTCTCCTCACTCTCCCCTGGTGCTGGGACTCCCTTGGCTGCAGATCCACAACCCTCAGATTAACTGGTCCACATCTTTGATCTCCGCCTGGAGTCCTCACTGTCACTCCCACTGCCTCCGCTCCGCCAATCCCTACATCCACCGTCAGAGGTCAGCATCCCCACCACCATCTCTCACCTCGGTTCCCCCCGTTTACCATGATCTGGCCATGGTGTTCAGTAAGGAGCAGTCTCTAGTCCTTCCTCCTCATTGCCCATATGACTGCGCCATAGATCTGCTCCCTGGCGCCCCTCTCCCCAGTAGTAGACTGTACAATCCCTCTCGGCCCAAACGAGAGGCCATGGAGGAATACATCCAAGACTCCTTGACATCTGGACTCATCCGACCCTCATCTTCTCCCCTTGCTGCTGGTTTCTTCTTCGTGAAGAAAAAAGATTCCTCTCTCCGTCCCTGTATTGACTTCCGTGGACTCAATGAGATCACCATAAAAAACAAATATCCCCTGCCACTCATTGATCCCTCCTTTGAACTTCTCTGCAAGGCACCCATCTTTTCAAAACTGGACCTCCAGAATGCCTATCACCTGGTTCGCATCCGGGAGGGTGATGAGTGGAAGACGGCCTTCAATACACCCATGGGCCACTTCGAATATCTCGTCATGCCCTTTGGCCTCACCAATGCCCCCGCTGTGTTCCAGGCTCTCATTAATGACGTCCTGCGGGACATGATCAATCAATTCGCCTTTGTCTATTTGGACGATATCCTGATCTTCTCCCGCAACCTGAAAGAACACCAGCAGCATGTCCGACTCATCCTCCAGCGCCTCCTCGAAAACCGCCTTTTCATGAAACCCGAAAAGTGCGAGTTCCATGCCTCCTCCGTCAGTTTCCTTGGGTACATCATCGCCCAGTGGGAGCTACGCCCAGACCCAGAAAAAGTCTGCGCTGTCCGTGACTGGCCCACTCCCTCCTCCCGCAAAGACCTCCAGCGATTCCTCGGCTTCGCCAACTTCTACCGACATTTCATCAGGAACTACAGTAAGGTGGCAGTGCCCCTCACCCGGCTCACATCCCTCAAGGTTCCGTTCTCCTGGACCCCCGAAGCGGATGCCACCTTCTGTCACCTCAAATCCCTCTTTGTCTCCGCCCCGGTGCTCAAACACCCGGATCCCTTTCTTCAGTTCGTGGTGGAGGTCGATGCTTCAGACTCTGGAGTGGGGGCCGTCCTCTCACAGAGGGACTCTGAGACCCAGAAGCTCCATCCGTGCGCCTACTTCTCCCGGAAACTCTCACCCACTGAGCAGAATTATGACGTGGGAAATCGTGAGTTGCTGGCTGTCATGTGGGCACTTCAAGAATGGAGACACTGGCTGGAAGGAGCACAACAACCGTTTCTCATCTGGACAGACCACAAGAACCTGCAATACCTCCGCTCCGCTCGTCGCCTCAACTCCAGGCAAGCCCGCTGGTCCCTCTTCCTCAGTAGATTCAATTTCACCCTCTCCTATCGTCCCGGCTCCCATAACCTCAAACCAGATGCCCTCTCTCGGATCCACTCCTCAGTTACCCCGGACCCCAGAGAACCAGACACCATCCTCCCTGCCTCCTGTGTCGTCGGCTCCGCCTCTTGGGAGATCGATACCATCGTGGACCAGGCCCTCCGGAACCACCCAGACCCGGGAACCGGCCCGCCGAACAGAAAATTTGTCCCTGAGATTGCACGTTCCCAGGTCCTACAGTGGGGGCACTCCTCCAAACTCACCTGTCACCCCGGGTTTCAACGCACCCTCCAATTCCTCCAGCAACGGTTCTGGTGGCCGGGGATGGTCCAGTGTCCTGGAGTACGCACCTCCCATGGATCCAATACGCCCATAACTCCCATACCTCTTCGGCCACAGGTATGTCCCCTTTCATGTGCTGTTTTGGGTACCAGCCCCCCCTGTTTCACGAACAGGAGCACCCGGTGGCCGTCCCGTCGGTGAGGGAGCACCTTGGGCGTCTACGGGAGGTGTGGAGATCGGCCAGGGTCGCACTCACCCGCACGGCTGGTCTGGCTTTACTCTCTTCCAGAGCTTCCTCCCCTCCCCCGGTTGCTCAGGCTGAGTGAGACTACACACCTGCTCCACATCTCCAATCAAGGCACTTTAAGAAGCCTGCAGCCCTCAGTCTCAGTGCCTGAGTATTGTCTACCCCTACTAGCGGTACAGACGCGTCTCCTGGCCTTCCTATGTGTATGAGTATCAGTATTTTGCTCCTTGTGATTTGTTGCATGTTCGCTTACTTCCTTCTCTGGTTTTTTCTGCAGTGTCTCCAGCCCACACGACAGCCAGCCAACCAGCCTACCGGACTTCCTCTTTTGACGTTTGGACCATATTTTAATTTTTCCTCTTCTTTATGTTCCACAGACTTGTGTTTTCTCCTGTTTTATTCCTGATGTATGAATCTGTACAGATGTCACTATAAACAGAAGCTAATTCACCCAGGTGGACCACACAGAACACCTGTCTCAACCGTAAAAACAAAAACAGCTGATGGCAGCTCTGGTACCGACACCAGACTGAAACAAACAAGAACATCAGAACTGGACAGGTGGACTCACTGAGGGCCAGGTCTTCGAACTCAGGTAAACTGGCGGACGCACACAGCTGGTAGAAGATGTGATAGTTCCTCTCGTCCTCCGCCTGTCAGACAACACCCAGGGTTACAAACATCCTGATCAATTATACCCACAGTCTGGAAGGTGTCGATCGATTCTCCTGACCTGAAACACGACTCTGGACTTCTCCAGCAGGTACGTCCTCATGTTGGCCCCAATGATGTGGTAGTGTCGGCTGAACCCGATCTGGATGTACTTTCCGAAGCGGCTGCTGTTGTCGTTTCTGGTGGTTTTCGCGTTTCCTATCGCCTGATAAATGGGGAGCACAGAGTCATCGGCGTAAGGTTAGAGTTTGGTTATCAGACCACAGACACAGGAGGACCACAGACACAGGAAGACAACAGATAAAGGAAGACAACAGACAAAGGAAGACCACAGACACAGGAAGACCACAGACACATGAGGGCCACAGATACAGGAGGACCACAGACACAGGAAGACCACAGACACAGGACGACCACAGACACAGGAAACCACAGACACAGGAAACCATAGACACAGGAAGACCACAGACGGGTAGGAAGGCACAGTCACACTGACACACACTGCAGGCTTCGTCGCTCTCCATCACGCCTCTTTCAAACCTCACTGACCTCCATGATGGGGCTGGAGGCCAGCACCTTCTCCTCCACGTTGGTGTCATTCGCTGAGCCACCCACCGTGGCGAAGAACCTCATGGCGTACTTCGCAGAAACTGTTTTTCCTGCTCCGGATTCCCCGCTGACGATAATGGACTGATTCCTCTCGTCTCTGCGGGGCGCACAGACGGCGGGACGGTCAACAGATGTTTTCAGATGATTAAACAGAGATATCAGAGGACAACTGATGCCATTACCTCGCCATCTGCTTGTACGCCTCCTCGGCCACGGCGAAGATGTGCGGGTCCATGTCCCCCATGTTCTGCCCGCTGTACGCCCTGATCACCTCCTCGCCATAAATATGCAGCTGCTCGTACGGGTTAATGGCTACCAGCACGATTCCTGCACATGCACACACACAAGGACACACAAACACAAGGACCCACACACACATGCACGTGCGCACACAGAGACAAAAACACACACACACACACACACACACACACACACACACACACACACACACACACACACACACACACAGATGCCTGACAGGTGAGGTCTGTTGTGAAGATGTGTTGTGTAGTTGTGCAGTTATGGTTTTGTGTGTAATGACTGCAGTATGTGTGGTTGTGTAGTTGTGAGTATTTGTGTGTACTGACGGCAGTACGTGTAGATGTGTTGTGTGTATTTGTGTGTACTAACCCCAGTACGTGTAGATGTGTTGTGTGTAGTTTTGTGTTCTAACCGCAGTACGTGTAGATGTGTTGTGTAGACATGCTGTGTAGTCGTGTAGATGTGTTGTGTAGTTGTGTGTACTGACCATAGAACTTGTAGATGTGTTGTGTGTAGTTTTGTAGTTGTGTACTTACCGCAGTAAGTGTAAATGTGGTTGGACTTCAGGAAGCAGACCCTCAAGTTGTGTGTTGTGTAGTTGTGTTGTGTAGATGTAGTTGTGTGTAGTTGTGTAGTTGTAGTTGTCTACTAACCACTGTAAGTGCAAATGTGGTTGGACTCCAGGAAGCGGACCTTCAGGTTGTGTGTTGTGTAGTTGTGTGTAGTTGTGTAGTTGTAGTTGTCTACCAACCACAGTAAGTGTAAATGTGGTTGGACTCCAGGAAGCGGTCCTTCAGGTTGTGTGTTGTGTAGTTGTGTGTAGTTGTCTGTAGTTGTAGTTGTGTACTAACCACAGTAAGTGTAAATGTGTTGTGAGTTGTGTAGTTGTAGTTGTCTACTAACCACAGTAAGTGTAAATGTGGTTGGACTCCAGGAAGCGGACCTTCAGGTTGTGAAGCACGGCAGGTTCATGGAGGTAACTGAGCGCCGTCAGGTCGTTCTCTCCGACCAGGATATCCGGGTTACGAAGGAACGGGAGCGGGTTCAACTTTGGACCCACTGGGTACTCCAGAGGCTGAGAGGGGACCAGAACAGGACCAGAAAAGGACCAGAACAGGACCAGAACAGGATCAGAACAGGATCAGGATCAGAACAGGACCAGAACAGGATCAGAACCAGAACACGATCAGAACAGAACAGGATCAGTTTAAGTTACAGAGGTTAAAAGTTGTCCACTCTGTCAGAGTTTAATTTTAATACAAAATCTTTTAAATTTTTTTTTTTAAAGAAAATTTTAGTTTGTTTTTAATGAAAAAAATAAAAAAAACATTGTGTAAACACAACTTTAATGGGGTCAAAGGTCTTAAGTGAGGGACTGGTCCTCTGTACGTCGCCACGGTAACACTCAGATTTATTCCTGTCAAACCTCTACAGAGTGTCTCTATGATAATAATAAAAATAATGATAACAAAGGTCAAAGGTCACCATCTCATCCTCCAGTTGAAGGTGAAGGACAGGGTCTCCCTCTTTGTAGTCTTTGACGATCTCTGCGGCTCTCCACACATCCTCAGGGTCCGGGATCCACACCCGTGTGTACTACAACACACACACGGATATGAGTTGATTATTGATTATTGATTGATAGCATTGACAGGTGCAGGTAAAACAGAAGGCAGGGAGACTCTGAGCCTAGAGCTCAATTCAGGATCTTCCTGCCTGTTCACCTTCATGATTGTACAACTAAATTCTGTGGCAGAGAGAGAGAAAACACACACACACACGCACGCGCACACACACACCCACACACACTGATCCAAACTTGATGAAAACTAGAAAATGCCATTTCTGAAGAAATTGTGAGTGGGATTGCTGTGTTTGAAATTGCTATCGCTAAGCTGCTATTGCGAATGTCTTTAAAAATATGTGAAAGATAAAAAGGTTTGAAGTATCAGGAAGGTTTGAATCAATTTGAATAAACTCAACTGAATGAATTGAATAATGCATGAATAATTTCAAAAATTCAACGTGTGAAAATTAAAATGATTAAAAATCCTTGAGTATGGGAAAGGCTTGAAGAATCAATAAGGTTTGAATCAGTTTAAATGAGTTGAATTTGTTTGAAAGAATGCATAATGCATAATGAGTAAAAATGATTTTAAACTGGAAAATTAAAAGGTTACAAATCTGGAAGAAAAAGAGGTTTGAAGAATCAAAACGGTTCAAATCAGTTTGAAGGAGTTTAAATTAGTTTGAAGAATAAAATAATGCATTTTCAATAAATGATTGAAAATTGGGAAAAATGTAAATGAATAAAAATCCTGATTAGACCCCATAATGTCCTCAATGAGCTGAATTTATTAAGCCCTGGATGGTTTCTGTAGTTTAAAGTTTGTGCGAAGAAATAGATGACAAAGTTCGTCAAATAACTCTAGTGAAGAGTTTTAAATGTAACCCCCAGTACACTGTGTAATGAGCCTGGCTTCATTGGTCTCATATGGCTGTTAGAAGCAGCTTTCCAGGCAGCTGTGTGTCTCCAGGTGCTCTTATTGGTTGCCATGGTGACAGTAGATGCATCACGACAGCAAGAGAAAGGAGGCTTGAGGCTGAGAACATAATGCACAAACAATGTCATATTTCTCATCCTCTGTAACTGCTATCTTCATGATAAGGAGCTTGCGAGAACCACAAGACCCAGCTGAACACATTGATACAACTTCTGTGTCTGTGGATCCAAAAATGCCTTCACTACAACAAGTTAAAAACATGTCCAGTTTGTGTTTCCTCTGAAAATCCTCCTCTCAGGTTTATATTGGAGTCAATGGAGAAAGCCGGAGGAATTTTGGGGATGTTTGTGGCAGTTGGTGTCTGCCCTAGCCACTGTGTGTGTCCTACAGCTTTGATTTTTGAGATGAAGAATGACAGCAAGTTTTGCCATCACTGTACCAAATATTATCTGTGTAGAGTGAAGTGAGTTGCCACAATCCTTTTGTAAAGAGAAAGTTTTGTGGATCAATTTTCAGCCTGTCTCACTCTAGCGGTGAGGTCACCCACTCTAGCTGCCAACATTCCATGCAATACACACTAATGTTAAAACCTGAAGAGGTCAGAAAATCCTGACTTTGAATGAAGTTTCTAGGTGAAAGTATGAATGAATGAGAAGAGGTTGAATTTGACTACGTCTGAAGCCCTTTTCCCATTGACTCCCATTATAACAAAGTTTGAAACAAATCTTAATAGTTTGAAAAGTACAAATGGGATTAAAAATGTTGAAGATATGGAATAATGCTGACGAATTTGTGAATATTTTGGTTTTTGAATGAAGCTGTGATTTAAAAGAGCTGAGAGTTTCAGCAGACCTACAGTTTTCAGGGGGTTTGTTCCAGATATGAGGAGCATAAAAACTAAAAGCTGCTTCTCCACGTTTAGTTCTGACTCTGGGGACAGAGAGCAGACCTGCTCCTGATGATCTGAGCGGTCTGGATGGTTCGTAACGTACCAGCAGATCAGAAATGTATTTTGGTCCTGAACCATTCAGTGCTTTATAAACCAGTAATATTATCTTAAAATCAATTCTTTGACAGACGGGAAGCCAGTGTAAAGATCTGAGAACTGGGGTGATATGATCTACTTTCTTGGTCTTAGTGAGGACTCCAGCAGCAGCATTCTGAATCAGTTGGAGCTGTCTGATGGATTTTTTGGGGAGACCTGTGAAGACACTGTTACAGTAGTCGAGTCTGCTGAAGATAAATGCATCGACAAGCTTTTCCAAATCCTGCTGGGTCATCAGTCCTTTAACCCTTGATATATTCTTCAGGTGATAGTAGGCTGACTTTGTAATTGTCTTTATGTGGCTGTTAAGATTCGGGTCTGAGTCCATGACAACACCAAGGTTTCTGGCTTGGTTTGTGCTTTTTAACATTATCGATTGAAGCTGAGCGCAGACTTTTAATCGGTCTTCTTCTGCTCCAAATACAATTACTTCAGTTTTATTTTTGTTTAGTTGAAGAAAATTCTGACACATCCAATCATTGATTTGTTCAATGCACTGACTCAGTGTTTGTATTGGATTGTAGTCACCTGGCGATATGGTTATGTAAATCTCTGTGTCCTCTGCATAATTATGGTAAGATATTTTGTTGTTTGCTATGATTTGAGTTAGAGGGAGCATGTAAATGTTGAATAGGAGTGGTCCCAGAATGGAGCCTTGGGGAACCCCACGTCATTTTTGTTCGCTCTGATGTGTAATTACCTAGAGACACAAAGTAGTCTCTATCCTCGGCAGCTTTAGCGCGCAGCCACATTGGAAATACTTATGGTTCCCCCACCGGTAGTCATTTTAAACTCGCTAAAGTCTCCTGGGCTGTAAACCTCGATGCCTGCATGTACGCCGGGACCAAACCTCCACAACACACACGGATGATGTGTCCTTTACGACAGGTGAACAACAGCCAGGGAACAGACAATCCGAGAGTCGGGGGCAGACCACAGTTCAGGAAACCAGGAGACTCACAGATAGGCAGCTCGCTGTCAGGGACGGAAGGTGAGCTAGATTGCCACAGATCAGACCAACAGTCAGGGTCAGAGCAGAAACGGCTCGAGCCTTACGGTAATCCGAGGGCAAGGCGAGCAGGCAGGAACGGTGGCGAGCACAGGTGAGTGGAGTTTGGCTGATGAGGTGGGAGTGGCAGTGAAAAAAAACTGGGTGACTGGGTGATTAACTGACCTACTGTTTGAATGAGAAGCTGCCGAACTTCCGTGAATTTAGGGCCTCTGAACTTCTTCACATAGCACGATTTCCTTAAATCCCAGAATGAAAATAAGAACATCATACGAATCCTCTGCCCTTCATGAACACAATGATGTGTTTTTCATGTCTGTACTCTAAATGTGGCCACAACAGTGAGTTAAAAAAGTCTGAGCCTAAGTGATGATCCAGATTTTCTTGGAGAAAAATTACATTAGGGCCAATGCCAGGGTTCTTTGCCTTTTTTGGACAGTTGGTCACCTGCTGGACAAGGGGTAGGATTTAATGATTTGAAACCTCTTTTATGAGAAGCAGGACACATATACCTCCATTTTGATGTATTGTTTATGGCTGTGGAGTGAAATTTGTGGGCGTGGGAGTGATATATTCGAGCGAGGTTCTGTCGATCCAAGAGTAAGTCAGCACACTAGCGACAACATAATCACTCTAGCTCTTCCAATACACACCCATTTAATTATTAAGCCTGAAATTTGCTGAAAACCATGAGTTGCTTAAAGCTAAATTGTGGAAAAACTGTAAAAGATATCAAAAAAGTGAATACAAGTTTAATAGTTGACAGGATAATGAACATTTTAAAGCAAAAATGAGGTCTCTAGGTAAAAGTATATTGAAGTTATAAGGCTCAGAAGGTTGAAGAATAAAAGGAAGAATTGGAAGATTTCCCCATTGATTTCAATGTTAAAATTCGCACAAAAAAAAAAAAAAGTAGAAAGGGTAGAAAGGTAAAAAGAACAAGCGACCATGTCCTGAAGAAGAGGAACAGTTTAAAGTTTGAACGGTTGAAATCGCAAGAAGTGGGAAGGAGTTGAAAGCGGGCAAAAAAAGGTACGGAAGAATAATAAGTTTAATAATAATAATAATAATAATAATAAAGAAAAATGGCCGACAGGAATAACAATAAGTGGAAATGCTTAATCAGCATTTCCACTTAACTAGAAAATGCAATTTCTGAAGAAATTGCGAGTGGGATTGCTCTGTTTGAAATTGCTATCGCTTCACTGCTATTGCGAATTGCTGAATTTTGAAAGACTATGAAAGATAAGAATGTTTGAATTTTGAGCAAGCTTTGAATTTATTTGAATGATTTGGATGAATTCATTGAATAGTGCATACATTTAAAAAAAAAAAATCAGTGTGTGGAAAATTAAAATGATTAAAAATCCTGAAGTATGTACTTGAAAGGTTTGAATCAGCTGGAATGAGTTGGAATTTGTCTGAAGAATAAAATGATGTATAAATCGTTAAATCATTAAAAACAGGGAAATTAGAATGATTAAAAATCTTAAAGTATTAGAAGTATCAGAAAGGTTTAAATGAGTTTGAATAATTTTTAATTTGTTTGAAGAATTGAATAATGCATGAATATTAAAATTGAATCTAGTGTAGGAAAAAAATTAAATAAAAAAAAAAATCCCGAATGCATCCCATAATGTCCTCAATGAACTGAATTAATTTAGCCCTGGATGGTTTCTGTAGCTCAAAGTTTGTAGGAAGAGATAGATGATAAAGTTTGTCTAGTGAAGGGTTATAAATGTAACCCCCGCGCTCTGTGTACTGAGCCTGGCTTCATGTGTCTCATAAGGTCGTTAGAAGCAGCTTCCTCTGTAACTGCTATCTTCATGATAATGAGCTTGTGAGAACCACAAGGCCTGGCTGAACAGGTTGATGTAATTTTTGTGTTTGTGGAGCCAAAAATGTCTTCACTAGGACAAGTTAAAAACATGTCCAGTTTGTGTTTCCTCTGAAAATCCTCCTCTCAGGTTTATATTGAAATCAATGGCGAAAGCTAGAGAAATGTTAGGGATGTCTGTGGCAGTTGGTGTCTGCCCAGGCCACTGTGTGTGTCCTACGGCTTTGATTTTTGAGATGAAGAGTGACAGCAAGTTTTGCCATCACTGTACCAAATATTATCTAGTGTTAGTTCTCTAACACATATACTAAAATTGGAACGATACAGAGAAGATTAGCATGGCTGCCTTGCTAAATATTTTTTTTTTAACGATAGCATATCCCCCACCCCCCAGTCTGGACTCCACATTACATCCAGCCAGGTGAAGAGAGAGCTGGAGAGGCTCAAACAGAGGAAAGCAGCTGGACCGGACCACATCAGCCCTCGTGTGTTGAAAGCATGTTCCAGAGAGATCTGTGGAGTTCTTCAGTATCTGTTCAACTTGAGCCTACACCTTCAGAGAGTGCCAGTGCTCTGGAAAACATCCTGCCTGGTCCCAGTGCCCAAAAAAGGACGTCCTGCTGCACTGGAGGATTACAGACCGGTGGCACTGACCTCTCACATCATGAAGGTTATGGAGAGACTGGTCCTGGCACACCTCAGACCGCTGGTGCGCACATCACAAGACCCCCTGCAGTTTGCTTATCAGCCCCACGTTGGGGTTGATGATGCAATCATCTACCTGCTGCAAAAGGCCTACGCCTCCCTGGACAGACCCAACACCTCAGTCCGCATCATGTTCTTCGACTTCTCGAGCGCCTTCAACACCATCCAGCCCAGACTGCTGAAGGCCAAACTGGAGAGCATGCGGGTGAGATCTCCCCTCATCACTTGGTTCGATGACTATCTGACGGGCAGGCCGCAGTTTGTGAGATTACGAAACTGTGAGTCTGGTCGTCTGATCAGTGACATCGGAGCCCCCCAGGGGACTGTGCTGTCCCCCTTCCTCTTCACCACATACACATCAGACTTTAAGTACTGCACTGAGTCGTGTCACCTGCAGAAGTTCTCCGATGACATGGCCATTGTGGGGTGTGTGGAGGGGGGAAGGGAGGCTGAGTACAGGGACCTGGTCGACCGCTTTGTGAAGTGGTGTGGGGAGAACCACCTGCAGCTGAACGTGGCGAAGACGAGAGAGATGGTGGTGGATTTTAGGAGGAACAAGCCCCTGCCCACTCCTGTCCGCATCAGTGGGACAGATGTGGATTTGGTGGACTCCTACAAGTACCTGGGTGTTACACTGGACAATAAACTGGACTGGTCCGCTAACACAGAGGCGGTGTACAAGAAGGGCCTGAGCCGGCTCTACTTCCTGAGGAGGCTCAGGTCCTTTAACATCTGCAACAAGATGCTGCAGATGTTCTATCAGTCTGTTGTGGCGAGCACAATCTTCTTTGCTGCGGTGTCCTGGGGCGCGTGCATCAAGGCAAAGGACGCCAACAGACTGAACAAACTCATCAGGAGGGCAGAGTCTGTTGTGGGCTCTAAACTTGTCACCCTGGAAGAGGTGGTGGAAGACAGGATGCTGGCAAAGCTGCTGGCAATCATGGACAACCCCTTCCACCCCTCTACAACACACTGGACAGGTTGAAGAGCAGCTTCAGCAACAGACTCATTCAACCCCGCTGCTTTAAGGAAAGATACAGGAAGTCTTTCCTACCTACTGCAATAAGACTCTTTAACTCATCCACCCCTGTTAGAGCAACAGTCACTTACATGGACTAGCCTGCCATTCCTACATTGTTGTTATAAATACGGGTACATATGCTTAGGTTGTAATTAAGTTATATTAAGCACATAAGTATTATACAATATTTTTACCACTTTTGCACATTTCTCCTTTGCACATCTACACTTACAGATTCATTCATCTTAGTACATACTATTTAAGTACTCATATTCATTCATTATCTTGTATAGTCTTGTATAGTCTTGTATATTTTATCTATTTTTTGTATTTCTCTTGTATTGCTTGTATCGGCTACTACAACAACCGAATTTCCCCTCGGGGATTAATAAAGTTCTCTATCTATCTATCTATCTATCTATCTGAGTAGAGTGGAGTGGAAAAAACATACAATTCCAGAGGACTTCACTACTGTCCGCATAGACAGGAACGATACCTCGGGGAAACGTAGAGGGGGCGGGATATGCATGTATATCAGAGATGCTTGGTGTAGGAATTACACTGTTAAAGATACTGTGTGTTCTCCGGACCTGGAGCTTCTATGTTTAAGTCTGAGGCCGTTTCATCTCCCAAGAGACTACAGGAACATATTCATCTGCGCGGTCTACGTCCCGCCCAGTGGGAATGCGTCCAGGGCTGCATCACGCGTAGCAGACTGCGTCCACCAGCAGCTCAAGAACAAGCCGGACGCACCGCTGTCATTCATTGATTTGAAAAAAGCTTTTGATACAATCAACCCTGAAATATTAATCAAGAAACCAGAAAATTATGGCATTAGGGGAATAGTGCTGGATTGGGTGAAAAGCTATTTAAGTGGAAGACAGCAATTTGTGAAGCTGGATGAGCTGGAAGCTGGATGAAACTACAGGAGGACATCACTACAGAAATGAACAAACTTAAAAAATGGTTTGACATAAATAGACTATCATTAAATCTGAATAAGACTAAACTAATGCTTTTTGGCAATTGCACACTGAACATACAGGTAGAAATAAAAATAGAGGAAGTAGAAATAGAAAGGGTCCATGAAATTAAATTTCTAGGGGTAACAATAGATGACAAGATTAACTGGAAATCACATATCAAACACGTACAAAATAAAGCATCAAGAAGCATTGCATTAATTAACAAAGTAAAAAAGGTCTTGGATCAGAAATCACTTCACACTCTGTACTGTTCTCCATTTTCACCATACTTGCAATACTGTGCTGAGGTTTGGGGTAACAACTACAAAACATCACTACAGCCACTAATCATCCTTCAGAAAAGAGCAATAAGGATTATTCACAATGTTCGCTATCTGGAACACACAAACGCATTATTTCTACAGTCCAAATTACTAAAATTTGCAGACCTTGTGAATTATCAAACTGCACAAATAATGTTCAAAGCTAAAAATAACTTTTCTAGTATTCATGTGGGAACCTACAATCTAAGGGGAACAATGAACTTCAACTTAACTTTAATACGTACCACCAGGAATAGTTTTTGTGTTTCAGTCAGAGGGGTGAGGTTATGGAACGGGTTCACTAGGGAGCAGTGTTGTTTTCGTCAGGCAGGACGAAAACTTAAATGACGACGTCAGACCCATTTTTCCTTGACGAAAATGAGACTAAGACGAACGTCACCAAAGCTCTGTAAAGACTAAAATGTGACGAAAATTATATTCATTTTCGTCAGACGAGAACGAGACGAGACTAAATTGTTATTAGGTGGACGAACAAAGTTTCAAAACATGCTTTTTTTTTGTCCTAACAGTCACGCCCCCATCACAAACGCACCAAAAGCCTCGCTCGCGCACAGCTGCGCGCACACACTCATACACATACACAGAGCGGCAGGTGGACGAGGCGCGCACACACACACACTCACCGTGGCGGCAGGCACAGCAGTGGTGCCCGGTGGCCGAAAAAAGAGGGATGATTTATGGTCCTACTTCAGATACAGTCCAAGTGACAATAAAACACAATGTCTTGTACGGGGAGACGAGACAGGCGACAGTTGTGGAGCCACAGCTTCCTCATGCTGCGGCTTTAAACTGTCGGGAAAGAACACCACGAACCTCAAAAGGCACCTTTTCGTCGACTAAAACTAGACTAAAACCTTTTGAGTTTTCGTCGGACTAAAACTAGACGAAAACTATCAAGGATAGAAATGACTAAAATGGGACGAAAACGAAGAAGCATTTCGTCAAAATGACTAAGACTAAAACTAAATCTAAAATGCCTGCCAAAAACAACACTGCTAGGGAGTGAAAGCAATGTCCAACTACCAAACAGTTCAAAACAAGATACAAAGACACTATTTTCACAAGGTATAGGGATGAGGGAGGTGTTGGGTAGATACATGGGCTACTACGATTTTGTTTTCTGTTCCCTAATTTATTTATTCTCTTTTTTGTTTATTCTTGTTTCTTTTGTGTGTGTGTGTGTGTGTGTGTGTGTGTGTGTGTGTGTGTGTGTGTGTGTGTGTGTGTGTGTGTAATTAGGTGAGGAGGGTGCTGAATGTTTGTGTTCGAGAGGCCTTCTCTAACAAAGCCCAAGGGAAATGTGGAACTCTGTTAGAGAAATGACTAGTATGAACTCTGGTAAAAAAAAAAAGACCTACAGGTACATTATGAATTAGATAAGGCAAATTAATTTAATTTATTTTATAAACGCTTTGATTCTGATCCTGTTAAGAATGTCCATGAAAGCAGAGAGATGTTAAATACAGTGCTGCGTGAGCCTAGGCACAGAATTGTTATTGAACCGAGGGATGTAGCTTATATTTTAAAAAACTACTCATTAAGAAGTCCAGTGGACCAGATCATATTTCAGCCTTTCTCCTAAAAACATTCTCTGAGGAGCTAACTCCTGCGTGGACTCCACTATTCCAGAGGTCTGTAGATTCGGGCAGCATTCCGGCCATATGGAAGGAGGCTGTCATCATCCCTGTGGCCAAGAATTTCTGCCCGCAGGAAAATAACGACTTCAGATCAGTAGCTTTAACATCAATAGTTATGAAATCACTGGAACGGATCATGGTAGGGAAACTGTGCGGAAGTAGAGCACCTTTTAGATCCCCATCAGTTTGCCTACAATAGAGGCAGAGGAACTGATGACGCTCTGAACTACACTACATACCTGATTCTAAAACTAGTGCTGCAACTAACGATTATTTTTTGTCGACTAATCTATCGACTAGTCGTCCGATTAATCACGATTAATCACTATCTTCTTTATTTATAAACACCTATTTCCGAGGTGTCGGCGTTTCAGGTGCTCATGCATCGCCATGGTGCTGCCATGGTAGGAAAGCTGAGCTTTGATCAACGTCTTTTTTTGGTTTGTTCTCCGTAAAATGTTCCCAAACTTTTGAAGTTTTGGGTGGGAGTTTTGGAGCGTCTTTTTCAGTTTGTTCTGCCATAATGTGTGCACTCTTTTTCTGTGTTTGCTCGCGGGATGTTAACAGCGAGCGCTACTGCCCCCAGCATATCCTGTAGTGCACTGCAGTTATAGATGAGCATGAGGCGCCGGCATGTGATTCTTAACAACAATAACACGACGCGTCGACGCTTCGTTTTCGTGTCGATGAATTTGTCGTGTCGACGTAATCTATTACGTCGACTAATCGTTGCAGCCCTATCTAAAACACCTGGAGGATCCCTTGGCGTATGCCAGGCTAATGTTCATGGATTTCAGTAGTGCATTTAATTCCATTCTCTCTCAGACTTTGCAAGGAAGTCTGAAGGAGATGGAGGTCAACCCGTATATGATTAAATGGTACTGTGATTTTCTTACAGAAAGGCAACAGAAGGTCAAGGTTAACTCCACTCTCTCTGACACACAGTTCATAAGTACGGGGGCTCCTCAAGGCTGTGTAGGCCCTGTATGAACAGGAGATAGAAGGGGCGGTGGGGTGGTGCGACAGGAAGAACCTGTTTCTAAACGTCAAAAAAACCAAGGAGATAGTCTTTGATCCCAGATCCGTGGGAGATCAAGGGCCGATCCTAGGTGGATTCATATAAATATTTGGGTATTTGTTTTGATCGCCAGCTAAGCTGGGCCTGTCAAGCTGACTCTGTCTGTTCTCGCGTCAACCAGCGACTTCATTTTCTGAGAAGGCTCAGGATCCATGGTGTACCTAACAATATCATGATGATGTACTACAAAGCCAATATAGAATCCATAATAAGATATGGCATTACTACGTGGTTTGGTAACTTGTCTGTCAAACTTAAAACTCAACTACAAAACTTGATTAAGAGAGCTGGTAAAATCATAGGAGTGCAGCCTCCATGCACCCTCCAGGAGATTTTTGACAGTACAGTACTGAAACAGGGTATTAAAGTCATTCATGACCCAAGTCATGCTTTGTACAAGGAATTCATACTACTGCCATCAGGCAGACGATATAAGGAGCCACCATGGAGGCTTAATAGGTTTAAGCTCTCATTTGTCCAGTTAGCAGTCAAAACACTTAATAACAGATAACTATAACTAGAACAGCACAGTACTGGTAAAGTGCGGTACCACACCATTGTAATGATATTTTTTTTTGTCACTGTATGTATTGTCTGCTCACCATGGTGTATGAATTGAACTTGGATTGGTGTATGGTGTATGAATACAACAACGCTGTACCTTGTAAGCCCAAGACAAATTTCTCCTTGGAGACAAATAAAGGAATTGATTGATTGACATCAGGAGGTGTTATCGTGGTTGCCGTGCTGGTGCAAAGGTGAAGGCAAAGCTGAATGCTAGGAGGTGGCAATATAAACCCTTTCTTCCATCAATCATCATGGGAAACGTCAACTCTCTGCCCATAAAAGCGCTGGAGATATTGGTGAAGACTGAGAAAGCATACCGTAAGTGCAGTTTCCTGTGTTTTACTGAAACCTGGTAAAATCAAAACAACCTGGACTCCAGTGTGGATCTACCTGGCTTCACTCTCATAAGGTCAGACAGAGATGCTCAAGCTAGTGGCAAGAAGAAAGGAGGAGGTCTGGCTTTATTTGTCAACCAGAGATGGTGTAACCCACATATGTCAGAGTCAAGGCCCGCGGGCCACATCCGAAGGTTTTTTACGGCCCCTGGGATGATCTTGATTTATTATTAGAACCGGCCCGCAGACCGCAGCAAGCCGGCAGCCCGCAGATCTTTTACACGCACCAATACTACATTTCCCACAATGCAACGGTGACGCACCGAGCAGTAGGCTGCTTCATTTCAATATTTATTAGCACAGCATAACAGTAAAATTAAATTTCAGATACCCATCAAAAATGGCAAAACGGAAGGTGGACACTGAGAACCGGGGGTTTCAAACAAGGTGGGAGTCGGAGTATATGTTCACGGAGGTAGCTGGAAAACCTGTGTGTCTTCTGTGTGGAGAAAGTGTGGCGGTACTGAAAGAGTATAATCTGAGACGACATTATGAAACGAAACACGCGGACAAAAACAAGAATATGGACATGGAACAAAGGCTACAGAAGGCCGAGGAATTAAAACGAGGCCTCAAATCTCGACAGGCTCTGTTCAAAAAAGCCAAATCACAAGGCCAGGCTGCTGTCAAGGCCAGTTTTATTTAAAAAAAAATAGAAATAATAATAAATAATAATAAATAATAATAAAATAGAAAATATAGGCTACTGATGGTGCCTTGAATAATACCGGTTTCTTTCATTTAATGTTCATGTTATGGGGATTTTTATATAAAGGAAATTTGTCTTTTGTGTCTGTTGAAAATTAAAGATTACAGACAGAGCCATAAGAAAATATTGCTTTATTTATCTGATCATAATGGAATATATTTGCTAGGTTTTCAGTAGGTTCAATTAGGTTCACTAGACTATATGCGTCATTTAAAAAATTTTCAATGAACATTCGATCAGTCCGGCCCTCGGCTTGTAGCTAAATTTTTTATTTGGCCCTCCGTCCATTTGACTTTGACACCCCTGGTGTAACCCTTCACACATAACTGTCAAGGAGAAGTTGTGTTGTCCAGATATTGAACTGTTGGCAGTTGCTCTTCGGCCATATTATGTTCCCAGAGAATTTAGTCATATCATAACAATAGTGGTTTACATTCCACCCAAATCAACTGAGGAATGTTGCGATGTTTTGCAAAATAGTGTTGCCAGGCTACAGACTCAACACCCTGAGGCATTAATAGTAATATCGGGAGACTTCAACCATGTCACCCTCTCCTCTCACCTGACTGGATTCACACAGTTTGTGAACTGTCCTACCAGAGAAAACAAGACCCTGGATCTGCTGTATGCCAACGTCAGAGAAGCCTACAGAGCCACTGCCTTACCACCACTGGGCAAGTCAGATCATAACTTGGTCTATGTACAAACCTGTTACAGACCTTGTGTGCTGAGCCTGTGACCCAAGTCAAAATAAGAAGATGGACACCTCAAGCCAGTGAAGCTCTAAGGGACTGTTTTAAATCAACAGACTGGAATGTGCTGCTGGAAACAGATGTGGATAGTATGAACATTGATAAACAGGTTGAGTGCTTTACTGATTATGTCAACTTCTGTAGAGACACAGTTATACCCACAAAACTGTTCGCTGTTTCCCCAACAACAAACCCTGGATCACAAGAGACATAAAAGCAATCCTTAACCAGAAAAAGAAATCTTTTAAGGATGGTGACAAAGAACAACTCAAACAAGTGCAACAAGAATTGAACAGGAGACTGAAGATGGCAAAGCTGGAGTACAAAAAGAAGATAGAGAATAATCTACAACACAGCAACATCCGTGAGGTGTGGAGAGGAATCAGTACCATCTATGGACACAGCAGTCTAAAGAAAAGACAGCCAGTGGCGGGTGATGGGAAAAGAGCTGATGAACTCAACCTGTTCTTCAACAGATTTGACACTGCTGTCACTCCCACTTCCACTGCTACTCCACATTCCTCTCCACAACAAATCTCCACTACAACTTCTCCCCTTCCTCCTCCATCTTGTTCAAATGTCTCAACCACTTCAACTGCCTCCCTCCTAGAACACCAGTCCTTGTCTGTCACCGAAACAGGGGTGAGGATGGAGCTTGGAAGACTTTGTCCTGGGAAGGCAGCTGGTCCAGATGGTGTGTGTCCATGGCTGCTTAGAGACTGTGCTGCAGAACTGTCTCAACCTCTCCACAGCTGGGGCAGGTACCTGCTCTGTGGAAAACATCCTGCATTGTGCCAGTACCAAAAACAAAATGTCCTGCTGAACTCAATGACTACAGACCAGTGACCCTCACTTCACACATCATGAAAACCCTGGAGCGGCTGATTCTACGCCTTCTGAGGTCTGAGGTCAAAGACAAACTGGACTCCCTGCAGTTTGCATACAAAGAACACATTGGAGTGGATGATGCTGTCCTCTACATGCTTCACCATGCCCCGTCTCATCTAGAGGAACCTGGGGTTTATGTGAGGATCATGTTCTTTGACTTTTCAAGTGCATTCAACACCATCCAACCCACCATACTCAAAGACAAGCTCACAGAGATGGGAGTGGATCCTTCCTGTGTTTCCTGGATCACAGATTACCTGACAGAAAGGCCATAGTTTGTCAGGCTGGAGAACTGTGTTTCTGGGACATTAAAGAGCAGTACAGGGGCTCCACAAGGGACAGTGCTGGCGCCATTCCTGTTCACACTGTACATGTCAGACTTCAAATACAGCACTGAGTCCTGCCACATCCAGAAATACTCAGATGACACCGCTATTGTGGCATGTATCAGAAATGGACAAGAAGCTGAATACAGAGATCTAATAAGAGCCTTCAGTGACTGGAGTCACAAAAACTGCCTCCTCCTCAACACTTCAAAGACAAAGGAGATGGTCATAGACTTCCGTAGCTCCAAACCCCCTCTTCAGCCAGTGAACACCTGTGGAGTGGACATTGAAGTGGTGACATCATATAAATACCTAGGTGTACATCTGGATAATAAGTTGGATTGGTCTAAGAATATAGCCTTCATCTACAGAAAGGGGCAGAGCCGCCTTTTTTGCCTGAGAAGACTCCAATCAATAGACATCTGTAGTAAGATGCTGCAGATGTTTTATCAGTCTGTGGTGGCAAGTGTTCTGTTCTACGCTGCAGTCTGCTGGGGAGGAAGCATCAAACACAAAGATGCAAGACGTCTTAACAAACTGGTGAAAAAGGCTGGCTCTGTGGTAGGACTCAAGCTGGACTCAGTGGCGGATGTGGTGGAGAGATCTACACTGAGGAAGGTGGAGACTATTCTGAAGAACATGGATCACCCACTTCACAACACCTTGATGGACCAAAGGCCAAATGGTGGTGGACGGCTCCTCCCTCTTTGCTGCATGACAGAAAGATTTAGAAGATCTTTTGTAGCAACAGCCATCAGGCTTTATAACTCTTATGTAAATAATAGATAACTTTTATAGACATATTACATGAGACAACAGACAATTGAATTTCCCTTCAGGGATCAATAAAGTTCTTCTTCAATAATAATAATAATAATAAAGATTTGAATAACATATAGTGGGAATGCTTCGCAATCCCACTCAATAAAATGAATAATAAAGATATAAATAACATATAGTGGGAATGCTTTGCAATCCCACTCAATAAAGATATGAATAACATATAGTGGGAATGCTTCGCAATCCCACTCAATAAAGTAGTTTAATCAGAAGAATGAAGGACAGAGAGAGACTGAGGAGAGACATGCAGTAAAGAGTCGGCCGACCACAGCTTCATTTATCTAACAGAACCAACACCGGCCCAGTTTCAGTCAATCAATCAATCAATCAATCAATCTTTATTGATATAGCACTTTTCATACACGACCATGTATCACAAAGTGTTTTACACAGAAGAAGGAATAAAAGAAACAAAGGCTACGTTCACACTGCAGGTTATGATGCACAACTTGGATTTTTTGTTAAATCTGGTCTTTTTGTGCAGTCGTTCACATTACAACAATGAATGCAGCATCTAATCTGAACAGAATTGCTTTCCGTGCCTGTTTGTGTTGTCAAACATTGGTGACGTTTGTCGCATATTGATGACGTATAAGTCAGATGAACGTGACCTGAGCGTCCACACTGCAGTCACATCAGATACATATCCGATTTATATCCACATACAAAAGAGGCCTGGGTCGGATCTGAAAAAATCACAATTGCACTGTTCACACTTACATGAAAAAATCTGATATGTGTCACATATGGTTAAAAAATCTGAATTGACCTGCAGTGTGAATATAGACTGAGAAAACCTAAATCTACCCCAGCCCAACCCCTCATTCCCACCATCTAAACGGAAACAGGATTAAAATGGATGAACTTAAAATAAGAGCACCAAAAATAGCTCAATAAAAGATGATCCTGTCATTAAAACTAGAAAGAGATAAATGTTCAATAAAAACTGATTGATTGGTTGGTTGGTTGATAATCTGAGGAGAAAACTGAAGTTTGTGTTTGTGGTTAATGATGATCTGAAAATACTGAAGAAACATCTTCACTGACAGACGAGAACATCTCTGAAGGAAAATCCAGTTTTCTCAAAGACTCTGAGGAAACTTCAGGAGAGAAGGTTCGAGTGAAAACAGTCAGAAGAAATTCTCCTTTTAAAACATCAGTCTGCTGAGATTACATAAGAAAGACCACAGGGTCATGTGACCTCTGAGGACTCAGGCAGACTGCGAGACTGTGTGTGTGTGTGTGTGTGTGTGTGTGTTATTCAAATGTGTCTCTAGTTTCAGTCAAAGTGGATTTGCATGAACCAAACTCGACTTCAGCTCAGACCAGGACTTTCTCTGACACAGATCCCTGAATCCCTGAGCTGATCCGGGTCTTTAAGACACCGAGGAGTTCACGGGTCAGAACCTCAGAACCTGGGCCTCTGTGCTGCTTTTGCTCCTCATGTTTGGGGGGGTGGAGGTCTTCCCGCCTCAGGTCCTGTCAGTCCACATTTGTAGAGGAGGAAGACAGAGCCGGCCCAAGGCATAAGTGAACTAAGGGCCTGTTGAGGGCCCTGCTGCCAATAGGGGGCCCCCAAGAGCAAACAAAAAAATAAATAAATAAATCTGATCAAAAATATATTATTGTAAAAATAAAATAAAGTAAAACCATTTTAGTGCTGCTGCTGATGTAGGCCTATGATTCTTACTGCTGATATGTCAAAGCTCCGCCCACCGTTATGTTCCTCCTGCTGTGAAATGGTCACTGAGCATCCAAAGAGCCAAAAAGGACATATCCTTCAGGAGCCAAGAAAAGAAAGAGGTAGAAGAGAAAAAAACACCAAGATAAAAGGTATGTTTGCATGTCAGGGAAAGTTAAAGAGATTTGTGAAGGTGTATGAATGATCAACAATCAATATTATTGAAGTCCTTCATTCATAACAAGTGAGTCTCTGGGATGAACGAAGCTGCTGTTAATGGACTGATGAGACCAGTATCAGGTCTCAGGAGGATCATACATGGTGGACATACATGGACTCTGATGGACTTGATTTTTGGTCGGACTGATTTTAATCTGCATGATGTTTCTGATCTAATGATTAACCTGCAGACAGGAAGTGAATCAGTTCCTGATCCTCATAAAAAGGAACATCATTAACCCCCCCCCCCGACACACACACACACTCACACACACACTATGATTTAATGTTTCATAAAGTTTATGGTAAAACTTTACAATAACCTAAATAATACTAATTTATAAATGGTGAATAGATAGTTTATTAATGTAATTTAATAGTTACTTTACAATTAACAACCAATAAAATTAGGATTAATATTTTTTATTAATTATTAATGGACTATTGATTAAAGTTTTATATAGGGTTTAAATATTGTTTTAAAAACATCTAGATTAAAATGTGTGTCAGCAGCACTTTATAAAAGGTGAATATTTTGTTTTTAAACCATCTATAAACATTACTTAGATGGTTATTGTAAAGTTATGGTTAGGGTTTTAAAATGGTAAAATTGACAACTTGTTAATGGTCTATATGTTATAAATGACGATTACACATTAATAAACTATCTGCTTACCATTAATAAACTATGGTTATTATAAAGTTGTTGTTTTTTTTATCTGGAATCTTAAAGAAAAGTCTGGATTAACCTCCTCAGCAGAGCCGGAGTGAACAGCGTTTCCCAGACCAGTCAAACCAGTGTCTCCAACACAAACTTGTATTTCTGCTCTGAACCTCCAACTGTCTGCAGCTGCAGCAGTTTAAAGGACCAGTTAACTCTTTTCTAAAGTGTCCAGATGAAGACTCTGGGATCAGGTTTATGAGACCGTGAAGTGGTGTCAGAACGGATTAACCCTTTCAAACCACTTCAGCTGCTCGGAGTCAAAGAGAACAACTTTACAGGGCTTAGAAAGTCAAACTGAGCATGTGCAGAAACAGAGCGTCTGTAAACACAAACATCTTTCATTCATAACGAAACAGCCAATCAAATCACACCTCTGTTTATCTGGGACAAAAACCGTCCAATCACATCTCGGCATGTTGTCTGCATGGAGTGAATTCCAGGAGTGCGCGCGCACACACACACACACACACACACACACACACACACACACACACACACACACACACACACATACACACACACACACACGTATGTGTACATCACACTGTGAGAGTTTGTGTCGAATTACCGAGTGAAGGTTTGTTATTGTCCTGAATTATACTCCATCAGAGTCCAACAGCTGTGTGGTTATCTCAGCCTAACTCTGAACTCAGACTTTATTTATAGTTTACATACTTGTATATTATCTCTTCATCTTAACTTATTTTTACTTATTTTATTTCTTATGTATCTCCTCTTCTACTTTATTTGCACTGGAGTTACTGTAACAAATTGCAATTTCCCCCTGGGGATTAATAAAGTATTTCTGATTCTGATTATTTCACTTCTGTGGTTCACTTTTGTTTAAGACTCGATATTTTACTAAATATATTCTCTCTATGAGCAGAAAAGCAGATTTTCACTCTGAGCTGTGACGCTATGACTGGATAATCTCTGTGTCAGGGGAGGGGCTCTGAGACAGTTCGAGAGAACAATGTGAAAGAGAGAACAATAAGTGTGTGTGTGTGTGTGTGAGTGAGTGGGGGGGGGGTCTATGTGTCGGGGGAGGAGGGAGTGAGGCAGTCGGACAGGTTCAGTCAGAAGCTGAACTCCACAGAGACCTGCTTCAGGGCTTTGTCTATAAGTCTGTGCTGCATTCAGGGAATCTGTCTGTGTACTGCGTTCAGGGACTCTGTCTGTGTGCTGCGTTCAGGGACTCTGACTGTGTGCTGCGTTCAGGGACTCTGTCTGTGTGCTGCGTTCAGGGACTCTGTCTGTGTGCTGCCCTGTCTGTGTGCTGCGTTCAGGGACTCTGTCTGTGTGCTGTGTTCAGGGACTCTGTCTGTGTGTTGCGTTCAGGGTTTCTGTCTGTGTGCTGCATTCAGGGACTCTGTCTGTGTGCTGCGTTCACGGTCTCTGTCTGTGTGCTGCATTCAGGGACTCTGTCTGTGTGCTGCGTTTAGGGTCCCTGTGACTCCACCATTGTTTTTTTTTAACCCTGCTCTCTGACTTTCAGGCGCCGAGAGACCTCAGGATGACGCTCGACACATCAGGCTCAGGTTTCTTTTCCGAGGGCTGAGGTGTACCTGAAGCTCCGCCCACCATGTGTCAGCAGGATGACATCACCCTGAGGCTAAAGGCTGGGTGTGTCAGTCAGGAAGCGGCACCTGGACCTGGACCGAAGGAGGAACTTTGATCCAACAGGTGACAGCAGACAGGGAGCTGCAGGTGGAGGAGAACTGGAGCACACCTGAACTGAAGCACACCTGAACTGTGACACACCCGAACTGAAGCACACCTGAACTGTAACACACCTGAACTGAAGCACACCTGAATTGTAACACACCTGAACTGGAGCACACCTGAACTGTATCACAGTCAGAGTTTCTCACCTTCAGTCTGATTCTGACTCTGACTCTGCGTTAAACAGACTGCAGACAGTTTAGGTGTGAGGAAATAAAGTTAAACTAAAATCAGACCAACAAATAAAACAAAAGACAAAAATAAAACATTTAAAAACACTGAGGCACAAACAGAGATGTTTCTATTCTCCTTCACTGACTGTGCCTTTAAACAGAGTCAAAAATAAAACATTTAAACCACAAACAGAAGAAAACTGAATCTGAGGGAAACTGAAAAAGACAAAGTTCAGAGGAGCTGAGGAGGATCAGATAGAATCTACTGTGATAGACCAAAATAGAGCAGGATAAGATAGAATGTAACTTAATCTTATATATTAAAATACAACAAAGGATAGAAGTTGACATAGGCTAAGTTCATACTGCAGGTTATAATGCACAATTTGCATTTTTTGTTAAATCCGATCTTTTTGTGCGGTCATTCACAATACAACAATGAATGCTGCATCTAATGTGAACTGAATGTGAAGTGACTCGTATGCGCACAAAGCGGGACGTGTTGTTGTGTTGTCGAACAATGGTGACGTTTGTCGCATACTGATGACATATAGGTCGGATGAACGTGACCTGAGTGTCCACACTGCAGTCACATCGGATACATATCCGATTTTTATCCACATACAAAAGAGACCTGGGTTGGATATGAAAAAATCAGAATTGCACTGTTCACACTTACATGAAAAAATCTGATATGTGTCACATATGGTTGAAAAAATCGGAGTTGAACTGCAGTGTGAACATAGCCTTAATGGTAGATACTAAAATAGAACAGAATAAAATAGAATGCAACTTAAAGGTACATGCTAAAATAGAAGAGAATAAGATAGAATGTAACTTAATATTATATAATATATATTTATATTAAATAGAACAGAAAAAGATAGAATGTAACTTAATGGTATATACTAAAATAGAACAGAAGAGAGTAAGTTTCACAAATTTGAGTAGACAAGACTACAATTGAACAGAAAAAAGGAAGAATACATTTGAATAGAATGGAACAGAATAAAAAATGTTACATTATAGAATAGAATAGACTAGGGCCCCGTTGGGGCACTGGCGGGCCCGAGCCGTGTCGCACCGCCCTCAGCGCGACCGCCTACCCCTCCCGATCGCGTCACACTCAAGGTCCAAAGATGGTGTGCACACTTGTCTGTGGTCATTTCCCATGATAATGAATGGGAGGCGCAGTTTCTACCAAAACGCTCGCTGCAGACAAACTCCATGTCCTTTTTGAAAAAAGTCTGGACCATGAGTGAGGGCACAAACACAGCTAGTATATATCCAAATGGCAATTTGCTCCTCCTTTCGGTTTTGCCGAGAGAGCGATGCGTTTGAGCCATTGAGCGATGGGCAGGAAAAACTTGACTTTTTCTCCTTTCATGGGGGGGCGCTCTTTTGGGGAGAAAAAATTCCTTCACAAATGTGTTGATGGCTGGACATTGCATCATCCCAGAAAACTTGGAGGCCAGTGAGGACAAAAATAAAAAGTTATAAGACTTTTAAAAATGTGGATATTTGGGTCCTCTTTGGCGCCCCCTAGAACGTAAACCGTGGGGTGCAGCGTCATGATTTGTACAACTTTGAATGGCCATGGGGTGTAGATTGACCTGAGCAAATTTGAAGCCGATGGGACAAAAGCTTCAGGAGGAGTTAGCCACATTCCAATGTGTGCGAATCGGCAAAAAATGCGAAATAGCCCTTTAACTGTACATTGAACAGATACGCTCGCATTGACTTTTTCGTAGATCTTATTGAGATACATGTGTGTGTCAAATTTTGTGTCATTTTGACAAAGCGTAAAGGCGTGACAGTCAACAATGTGTATTTTCGCCTTAGGAGACAAGAAAAAATGGACTTTTTTCTCCTGCCATGGGGGGGGCGCTCTTTTGGCGAGTAAAAATTCCTTCACAAATGTGTTGATGGCTGGACATTGCATCATCCTAGAAAACTTGGAGGCCAGTGAGGACAAAAATAAAAAGTTATAAGACTTTTAAGACTGTGGATTTTTGGGTTATATTTGGCGCCCCCTAGAACGTAAACCGTGGGGTGCAGCGTCATGATTTGTACAACTTTGAATGGCCATGGGGTGTAGATTGGCCTGAGCAAATGTGGTGCCGGTGGAACGAAAGCCTTCGGAGGAGAGGAAATTCCAATGTGTGCGGATCGGCAAAAAATGCGAAATAACCCTTTAACCGTACATTTGACAGATACGCCCGCACTGACTTTTTTGTAGATCTTATTGAGATAAATGTGTGTGTCAATTTTTGTGTCAATATGACAAAGCGTAAAGGTGTGACAGTCAATAGTGTGAATTTTCACCTTAGGGGGCGCTATGGAGCCATTTTGCATTTTATTGTTTGGGCGACTTCAGAATATCGAATTTTTCACCAGGCCCATTCGTCCTGCCAAATTTCATGAGTTTTCGCCAGTGGGAAGTGGGCCATTTTCCCCTTCAAAGGGGAGGAAAAATAAGAAGAAAGAAAGAAAGAAAGAAGAAAGAAAAACCTATACAGGAATAATAGGGCTCTACGCCCGGCTGCTCTGCAGCTGGCTCGGGCCCTAAATAGACCATAGTGAACCAGAATAACCAAGAAGAGAACTGAACACTAATGATCTGAATAAAACAGAGCAGAGTGGAGGTCGCTTCACTGTCAGCCCAGAAAACATAAACACTGTCACACTGTTCATTTCTATTTATTCTATCTCTGTGTGATTCACAAACACGACTTTTACACGAGGAGGACGGAAACTCAACAAAGAGCTCTGCTGCACAACTCGCCCATGATGGGATACCCGGAGAGTGGACTGAGCTAGCAGCAAACACACACACACACACACACACCCCTCACTACAGCGTTGTTACTGTCGCTACCTGATCTGTCCCCGAAACCAGATTTGTACAGCGCATGTGCGAAATGTACGTCACTTCCTCTTTTGGCATTTCAATGTATTTTACGGCAGTGAGTCGCTACCTACCCGATCTGTACTGCGCAAGTGCAAATTTACGTCACCTTAAAAACTTTATTTAAACTACTGATCAATTCAGAAACAAGTTGGCAATGTGACAGGCTAGCTAGCAGGAGGCTCCAGAGCTAATGCTGAGGTATTCGCCAGAGCTCCTGCCCAGAACGGTGAGACCTTTTGGGCCCCAGAGAGTGCCACCACCTGGTCAAAATTATGGTTCTCTGACTTTTCAAAGTGTAAAGGGGGATTTATTTCATTAATTTTATAGATTAAATTTATTAACAAGAAGCCGACACATTATGGACAATGAAATTCAGCGTTTTTATACAGCGTTTCAATTTCAACACTGAAATATTCACATTTATTCATTCAAACCTTTTAGAAGTATGTTACAATTTTACTCTTTAGCTGGAGTAGGAACCTTTGATCGTAAAACTGGGCACCATTCTCTTAACTTTCCGGCGCTCTGCTTCAGTCGGGGGAAGAACTCAGGGGAAAAGAAAAGTGTGTGGCTGTTATAAACTGAAGCATCCACTCTGACTGAAGTCGCTCACTAATGTCGAAGCTGTTGAACAAATGTTAAAGCTGTTGCAAAGATGGTTGGTAGTGATGTTTGTTTCGCACATGTGCAGAGCAAATCGGGTTTACAGGATGGATCAGACCTGGAGAGTCCTGAGCAGACAGATGGACAGCCCCCCTGGATTATTTAATCTGAGAGGCTTTAAGTGGCCCGCTCACTGATGTGGACTACAGAGTCCAGGAGGATTACTGCAGACCACATGTTCCCTCAGAATACACCAGGCCCTGTCTGAAAACCAGGTCCTCAGAGTCTAGTCTGACTGCCTTTCTCATCAAAACCAGATCAGCTGACTGTTCAGTGCGACCCACGGCGCACAGTACCGGTGAACCAGATCAGAACATGGCGGCTCAGCTGGAATAACGAACTCTGTCTCAGCACTGAAACTGAGACCAGGTTTTGGGTCTGAGTCACCCCCTAGCTCACGTGCAGGTCCACCCTGCAGGTTCTGGTTAAAGGGGCGGAGCTTATCCACATCCAGCTGATCCACAAAAACACAAACAAGAGTCACATGACCTCACTGCAAAAACACTGAACTATCCCTTTAACCCTCGAACACTATCACTAAAATTAGTGACACCATCACCATCAGGTGATATTTACCTGAAATAATAAACCCAAGAAAAAGTACTTACATCAAAATATATCAAAATAGGACAATACATGACAAATTTAAGTAGTTTTATTTGATTTTTAACTGTGCAATGTCCAAAGGGAGGGAAAAAGTGCTATGAGTAGAACACATAAAAATGAATTAAAAAAACTGAAATGAGCCATTTATCACCAGCTGACTCAACTATTTCTTATCACCATATGAATTCCCTTAAAAATCACAACTTTGTGATAGTTATTCATAACCACTGCACTAAATAAAGATAGCATGTAAATTCCAGGACCACTCTTACTGACCTTATTCCCCACATGCAGCTATCAAATCCACCCAAACCTAATTTACCCTCTATCACTCAGTACGTTTACACAGTTTAATCGGACTAAGCTCATAATTCGTTATTTTCTCTGAATCGGACTTCTCTCCTTGTCCTTGTATATATGCACCTGAGAAAATCGAATTATTGACGAGAACGTGTCCTCCTCCCCAAAACTAGGGGGGCAATTTCAGCGGCGCTGTTTCCGACCCCATACAACTGTCAACAACAACAGCAGGTCAGTGCCAGACGTCAGAGGTGTCTACAACTGCTGCTGGGCATTTTGGAGCAAGAAGATGGAGCATCGTACAGTGTTGTTTTTGTCCTACATGATGGACGTGCTACTTTTTCTACAGATGAGACGCACGCTACTCCTCTTCTCTGGTGTTTTTGTCTCAGGGTTACAGGGGCGTGGCCCACGCACACATGCATTGTCCGATCATACTCCGACTACGCTGGATACATGGTAGAGAAAATCAAATCTTAGTTGAGACGTTCTGCCCAAGTCGGAACTTCTCAACTAAGTCCAGTTGTCCTTTTTATGTGGCGATTCCCACTCCAGAGTAATGTGACTAACCTGTTGGACATAGTTGGTTTGAAATCATCTGAAAACCAAAAGAAAAACGGTTTTATTTCTGATTTTAACCCTTAAATGTCTTTTAAACTTCGGAGTTCTCTGACTCCAATTAGAGTTCTCAAACTTCGACTATAGTCGGACTAAGGTGTTTACACTCGCTTCAGTTGTCCGGTCTGAGTCGGAGTAAGGCAATAATTCGGTTTTCCCGAGTGTCATGGAAACATACTGAGTGAGGCACCGGGTGAAAATCACCCTGTGAGCACGTGTCTGTAGGAAAAAAGCAGGTTTTTGATCGGGGAAACAAATTTGCCTCCAAAGATGTCAAAGAAAATGCTGAAGCTACCCAGAGACCCATGATACTCAGACAGTGACGGTCTGAGAGGGTTTCAGCTCCTGAGGTCATTGCTCGCTCCTGAGGAGGCGGCGGATCAGGATCCTGATCTTTAGTCTATTAGAGGTTCAGACACTGATCAATCCAATCAGATCATCCCCACAGAGACACAAACACTCGGACTGATCGATTAACTTGACACTCATCTCATCAGGACCGCTCCGAGATGCCAGCAGAACATGAACTCTGACCTACACACATGTCAGGACGGCGTTTTTTCCAGCCACTAAAGTCGGATCTGAGTTTGTCCTCCTGGTTTTCGGTCATCTGTAGATCTGTGGATTGCTGGTCAGACAGCTGAGGAGTCACAGGGGTTTCCTTTTTTTAAACAAGACTTTAAAGGCCTCATCGCCTTACCTGTAAGTGTCAGCACCTTTCTGAATCTTTACAACCTCCAAAGATCTTTTTAACCTTCACTCATCAAAAACACAGGAAACTGACACTCTGCATGTGTCATCATCATAAACGCTGACACCTGAGCGCATCAGCCAGCTGAGACTTCAACATCTGTGTCACTTGAGCACACCTGAGCACAAACTGTGACCTCAAACTGGTCAGGGCGGGTCACTGTGCCACACAAACACTGGGGCCATTTCCCATCATGCACCTGTAGGTACAGTGGACGGAGCAGACCGCAGTAACTAATGCATCCTGATAGTGATCATGCTGCGTTCAGGCGCTCCTCTGACTACAGTAAATGCCAGACCTGTGAGTGTCTGTGAGGTGTTCAGAATCCCAGAGTCCAGAAAGAGGACCCTAGAGCTGACCCTGTTCAGATCAAGATCATGACTTTTGGTGCATTCGAGTTAGCTCAGAACTCCAGCTGAAAATGAGGTCACACCCGAGTTCCCAGCATTTCAGTAACCAAGTCCGTAAAAAGCAAAATCAGACGATGGAAACAAGATGGCTACGTCTATGAAAGTTATTTTAGCTTACCCGAAGACATAAAGACAAGGCAAGCGCTTGATGATTACTGACGATAACTGACGATCAATGATGATAACTGACGATCGGTGATGATAACTGACCATCAATGATGATAAATGATGATAACTGACGAACAATGATGATAACTGATAACTGACAATCAATGATGATAACTGATAGAAACTGATGAGCAATGATGGTAACTGACAGTAATTGACAAGCAATGATGATAACTGACAATCAATGATGATCAATGATGATCAATGATAACTGATGATCACTGGCGATCAATGATGATAACTGACAATTAATGATGATCAATGATGATAACTGATGATAACTGGCAATCAATGATGATAACTAACAATCAATGATGATAACTGATGATCAATGATGCAGTGTTGTTTTCGTTGACGAAAATATTTCGTCAACGTCATTGTCAACAAAAACAACACTGCAGAATATATGTTCAGCGTTTGAGCGACGAAATGCTCATGAATTTTGCAACTCTGTTCGTCGTCCACCACTAATTTTTTCTTCTCGTCTCGTCAACGTAAATTATGCACATTCGTCCCGTCACATTTTAGTCATCTGAGACTTATGTTTAGCTCATCAACGTCATGTCTTCTTCATGGAAAACAACACTGCAATGATGATAACTGATAATAACTGACAAGCAGTGATGATAAATGACAATCAATGATGATCAATGATGATAACTGAAAATCAGTAATGATAAGTAATGATCAATGATGATCACTGAAAATCAATAATGATAACTAACGATCCATGATGATAACTGATGATCAGTGATAAATGATGATCAACGATAACTGACGATCGATGATAACTAATGCTCAATGATGATAAACTGATTATAACTGATGATCAATGACAATAACTGATGATAATTGATGATAACTGACGATCAATAATGATAACTGATGATAACTGATGATCAATGATAATAACTGACAAGCAGTGATGATAACTTATGATCGAGGATGATAACTGATGATCAATGATGATAACTGATAACTAATGATCAATGATGATAACTGAGGCTAACTAACATTCAATGATGATACCTAATGATAACTGATGATCAATGATGATCACTGATGACAACCGACGATCAATGATGATAACTGATGATAACTGACAAGCAGTGATGATAAATGACAATCAATAATGATCAATGATGATAACTGAAAAACAATAATGATAACTAATGATCAATGATGATAACTGAAAATCAATAATGATAAATAACGATTAATGATGATCACTGATGATCAGTGGAAACTGATGATCAACGATGATAACTGACGATCAATGATGATAACTAATGATCAATGACGATAACTGCTGATCAATGATGGTAACTGATGATAACTGACGATCAATAATAACTGATGATAACTGCTGATCAATGATGATAACTGATAATAACTGACAAGCAATGATGATAACCGATGATCAATGATGATAACTGATGATAACTAATGATCAATGATGATAACTGAGGCTAGCTAACGTTCAATGATGATAATTAATGATAACTGAAGATCAATGATCACTGATGCCAACCGACGATCAATGATGATAACTGATGATAACTGATGATAACTTATGATAACTGACGATCAATGATGATAACTGACGATCAATAATGATAAATGATGATCGTTGATGATAAATGTAGATATTTGTCATGAGAAAATCTCACTGTTGTTGAAACACTTCCTCAGATACATTTAGATGAGACCAGTAAAGAATCGTCACATGTCCATCCAGTGATCTGAGTTCATTATGTGAACTGATAATGATCTTTCAGTACACTTTGAATTAATTAGTTAATCAGCTGATAATAACCTGATAATCAATAGTTAATCAGCTGTTCATACATGGCCATGTGCAGAATCTGGTTCATGGTAACCCTCCATGTTAGAATTTCCCAGGTGTGTTCAGTTGACCTCAGACCTGGGCAGGTTTTGAGGCCCAAAGAGTAAAATATCTGAAGAGTCAGCTGGACTATCAGAGATTCATAGAGGCTCTGTACCTGCACAGGTGTGTTATTGTGTAATTCTGCTCAGCCTGAGCCTGCTGGGGGGACTGGACTCTGACCAGTGACTCAACTGGGAGTGTAGCAACCGCAGAATGAATGAACTCATAATAACCCTTCATTTTGTCGACTATTTTTTGAAATCCCACAGATTAAAACAGCCTACGCTCTTTTTTACCGAGTATGCTGAAGTTGGACTGCTTCTTTAACATTTATTTGTTGGATCGGTTTGAAACTTTCTCAAAAGAAGCAGAAATAGCCACCAGACTGCTGTGTGTATCACCAAAGTCGCTTTTTGTGACCAAACGGCCCAACGGACTTACCTTTACGCCGTTTACGCGGCTGCTGTAGCTACTTCTCCTCTCGGTGTTGTGTTGAACTACATTTTAAAATATTCAAATTTTAAATTAGATGCAGTTTCTGACTCAATCTCCTTAAATTTCCCACAAAATGAGCTTATTTTAATTTTTTGATTCATTCGGCTTAGACATTACCTACTTCAGTTCCGTAGCCATGATCGTATTTAAATCCTAGGTCACTATGGACGCACAGCCGCTCTTTACAGAGCATTAACTCGAACAGGTGACTCAGCTCTAAAAACGATCGGAAATTACATAAAGTTTGGTTGGTGTCGAGTTTAAACAGAAATTTTGACAAAACTCCAGAGTTTCAAAAATGGTGTTTTAACGAAGTCTGCAAAGAAGTGTGTGTCTCTGGAGGACCGGCTCACACCTGTCTGTAGTTAAAGGGTGACGTCGGCGTGTTTTCAGGTAAAATGGCTCACCTTTGTGTACAGCTCGTTCACAGACATCGTGTCCCCTCCCTCAACGAACAACTACGACGCTCGGCTTCTTGTTGTTTCCATTAACAGTCCATTATTATCCTCAAATCCGTTTACATTCAAACCGGGTGAGGCTGTTAGTCCGCATGCTCCCCGGTCCGGGCGGGCAGGTGCTCCCCGGAGCAGGCAGGTGTCCCGGCCCGAGTTTCGGTCAGCTCGCCCCAGTGTAGTTTCAGCTGTCAGCCCGGTGACTCCCGGTGAGAGCAGCAGTTTCCCCGGTGATGAGACCGAGCGAGCGAGCGAGCGGAGTGTGTTTGACTACACCGATGAGCACGTTCAATACTGACAAAAAACACACACTCAACACACACACTAAAAACACACACAGAGGTCTGCATCGAACTTATACACACTACACACATACACAGCGCTGGTTTATACTGTAGCCCCAACACACACAGTGGTCAATCAGAGCACTGCAACACGGAGCATGGGGGCTCAACATGAGGGTCGCGGCCCACCCACGGTCCTCTCACAGTGAAGTCTTATTTTTTGCAGTTTGGTCCACCTGTGTGAGGTTTAATGTTTTAATGTAAACTTGACGAACTGTCCCTTTACTCACAGAGGTTTATTCTGATGTGAAAACCCAGTTTTAGGTTCTGCTTCTCCTAAACGTACCGCTTCATTCTCATCCATTTGACCTTAAATTGGTCTGTTTTATGACTCTTATTCTCATAACTGCACTGCTCTTATTTTGAATGTTTACAACTTTATTCTCATTGTTAATAACTTCATGACTTTGTTTTTTCTAATTTTACAATTTAAATCTCAGGAAATTTACTTAAAAAATTATTTTCCTTATCTTCTACGTTTATTTTAATGACAAAAATTATAACTTTATTTTGTGAATCTTTAATTAAGGAGTTTGTTCTTGTAGTTATTTCTTATAATTGATGAGTCTTTTCCTGCATATTTATAATTTTATTATAATTTTAAGTCTTTTTCCTCTTAAATGTATAAATCTGTGTAGTTCATCCTCTAATTTAATAACTGGAGTTTCATGAATAAAGTGTTTCCCTGTAAATTTGGGACTTTGTTCTCTTGACATTTGACTGTTGAAGATTCAGACACTCCAGTATTTCAGTGTTTGTTAAAGTCTACAGGAAAACTGCAGTTCCTCACGTGTCCACTAGAGGCTCCAAGCTTATTTCTCTGTTTATGGTGGCTGGATTTAAAATGGAGAACTCCTCTGTTTACATCAGGTTAAAGGGATGGTTAATTAGGGGTGTGGCCTTGGTTCCTTAGCAGAAACTCGTCAACATCCAGCCTCTGGTTTTGGTATGACTGTTCCAAAAAGTCAGTCTATGTCAGCCAAACTGGTCACATGATCATGCTGTCATTGTGTCAGTGTCACTGGACATTTCTGTGACTTCAGTTTTTTATAATCATGAATATTTTCTTGAAATCTGACAGCTCACAGTGGTACAGAGGTGTTGAGATTCACAGGAGTTTGGAGTCTGTTGCATCACCGTCCTTCAGGCGGGATTATGAATCGTTTTTCTAATGCTAAATGTTTGTAACTGAGCCAGTGAAGCCACAGAGGAACAGTTAGACTTAATTACAGCTGAGTGAAAAAAAGACCTGAACGTCCTCCTGACAGACAGACAGCAGGAAGTGGAAGTTTAGGAGCAGATATCTGACATCAGAAACCATCTGCAGCTGCACAGACAAGAGGCCGAAATGCCGCTGTTAGTATAATAATCTAATAGACACAAGGGAGTATAAGGGCCACATTAAGACAAAAAAAATCCTTTTTAAGACTTTGAGATTACTTACGAAAATGAAGTCATTATTCATGAAAATAAAGTTATTAATTTATGTGAAGTTGCCTGTTGTGGAGGAGAGTTGTGGAGCATTGAGATGAATTGTACTTCAGAATAGGTTTCACAAACATGGAGATACTTAATCCTTTGGTACATCAGTATTACATTGTCAGGAGTATCAGAACTTTAAAAAGAATATATGAGAAATGCTGCTTTTCCACAGAAAGAAACAGGTGGACTTTGAGGGAATCACTGCTTTTGTGGAGGGTAAAATGTCTGGAAATGTCTGTACAGAGGCTGAATCCATCAATGCAGCTGTTAATATCATAGATCTTTAGTTTATCATCTGAGTCTCTATGCCATGAGGTGTTGAGGCCTCTGCAGGTGATTTACTGATTTACTGTAATCATAGGGTCTTTTTTCGTCTTTATAAAACCTGTTTCATCTCGGCGAGTGTCTTCTTTTGTAGGCAAACCGTGGGATATCAAAATCTACCCGGATACAGCAATGCTACTTTTTGATTGGCTGTTCAGTAGATATACTTTATTTGATTGGCTTGTGTGTGGCACACAGCTTCTGAACTCTCAAGGGAACTGACTTAATTCCTCCCTGTTCCATTGTCAAAGAGGTGCAACTTGATGGAAGTCACCGTGGTCATTTACATGCATGAGAATTACAACATGTGGCGTGTGAACGGGTAGGAACCATAGCCTGTATATACTATTGACAACTTGGTTCCTCTTTCCGCCAGTATATGGATTTGAAGCCTAAAAGTTCTCAGTAATTCCGTGATGATTCAAGGGAGAGTCTCCGAGAGTCGCTGTGATGACGCTCGGCTCAACAGCGTATCCCCCAGGTGAGTTATGCAATCTCTGTACGCTCATAGGCTGTATCAAGTGTCAATCATAGAAAACATGAACTCCCGAATAACTTTTAAAAATGGAGCTGTACAGAAAAAAGAGGGCGTGAGCACAAACCAGTTCGACAGTAACTACCATAGACTGTATATACTATGGACAACTTGGTTCCGCCTATCGCCTGTATACGGATTTGAAGCCAAAAAGCCCTCAGTATTTCCGTGATTTTTCTTCATTTCCTGAAACCAGCACTGCGCAGTAGCTATGCGCGCATTCGGGCACACAGTCGCCAAGAGTCTCTGTGATGACGCTCGGCTCAAACAGCATATCCTCCAGGTGAGCTACACAATCCCTGAACGCCCATAGGCTGTATCAGGTGTCAATCATAGAATATATGAACCCCCTAATAACTTTTAAAAACGGAGCTGTACAGAAAAAAGAGGACTTGAGCACAAACCAGTCCTACTGTAACTACATTTTAACATCACAAGCAGGGGGGAGAAAAATTTATGTTGTGTGTAATAAATTTCTAAAGTTTGTCCACAGCAATGATGATGATAGGATTTATGACCTATACTGCAGCCCATCAACAGAGGGTGCTGTTCTCGGAGTGGCTTCACCCAGCAAGGAGGCAGACTCTGTCCCTTCTATTTACAGTCTATGGTAACTACATGTCAACATCACAACCGGGGGGAGAAACATTTATATTCCGTGTCATTAATTTATAAAGTTTGTCTACAGCTCCATAAGGAGGCGGGATTTATGACCTATACTGCAGCCCGTCACCAGAGGGTGCTGTTCTTAGAGTGGCTTCACCCAGCGAGGAGGCAGACGGCGTCCATTCTGGGTACAGTCTATGAGTAATACAGAACACCAGAAAACAGAGGAAAGAGAAACAACAATAGCTGATCATCTGTGAATCTTAGGCTACGTTCATACCGCAGGTTATGATGCACAATTTTGATTTTTGTTAAATCTGATCATTTTGTGCAGTCGTTCACATTAAAACAACGAATGTGGCACCTAGTGTGATCGGAATGCGTCCGTGAAGTGACCCGTATGCACACAAAGCACAAATTGCTTTCCGCGCCTGTTTGTGTTGTCAAACAATGGTGACGTTTGTCGCATATTGATGATGTATATGTCGGATGAACACGAACCAAGCGTCCACAGTGCAGTCACATCGGATACATATCTGATTTATATCCACATACAAAAGAGGCCTGGGTCGGATTTGAAAAAATCTGAAATGCACTGTTCACACTGACATGAAAAAATCTGATATGTGTCACATGTGGTTAAAATATCGGAATTGACCTGCAGTGTGAACATAGACTAAGATGTTTAGATCTGAGAGTCCACACCTCTGTGAGGTTAGCCGAGGGTTTGTGAACTCTCCTCGACTGTCCCTAAAGGAGTCACCTGAAAAAACTGCTTCACAGTCCACTGAAGACACTGAAGACAGAGCTTCTTTCTTCACAGAGCCCTGCACCCTTTGCAGCTGAGGTCAGAACTGGACCAAGGGGCCATGATGACCTACACGGGTCTAACCCTGTCTCCTAAATCTAACCCTGGATCCTAAATCTAACCCTGGTTCCGAAATCGTTAGAGCTCGTGTCTTTTTCACTTTCTAACCATTCTGACTGATGACCTATCAAGAGGAGCTTTCAACTCCTTTACTGCAGATCTCCAGCAGGGGGAGTTAGACGTGTTTTGGCTTCACTTTTCTGTCACGTTCATCTTTAACAGTCTGTGGTCAGACTCAGTGAAATGACACAGATGAAGTAGGATTTAAGAGAAATCAGGTTCATGAGCGTTACACACACACATGCACACACACACACTGTATGTGACTCTGATAATCATCCGCTGACCTGCAGCACGCCTCAGATTTCAACGTCCAAGGAGAACAAAGAGAGAAATCTTCTTATCATGTTGTGTAATGTCCTGATAAAGTGTGTGTGTGTGTGTGTGTGTGTGTGTGTGTGTGTGTGTGTGTGTGTGTGTGTGTGTGTGTGGAGGGAGATAAAGTGGTCTGTACCTTGGAGTAGGGGTAATATTGACTCGTCATCCTCTCAGCAGCTCTTCATTAGCTCCTCGCTGTGATGAGGTTTCCAGGTGAGAGCATGAGATCAGCAGAGTGTGGGAAGCAGCAGAATAACTCAGACCTGTCTGAGCGTAACTATTATTCTGACAGCAGGTAATGAGTCCACTCCTTCACCACTCCCTCTGCAGGTATGAGCTGTTTACCTGCTGCAGTTCCACCCAAAACAGGCTCAATCACTCCACTGCTAAGGAAACACCAGGCTGAGAGTTAACCAACATGCTAACGTAACTACATCGCTGCAGCTTCATCCTGTTTACGGTTATTTTAGACCAGACAAATCAAAATCCTGTTACTATCATGATAAAAATAATATCTGAGACACTGAGAATCTGCTGAGTCATCATCATTATAGTAAAATCAGAGTTTCCATAAAATAGAGTTTTAAGCTTTTTTATGGTTCATAAAGCTCTTAGTGTCTGTATTATTAAAGTGTAAAAAGTGCAGAACCTCAAATCTGATGAGAAACTGAGAGAAAAAGTTATAGATGCAAGAAAAATCTCTGGGTAACACTTTATCATAACCATAACTTATAAATGGTAAGCAGATAGTTGATAAATGTTTAATTATCATTTATAAACAGCATATATTGTAAAATTGTAAATTTTACAAATTTAAAAACCTAACCCTAACTTTACAATAACCATCTCTGA